AACATACTTGAGAGCTTGTGAATGATTTGACTGTGGCTCACTGCTTTGTAATGATATTACAGATGGTGTGTGTGAGTGCTGTTGATTTCTTGTTCCTCTTTTAGGAAATGATATATTAGCACTAGTGAAATACTAATTCTTAATTAGTTATTACACACCTTGCTGAGGTACTTCTATGCTGCGATTGAGATCGATTTCGAATATTGCCAGAAGATGAGGCTTGGTCTAGCAGAGAATTCTTCTCCAACACTTCCTCATCTTGAGTCTGTTTGTGTTGTTCTATTACTAGTCAATCACTAATAGAGAACTAATATATCAAAGTTATCTCACCTCTGGCAATGCTGTTGAAATATCTTTGGCTTAGTGCATTTGATTGATTGTTATGTGGAAGATCAAATTTGTTGTATATCTTGAGCTGATCAACATCTCTGGCATTCAATGTCCAGCCACTAGTTTCTGATTAGTATGTTACTGCTGAATGATTAGTGATATAACTTACTGAAGTACAGTTCCAAGTAAGAATGCATATTGCCCTCATATCAAAGATTTGTTATGAGTCTGTTCAACAGCATTTGTATGCTTTTGAATTTCTTGATAAATTTCAGTTGCCATGAAAGAGCAATGTTTATTAAGTCCAGCTGCAATAACAGACTGCATTTTGTGGTGTGCTCAGTTGGCAACATTGATTGACTCATTGTCTGAATGATATTATTAGTGAATGACTGATAACCAATCAGTGAATAATCAGTCATGATATCTACTCATCAATCATTAATCTGCATAGCTCCATGTAGTCACTATAGCTGGTGCAAGTTAAAAGACTTTGCATGCAATGATGAAGATCAGAACTAGTTGAACTAGTTTCAATTGTGTGATCAATTCCTTGGAAAAAGTGAATATAACAGAAGATAATAAGATTTCTCAACTGCCATTTCCATTCTTGCTGCTGTGGGTCAATTTCATTTACAGCAAGTTTCAGATCTAACTAGTCAGTTACTGATCAAGTATCACTTATTTATCAGTAACTAACTTACCAGTCATCTGCTTTGTATTCATATCCATCACAACAGTATAAAGTTCATTATCATGCAAATGATGAAAGATCATATTCTGCCCTGTTACATCTTTAACAAGTGTAAAAAGTCTAAGAAATAGATCTTTGTACATTGTAGTTGTTTCAGTATTGACAATGACATGCAGAAGGGTAAAGACTAGTAGTTCACTTGTTAGATATTAGTAATATACTAGTCAGAGATATGACTTACTTTTGTTTTGCTCTGATAACATTGTAGCAAGAACAATTTCATTTATATGTCAATTCTGAATCTGTTTGAATGACATATCAATTTCAAATGATTTTAGTGTGACAAGAACCTTGATTTGTTCTTTGAATGCACAGAAAATCATAAATTCACTGTTTGACTCATAAATGTGCTGAATATAAGGCTATTCACATTATCAAGACTGATCAGTCACTAGTGGATAACTGATGGACAACTGATGAATGACTGATACTTACATTGTTGTCTTGTTGATCTTGCTCATATTGATAGACAACACCTGCAAAATCTCTCTCTTCTGAACAGTGAAATAAATGCTCTTTATAAATAAGAGCTGCAATTTAATTCATATTCACTAAACTTGCATGAATCTGAGCAAAGATATTTGTATGATATCTTTGACAGAGTTCTTTGATCTGCAGGGACTTGAGAAAGAGAGCTACAAGTAAATGATATTAGTTGAATACTAGTATATGATTAGTGAGTAACAAGTAACATACTGAGAGTGAGATCTGAATCATTCATTTGATGAATCAGATGAGCAACATCATGTGTGATATTGCTTGGTATTTGTGATGGAAAAGGTGGTGGATGAGAATGTATTCCATGGAATCTTAATGCAATATAGGGTTTATTTTGCTGATCAATTGGAATAAGGATATCAAATGTAACATTGCATGATTGATGTACTAATATTCCTCACCTCTGAGCATGATCAATATCTAGAGTATATTAGTTAATGATCAATGAACTACTACTTATTGATTAGTGAGCAACTTACTGCAATGAGTTTGTTGAGTGCTTGTTGGAAATATGCCACTGCATAACTCAGCTTCAATTTGTAATTCTCTCTCAAAAAGCTGATTCAAATAGAAGACATTAATTCTAGAACTTGTTGATATTGCAAGAAAAAGGTGAGTTGAGTTGTGAGGTGTATAGTTCACACAGGCAATATATGGTTGGAAAACACCAGCAACATTCTATTATCATTATCAGTTATCAACTAGTGTTCCTCTGAGCAATGACTAGTTAGAGATCTACTCCTGAAATACTTACTGGTTGTGTAAAGATTTGCCATTCAGATTTGCATGTTGGCAGAGAATTTTCACTGCATGCATGGTGTGAATCAAATTGTTGTTTTATACCATAGTACATACTAGTATAATATTAGTGTTGTACTGAAAGAATACTAGTGACAAATCAGTTATAACAAACTCAATTGCTGTCTGAATTGATGGTCTGTCTGCCTCTGAAGTTAAAGTGACTTGACAAGCAGATAGTCTCTGCCATAAAGCCTCATCAACTTGGGTATGTTGAAAATTCATCAAATCTGGTTGTATATATTCACAGTGTTGAATATCAGAACATTTATATTGATGTCATATAACAGATGTTTGTAGATATGATGAATAGGTCTTTTTTGAAGGGGCAGTTTGTGACTTTCCATATTGAATCTATATTGACATGAATGTATTAGTATCTCACTAGCAATATACTGATCATCCACTAGTGATTCATATCAGTGACCATGGTTTTTTAGCATCCTCATCATCAAGCAACTGTATATCAATGATATATGTATATCCACCTTCTGAGGTTGCTGGATATTCAGAAATAAGACTAATATGCTCTATTTTCTGTGTAGGAAGTATGCTTGTACTCCAGTGATCTGTCAAAATAATGGGTTCATGGGTTGGCTTACTAGTCAGTAAGCAATCAAATAGTAGTAAAAGACTAGTTTCACATACTGTGCTTTCATCCAAAACTTCTGTGTGTTCCTCAAGTTGATGCTCTTGATCCAAATCATGATCTAATAGATCACTATCATCTGAGAAAGAATCAATATTCATTTTTGCTGTGTGTATTAACAGATGTATCAGAAGGTAAAAGTTCATTTTTGTTTTATCCTCAGCTGACTCTTTTTGTGCCAAGAATTGTTTTGGGTCAGGTGACCTTCACTAGCGTAGTTCAGGTGAGTCACCCGAGGGGTCAGCCGACGTGTAGTCTCACTAAGGATTGTTACGGAAAGGATAGCACAAGACGTATAAAATGGGTGGAGTTGTGGCGTATTTTGGTCTGCAGGCTAGGATCCCGTCCCGGCCGGGCTTAGACAAGGTACGCTGCATAAAAGCATCTCAAGACTCGGCAAAACTTATGCAGGATTAAAACAGGTCACCTTGCCTCTTTGCCTTACGAAATATCCATCATCCACACCATATCCGCCCTCGAAATTCCGGATAGTAGCTCAAAATACAACTTGAAGCTTATACAGAATGCCAACTGAACACGCTGTTTACAAGGATTGAATAAGATGGACAGCTCTATACAATGAGACCTGTGTTTATCATGGCAAACGAACACAACCTTGTCTGCAAGGACTCTTCATCCCTCTGCCGATGCAACTAAAGGTTCCATGTCAACAAACCTCGGTCCATCTCAGACAGCTAAGGACATGCTGGTAACATAATCCACCTACAAAATAATGAGATCTGGGGAGATGTCTGACAATAGTATGCAGCAGCGAATGCACTTTAATTTCGTCTGTCAGAAATTCTTTCGATTTGCCGGTCATTTCTCTTCAATTGCAAAGACCTTTCACAGATTATCCATAAACCCAATCCGCTGTGGCTCTCGAGCTGGTCTGCCGCCCATGGCAACTTGGCCAGATGGCAAAGTCGCTAGCAACTCAGCAAATTCAGATTTAGTGTGTCAGAAGTTGTCATCGAATGAACCAGACTGAGCATCCCAGTCTGTCGGCGGTCTTTCTCGTCTAGTCCTGGTTTCTTACTTCTCACGGGGGATTCGGAAGTACGACTCAGGCAATATGTTATTGGTTTCATGGTTTAATTGAAATATTTAGCACCAGATCTAATAAAGACAGTAAGTATCACTTGCATGTTCTAATCTTATGTTCTCAGGTTACCTGTACTCTCTAATTAGAGATATCAAATATAAAAAGGGGAGCATCGCCCTTTCAATTCTGATGTTGGAATTATTTGCATCATCATCATCATCATCATTATCCCGCCTCAACTAAATACAACAATCAAACCTTCTATAGATCATCTTTGATTTCTCAAGTTCGCTTTACCAGCACAATGAAGATCAACGCTGCCTCCCTATTCCTCACTCTGGTGGCTCTAACTGCCGCTTCTCCTCTGGCTGAGTCTAGCGATGATGCTACTATTGCTGCGTCATGCTCACGGGCTGGAAAAGTTGGCTGTAACAATCAAGGGTGTGTCATTATATATTCGCCCGTGATATGACAAATGGCTGATTATTACATTTTACATGAACAGGCGACCACGTATTCTGGTCTGTGTAGACCGTGGAAGCGGTCTGAGATGGGAAGTCCAGGCATATTGTCCCTCCGGGCAGTTTTGCTCGTGGAAGTCGAGAGAAAACTGGGCCTGGTGTGCGTGATGGCAATCATGATGATTGGTGAAGAAGAATATGTGATGGTTCCAGACTTGTTATACTTTGGAAAAACAAATGGGGCGATGTTTGTTGGAGTAGAAATTTCTCTTTTCTTCTTTTCTTCGTTGTGAATGTGGTAGATTATTCATTATTCAGCTCTGGCATTTCTACAGTTTTGTCTCACGTTTACACTTATTTTTATTCAGTCTTTTCTGGCTTAATCTGTAGCTAGCTACAACGGTATAAACGAAAGGAATTCAACATTCAAACAGAATAGCGTTCAATGCAATCTCCAGCTAGAGCTCAGATCTCCTTTTTAACAATAAGAGGATTCCCTTGGCTTGATATAACTGTGGAATTACTATCCATTCTAATACAAACCATATGAATATTACCACCTTAATATTCACAGGTAAAATGCTGAGCGGTAGAATAGTCAGCGTTGCGTGGAAATCAATCCTCTTTATTTGCACGCCCGGCTCTGCTGGCTCCATGATGAGTAGACCCAAGCTGGCCCCTGGAAAATGATATACCAAATCCAACCCTTCAAGAGGTGGAATGGGGCATACGAAGACATAGCACATGCGCTTCCTGAGAGAACGGGCTCTAGCTTTAACACCAACATAGTGGTTGTTGTTACATCTTTATTTTAAATATTTAATCGTATTCTAATTCTATTTAGGGTTGTTTCTATATCAATATCAATATATTACTTCTAAATACTCTAATTTGGAAAAACCCTATCAAAATTACAGACTCTATATAATATTTTTCTACTTCGTTACTTAAACGTACTTTGTAAGTGCGCCCACAGCGACTTTGAAGATGACTTTTCAAAGAATGCAATATTATTCATATTCTCTGATAAACTGTAGCTAATAATAAGTCATACTGCTTCAATATTAATATGTAAATATGCTGTGCCTCATATGAGCATTGAGAGGAGAGCTCTAGGGCTGGTGAATAGAAAATCTAGGGGTATGTCATGTTGAATGATTAAGGGTTGTGGAAGTGACCCGATACACCAACGTAATCGTGAAGGGCAATATCCCCATACATCATCCTAGTCATCCTCACCTTTTGCAAGTAAGATGTTTCGCGGGATTGCCTAGTAGCTAATTGAGTTTATGCAATGACGCTGACCAAACATAATGCCAACGTAATTATTTGGCATTTCTCCTTTTGGTCTAATCAAATGCTATCCCCTCGACCGTGGCAGATGTGTTTGAAAATGCCACATTTGCAGCAAGTTGGATGCTTGGTCCCTTCTCATATATGATACAGTTTATTTTCCTTGCTGTGTAATTGTCGACGAGATCTTTCACAAAGAAAATCCTCAGTTATTATGGTATAGTGGGCTCCGGAATCCCAAAGCATGTCAGCATCCCGGATAACTTCTTTGCAATTCTCATCTTTGATTGGCGAAAGGCTCACCTGCGCTTTCACCATCGGCAGAACTCTGTCCTGCAGAATCGCTTTTATAAATACTGCGTAGGGTCCATGATGAAAACCAGAAGACGAGAGACTCTTTTTGAGCTTGTTTCGTGTCTTCGAAGAGGAAGGCGACGGGGTCGGCAGAGTGGATGGATCATATTGGGTGCGAATGGGCAGACGGTACTTATCTGAACCTTGTTGGCTTGGGCCATTTAAAATTTGCGCATTCTCAAGGGGGATTCGTCGCAGAACTTCCTTCTAGTGTCGGGTTTTAGGGCGCGTAATCATCGCATCTTCGTCAACACCTAGGAAATGCAGCAGCCGATTTCTGAATTGCTTCATGCCACGAGATGAATTGAGTATCGGGAATAACGCGTCTCTCCGGGCACCGCTGGGTCACCGACGGGTCACCGACGCTCCCACTTGTTTCAATACTTCGCCAGCAGGAAACGAAATCAACGAAATCATCCTTAACAGGAAAAGCTGAGAAACAAATCGTAGTCAGGTTCAATTGGTGGGGAGAGAAGAGCAGAGACGCCACGAGCAACGCGGATTTTCATAAACATCAAGCATCTTTGGCTGCGCATAACAAATGCAAGTCTAGATTGGGCTAGTACTCTTAGGTCTGTTATCCTGGTGGATTGGGTTGGGTAGGAGAAGCATATTTGGCTACTTAGACGTCACCGGGTTACAGTTGAATGTGGTTTATTAAAAGTTGGATGTGGTTTAAAAAAAGTGGGTCTGAAAAATAAACCATGCTCATTCCTCACTCCCTCACTAAAATGTACACACACTAAGCATCTTTTACACACCCTCTCTGTATATTACTAATGAGCTCTTATTTAGTCCTACTTCAAAATCTGAGACTCTTCAACATCTGAAAAGCAGTTATGAGTTAGAATCCAGATTAGCTGAGAAATAGAGCTCTGAGAAATATGATAAAATCACTGTGTCTGATGCATTTGAAGATGTGTGAGATATGTATGAGATATGGCTAGTGCATGTAATTTTAATGGGGGGTTTGGCATGGTTTATGGTCAAAACCACGCCGAGGGTTATTCCAGCCCGAAAAATTAACCATGTTCAACTTTTTATTGACCATGTTCAACTGTACGCCCAGACGTCACAGAAGGTGTAGGATGATGTGAAAATTATATAATCACGACTCTGATTTGTTGGGGGGTTTGGATTGGTTCGTCCCCTACTACCAGCATGGCGCTGGTGTGAGAGAGCTCTTTTGCCCTAGTGGCCAAACATCGTCTCACAACAAATATATATATGTATATTGAACTTAGCTCTGTATTAATTGGGGAAATTCTCCTTTTTGCCTAGTGGTAGCAGTCCAATTTTACACAAGGCACCTTCTAATACTAAATTAGAGCAGTGGTACAAAGTGATCCGAAAAAGTAGTGAAATATGTTATTGAATTCAGTTTGTGGGCCAAGTTTTTTTACAGCGATAACAGTGACAAAAGATAGTTACGCATTCTTGTCTGATATATGCCATTGAACATATTCGTTGCGCATCCGTGGTGCGTTCTGGATCTCCCTCAACCATGGGAAGCACGAAAGTTGGCCTGATATTATGTTCCTTTTGGGGCATGGGGACTTTTAGGGTAAGTTAAAGAAAATAGCCTCAGGATGAGACTACTGCGTCACCAGCGAAATAAATAGCCCTCAACAGCAGGCTAAACAATCCAACACAGAGCTATTTGCCTACAGGCAGGATTGCCCCCAACCAAAAAAAAAAAAAAAGAAAAGAAAAGAAAGAAAGAGAAGGAACACACAAAGCCAGCAAGAAAAATGACAACGGGCCATGCAGCAGATGAATGAAAGGAGCTCGTTTGTTTGTCTAACGTGCAGCAAGTCTAGTATCTTTTGACGGGTGGCAGACCGCCTGTGCATATCTGGATGGCTTTTCCATAACTATTGCTTTTTGCTTATTTAAGGCAACTCTTCCGCACTAGGATTGAGGCCTTCAACTAAGGAGCCCCTGTATGCCTCATTGGTCTCATCAAAATCAAGGCAATTGAGGGGCACACAAAGCCACCCAATACCAACAAACCCGCAAGAGCAAGTTCACTCTCTCTATCTGTGAGTCCCCCAACACTGGCTATTTTGTTTTACTCTATTTCCACAGAAAGGAAGTGAATGCAAGCCACTAACGTTTTTGATACTTGGCCGTATCGATTTTCATAGTCAAGCGATCAGCATGTCAGGACAACAGCCTCGTGGTCAGCGAGGAGGGGGCGGAGGTCATCGAGGTGGACAACGCGGTCGCAGCTCTGAGAGGGGACGGGGCTCGCATCCTATCTTCGATGCTCCATCCGGTGGACGGGGGCGTGGTGACCGTGGTGGATTTCGAGGAGATCGTGGTGGCCGTGGTGATCGGGGCGGCCGTGGTGATCGGGGTGGTTTTCGTGGAGGACGAGGTGGCTTCCGTGGCCCAGAGGTGTTTTCGTAAGTGGCAAGCGTGCCAATATACAAATACGTTTAGATTGCATCGCTTATACTTATCTCCTCATACTAGGCCAGCCGGCGGAGGTATCCCCGCTCCGGATCCCAAGGCCAAAAAAGTTGAGGACAGCTATAAAGGTTCTGGGAGTTCTGGAAAGGAGCTGAGTTTGGAGTCTCTTTCGATTAGCAGGGATTTCCCTCTTAGACCCGCCTTCGGAACTCAAGGAAGACCAGTCCTACTATGGGCGAACTTCGTTGAGGTGAAATCAAATTCAGATCTCACGTTACACCGCTACAAGGTGGAAGTCCAGGAAAACGATGGCAAAACTCCTTCTGGCAGAAAACTCAAGCGTATTATCGAGCTTTTGTTGGAAGAGCACTTCAGGGACATGGAAAACAAAATTGCGACTGACTACAAAGCGACCTTGGTCTGCAAAACTGCACTTAACGTCGCCCAAGAAATGTTTCCAATTAGATATCGTCTCGAGGATGAAGACGAACCCTCCCCAAAAGCCAGGACTTACCAAGTTCGTGTCGTGGCAGTTGGTTCTGTCGATGTAGCGCCGTTGCTCCGTTATCTTTCCTCCCCTGCGGCCGGGGGATCGCTTCCAGGAAAAGAGGAGATCATCCAGGCATTGAATATCGTTTTCGGCCACCATCCCAAAACAAATCGGGGTGTGCTTTCAATTGGCGCAAACAAACACTTTACACTAGGCCGGGATGCGGAGACCTACGACCTTTCCGGTGGTCTCACAGCACTCAAAGGCTTTTTCGTAAGCGTCCGTCCCGCAACCTCCCGTCTCCTCATGAACATCCAGGTTAAGGCCACTCCCTGCTACACTACTGGGAGCCTACCCGATGTAATCAATGCCTGTTATGCAAACATTCGGGGCCCTACGCGCATTCACAAACTCCACCGCTTCCTCAAGAAGGTACGCGTGAACGTCACTCACATCGTCCGGAAAAATAAGGCAGGCCAGATCGTCATGCGAATCAAAACCATTGAGGGCCTTGCACATCAGAGTGATGGTCGGCATTTGCAGAACCCACCGCAAGTGCCCTGGCTCGGAGCAGGTCCGAAAGATGTCAAGTTCTTTCTTGATGGATCAACTCCCCCACCAGAGGGTCAACCAAAGAAGAGTGGAAAGAAAGGCAAAAAAGGCCCAGCCAAGCCAGGTGGAGATTCGCCTACAGGTTCATATATTAGTGTCTACGACTATTTTAAACGCAGTGAGTAGCAATATGAAAACCCCAGTCTCATCTCAGTTTCTTACGCTTCATAGACTACCCGAATGTTCCCGAGTTGAACAACGCATTTCCGGTTGTCAATGTTGGCAGCAAGGAGAAGCCAAGCTACCTTCCTGCTGAAGTCTGCCAGGTTCTGCCTGGCCAGCCTGCGAATGCGAAACTCAGCCCGAATCAAACTCAGAACATGATTCGATTTGCAGTCAGAAGGCCTGTGGAAAATGCCACGTCGATTGTCACCAATGGAACTAAGGTGCTTGGGGTTGCCCCACAATTAAACCCTCTGCTGGTAAGCTGTTTCAATGTCTACAGTTAAAGTTCTAGCGGCAGCTACTCACACTACTTACTTAGGCTGGTATGGGATTATCTTTGTTGCCCAACCTAATAACTGTTCCTGGTCGCGTGCTGGAGAGTCCCACCATGGTCCAGTATAAAGGACAGAGCTTTAAAACCCCCCAAGCCGGGAACTGGAACCTTCAGAAGGTTGCATTCTCACAAGGGTCGCAGCTCCCTCCCTGGACGTACCTTTACTTCCAGGGCAATCGAACAAACCTAGAGGCTCTTTCAGAGAGCGTTGATAGATTTGTTGATATGGCAAGGCTGCAAGGTCTCGCTGTACCAGCACCAAGCCGACCAATCCCTGTCATTGTTTCTCACGGTCAAAGCCCGGAGGATATACCACTGGACCACTTTTTTGCTGAGATTCGCCAGCAATCCCGGGTAAGATTGGTACTAGTGATTCTACCTTTCGAAAGCCCTCAAATGTACAACCATATAAAGTATAGGGGAGATATCAAAGATGGTATACATACTATTTGTGTCGTTGCAGAAAAGTTCGGAAAGAACCAACCTCAATACTTCGCGAACGTTGCCCTTAAGTTCAACTTGAAGCTCGGAGGAATCAACCACAAGCTTCAACCGTCCAAACTGGGAATTATTTCCGAAGGTAAAACCATGGTTGTTGGTATTGATGTGACACATCCAGCCCCAGGTTCCCTCCCCACCGCACCAAGCATTGCCGGAATGGTTGCCAGCGTGGATAAGTTTCTTGCTCAATGGCCAGCCAGCATCCGTCTTCAGCACCAGGCCCGTGCAGAGATGGTCGATGATCTCGATCCAATGCTCCAATCTCGTCTTCGCCATTGGCAGAAAAACAACTCTAAGAGCTCCCGGAGAATATCCTGATATACCGTGACGGGGTATCCGAAGGTCAGTACGGCAAAGTCCTTGAGGAGGAATTACCTCTACTCCGCAACGCATGCAAATCCATATATTCAGCCGACCAAACCAAGAAAGGCCTCCCCAGAATCACCATCATCATTGTCGGTAAACGCCACAATACAAGATTCTACCCAACCGATCTCAAAGATGCGGACAACAACTCAAATCCCAACAACGGCACCGTCGTCGATCGCGGCGTCACTGAGACCCGCAACTGGGATTTCTTCCTCCAAGCCCACACTGCACTACAAGGGACTGCCCGACCGGCGCACTACTACGTGGTCCTCGATCAGGTTTTCTCCGGGCGAAAGACTTCGGGTCGCTTCAGCAGCATTGCCGACGAGCTTGAGGACTTGACACATAATCTCTGTTATCTGTTCGGGCGAGCGACCAAGGCTGTCAGCATCTGTCCGCCGGCTTACTATGCGGATCTTGTGTGCGAGCGCGCCAGACGTTATTTGAGTAGGTATTTTGACGTGACGCCTGAAACTAGTGTTAGTTCGTCCGGCGCTGGGAGTACTGGACCTGTGCCGACTGGTGGCGATATTCTGGTGCATAGGGACCTTGCGGATAGTATGTTTTATATCTGAGTGATATCCCCGTTTCCATATCATATCCAAGGAAGTTAATCGGGATTGGGTAAGCGTGCTGAAAATGATATGAAGGATAGAAACCAAGGCACAAGAAGGCCGTCAACTGTTATTTTGAATTGCAGGCATGATTTTCATTTTCTAACTTGTTGATTTCTGCACCATATTCTGTTCACTTGGTTATTTGACATGGATTACCTTTCCACGTGCGCTTGAATAATCAATTACACCCAAATTTGACTAGATGACACTTAGCTGAATGGAATGTGCTTTTCACTTGTTTAATGTTTTGTAGGAAGACTAGACCAATGAGCGTTCCGAACCATGCATGCCCAACTTGTTGAAACTTACCAACACAATTATCATAACAAATATACACATGCTTATAATCATACAGTCATACCAGATGCAAATGGGAAAATGAGAAACTTGCCCCGTTCTCTGGGCAAAAGAGTAAAGAAAATTCAGCGCCGCCGCGGCCCCCCCTCCCCTCCTCCTTGGTCTCCAAAAAAAAAAAAAAAAAAAAAAAAAAAACCCCAAAAAGATACCTATCATCGAACAAGCCCCACTATCCCCTTCCTCCCCAACAACGCCACAGCCCCCTTCTTCAAACGAAGCTTCTTCTCAATAATCTCCTCCGACATCCCTTGCTTATCCCTCATCGCCAAAACATGCCTGATACTCACGACATCCAAAAACTCGCGGCCAGTGTGGCTCTGTCGGCCGACGGACTCGAATTCTCGCGCTGCTAACTTTTCCAGCTCGGCACGGGAGGAGAAAACGAGAAGACTTGGGTTGCGGGATTTGGGGGAGGTCGTGGATGGGGGGAAGACGGTGGAAAGGGATTTCTGGTTGTTCCGCTGGGGTTGTTGTTGGTTGAAGGGGTTAGGTGTGACGGGCCCGATGGAGCGGAGGGATGCGGCGAAATGAGGATCGCGGGCGTCAAGGTCGATTGCTGTTTTGTTTTCTCCGGAGGGTGGGGTTGAGCGGTTTAGTTTTTGTTTGCTTGATGGGCTTTCATTTTTTTGTAAAACATGGAAATTGGAGAAGCTTGGAGAGATAGTTCGCGATCCGAGCCACATAGAATTTGTTTACTCTTTTTCTGTTCCTTGCTCTTCCTTGTCTTCTGGCTTCTGCATACAACACAAAGACAAATGACTAACCTTCTGATTTTATAGCACTCGGGTTTTGTTTTGAATGGAGTACTGGTCCTGGCGGCTCCTGTCGGGCGGCTGCTCTGGCCGCTCTATCCGCTGGCGGGTTTCCACTGGGGGCGGTGGTCGACGAGGAGGGGCTCTTGGGATATTGGCGGCGTACCGCAGCGTTGGCAGCTGTCTTTATTGGTTTCGATGATGATGCGCCCATCGCAATTGTGTAGGTTGTGCGACTGGGAATTGGAAAAACGTATGTTAGCAGCCCAAGCAGATGATGGTTGCGAAATAGTCCAAGCTTCTACGGGAGCCTACATGCTCCAAACTGTGCAATTTTAGGACCACTTCCCACTCAGTTCAGAGAGAGATGCTGGGAAAAAGTGGGGCGCAAAAGAGGATAACCAGAGCAGATTCTCTAAGAATCGCATAAATTCCACTAAATTGGTAAGGTCTAGAGATAATACATGTCCAGGAAATGCGTGGAGAAGAACCCCAGCGTCAAACTGCAACTCCATCTTCTGATGTGCTTGAATAGCCCCGAGCGAAAAAATGAAAGGAGTGTCAAACTACTTAGCGCAATCCTGCGAGACGTCTCTCCTGGACTTCGCTTAAAGCGCGGCTTCCACTCACAAAGGCAATGGCGCCCACTGCCAATGCAACAGGTAGCGTTTGGAACAAGTTCCATGTTGTGTAATAAAGGAAGAATATGCCCTCTAACCCAACAATCGAACCAATAAAAAAGATATGAGAGATAGGAGATGACTTTAGTGCAACCGGGAGGTGATTCAAATTTACGCCCAGGTAGAAGAACTATAGAAATGTTAGCTATGCTTTCTCTTTGCTTTGGATGGTCATCCTGGACTAGACGGTTTTGCATACCAAACCTACAAGTGTAGGAAAAGCAGCCAAGACTGCTACGGTAAACATCAGCGTTATGATGAATAAAGGGCTTTTGGGATCCGCCTTAAAGATATGGTGGATTTCCTCGCGCTTGCCATATCTGAGAGGATCTGAGGGAAGCGGTTCACTGGCAGCTTTGTCGCGGGTGACGTCCAACTGGAAAACGCCGCTTTCATATCCTTTCGTTGACCCGAATGAGGCGATCACAAAGTTGGCTTTGATGGGCTGCGAGGATTGGAGGAACTGAGTAGGAAGGTCTTTCTGTGCCTATATAAAGAAACGAGGTTGTCAATAATGCCACCGATTCCATTTGTGTTGCGTTACTGAGAGAATTCCCAACTAACCAACTCCAAATTTGCCTTTCCGCTTTCCTTCACATTTAATGGATAGGACAGGTCAAGTCCGCTATCGAGCTCTTTTAGCAGTAAAAAAACCTGGTGAGCTCTTTTGGCAGCAACGCCCTCCCGTGTCGTTAAACTAAGCTTAAGAATATCTGACTCTCCGAAAGGAACCGGCTTCGATAGTAGTTTATTCTCCGATAACCTAATTACTCCCCACATAGATAGAGATAGTCAGCAGCAGTACGGAATATCAACAACTGAATGTACCGGGCACGAGGGAAAGAAGAATATAACGCACTTCTGCTTCAATCCACTGCCACCTCCAGCACCCGTCTGTGCAATTGAGACCACCCCATCATCAAACCCCCAGCTAGAAGCAGCCCAGGAAGAAGGGAGTGCTGATAATAGGAGACCAGCTCGGAGAAGTGGCCGCAGCTGCATCGTTGGAAGTCAGGCGGACTTGAGACTCGAGAAAAAGATGTCTTTTCAAGCAAGGCTGTCCGGGAAGCAGATCAAAGTCTCAAGCCACCGCAATTGAGCAGGTTAGGTCCACTCCGACAGCCAATAGGACATTCAGCGACAGTTGGCTTGTGGTTTGTGATCGCGAGTCTTTTCTTGTCTTTGGCCGCGGACAGGAAAGCTGGCCACTGCTCCTGCTTTGGGTCTAGCGTGTCACACTAGGCCATGTTGGGCCGCAAGCCCTAATTGTTTTCTCCGAAAGACGACATTCACAGTCTTCAAGTGTAGCCTGCAGCTTCAACACCACAATCTCCACACCGGAGGAGATAACTACTACTACCAGGCAGCTGTTGTGCTCTGGATGGAATCAGCAAATGCCTCCTCGCACTTGACATGCATATTACCGTCATTGCCCTGAAGAGTCGCCGGTCCTGCACTCTTGTCTCTTCGTCAAATCTTAGGGCTGTGGCAGCAACTAGACTGGTTGGACTTTCAGGCTGTCTCCCACCAAACGAAGCGGTGTGGGTTTGATTGAAAAGCAAATAGCATAAGAAATATCTACGATTCTTGTGCTCTATGTCCATTTCTATTCGGCCTCTGCTGTTTAGATCGCAAGAGCTGCCATAAGTAGTAAGTGGTACAAATCCTCGTCAAGTTAATGACCCGTCTCTCAGTGAAGATTTTAAAAATATTCCAAATACAACACATTAGTTCCCCGAACCAAATACCTCTTGTCTTGTGTTATATATTATCTATTTTGAAATATTCTCTTAACAGCTTACCTTGTTCTTTTAGGCTGCAGATATCGCAATTGGCAATGAGTACGGGAGCGACTATCCTGGTAATTGACCGATTCTTAGCTATCTTAGCCATCGTACATTTATGAGTTCTCCCATTAATTCAACATGCTGGTATCCATGGCAGGCATATAGCAATGCCCACCCGCTTGTTGTAGAGCGGCCAATAGTCACAGTGTTGGATGATGACACCGGTTCTGCGAGCTTCTCACGAACTTCCCCTTCGTCGGGCACATCGCGCACATCGTATGCCTCAACTCGATCCAATTGCCCTCGCGTAACAGAGCGCCAACGGAATAATAACTGCAATCTTCAACACTCTAAAAGGGATTACGACAGTTGGGTTCCAGGTGTATTTTCTGCTTCTGGAATAGGGAATCACAGTCAGCGCTCTTCTGAACCTCTATTTTCCTCCCCACTTGGCCATGCTGTGGGCAACCATGATAGAGTTCTACCTAAGGAACGTGATCTCCATTCTGCGGCTGCGTCAAAGTCTGGTTTATTCAACCTTGTGAAGTATCCATGGGGCAACAATCCAATTGCTGTGGCGATATGGTTAGCTCAAAAGATCAACAGTATCAAAAAAAGCCAAGCTCCGCAATCGTGGATGCAAGACTTAGAACAGAACGCGCCAACAAGCAAATTCTCTCGAATTCCGGGGCGCCGTCATAGTCAGTTGCCGAATGGCGTATCTTTATACGCCGTTAGTGAAGTTCACTTTCCTCGTACTACCAAGCCCTGTCGTAAGTACTGTCCAAAAATCACTCCGCGCGATACACAAGGGTGTCTGTCTAATTGACTGTAACCTCTATAGAATCTAATAATAGACACAATGGCGAGTGCCAAACAGAAATCGATATAGAACGCCTTTACGGAGAACAAAGGCCGTCGTTGGATTCTTTTTCTACCCAATCCTTTTGTTACCAGATGGATTTGGAAGCACGAAGAATCGCACCAAGTCTGGTCAGATTAAAGTCTTTCAAACCAGGATATGGAGATAGACTATTTGGCATAATGGCGGACGATCATCATATAGATGTGGACACAGCTGCTGCAGGGAAACTTGTGGTAGATGTTCTTGCCACATTTACTTGCTCAGAATTGCAATCACAATGCCAAGCAGCTACGGATGCCCTGATTAAGGAGCTTGACAAGGAAACATGTCAGTCTCCACGATTTACAAAAATATTTACGATGCTGTCGAACGATCCTATTGTGACAAAGGCTGTGGATTTCATTGTTGCACAAATCAACTCCTGTGAATTTTCCTTGGGGTTGGATGGTGAATATGATGGAATCAGGAGCTTGTCAAACCACCACAACAATCCCAAGGCATCTCATTCACCACAATCCGTCAATAATGAACAACTGTCTATTGATACTAGGGCTCTGGAAAATGATCCCAACAGATCCCAGTGCCAGCCGCCTACGTCTTTTCCCCTCTTCTCCTCCCCTCATCCTTCTGGTCACGTCTTGCCAGAAAACACTCCCACTGATATCACCTCCGTGTCTATGATTGAAACTCAAAGTACATATATCCCAGAAAGCGTAACGCCTTCCATCATGCCGCCACGTCAATCGAACCGCATCAGGAAGCCCACACTTAGGGCAATAGAGGCCAAACTCAGCTCGCAGGCGAGGCCGAGAGTCAAAAGCCGGGAGCAAAAAGCCTCGAAAAAACTCGAATCTCGGCCCACACAAACCGAGGAGACTATCGCAAGAACCAACGAGGAGTATAATGATGTTAAAAGCGGCGTAGATGTCGCGAACAGGGAAGCTTCGGACACCACCGACAATGTTGATCTGACTCCCCCCGTGTTGGCAAAGAGGCCAATGACCGCGCGCTCTATTGACGAAATTGCAGCGATGGCCAGAAATGATGCTCAAAGGAGGACCGCTGCCGCAGGGCAACCAAAAAGAACTACGATCTCTCGCTCTATCGACGAGATTGCAGCAGCTGCCAGCCTCAACAGGCTGATGGACACAGGTACCTCTGGACCGACTTTGCCCAAGCAGCAACCGAAGCCTCCCAAGTCAACAACGCTATCTTCTTCTGCAACGCGTGCTTTAACCCCGGAAACAAATGCTATGGTGGAACAACTTCTAGATCTGGCAACGGCTGCTTCGAAACCCGATTTCCAACCAGAAATTGAAATTGACCTCCACAGAGCTCGTCGGGATTGGTATGCTGAGCAGCTGGCAGCTGCTTTGAACAAGGCCGCTACTGAGAAATCCTTAGAAACGAATTGGGCGCAAACAAGCCAGGAGACGATCCCAGACGGAGATCTTCTTTCTTCCCAGCCTACTCCTTCCAATGCAAATGCTCCTTGGTTAGAGACTAGCGTTGCTACCCTTGCCACCCAGACGGAAGATTTTGCACTCAGCATAACTGGCCATGCCGATTCTGCTTGTGCAGCCGCTAATGATCCCGATGTCCCGGCAGGTATGGCTGCGGTTCTTACCAGCCCATTCACACAGGTGGGCAGCACGGTAGAACAAACAAGCATTGAACAGCTTACTACAGTGGAAATACCCGTTTCTGATAAAGCTGTGGAGCCGGACGTGTCCAAGTGGCCTATTTCGAGCATCAACCAGAAGTTTCTCGACCCATCTATCTTGTCCCATTCCTACCTTCCTCGCCCGTGGACTGACAATGATGGCTGGATCCATACCGGACTTGGAAACGACCATAACGAAGAAGATGTCATTGTTCCTAATTCTTATACATGGGTACGACCTAGGGATTCGTTCAACAACCCCCGTATCGCTCCATCACCTCCTCGGCTGAAGTCCCTTATCCAAATCGAACTTGACGATGCATTCGGTTATCCTCCCCCAGGCCGAAAGCCAAACCTTCCACAGGATCTAGAAGGCCAATTCGTCCCAGAAGATGTTGCGGTGGAAAAGGAGAAAGCCAAAGTTTTCTGTGCAGCTCGGATTCGAGGCATCGCCATCGATCGCTCAGCCCTGCTGGAAGATATTCGGCTTGCCATTAAAAAGCACGATGAAATCCACGCTGCGAACGAGACAGCTTCGGGTTCCAGTGATGGAATTGAAACTGCCAATGGAAAAGCACCTGCGAAGTCATCCGACACATCTGCTGGAACAAGTAAGAGAACGAAAGCATCGCGGAAACGGAATGCTGGTCAAGCCTTGGGGATTGTTGCTCAGAAAGAGGATGAAGACGACCCTCACGTAAATTTGGGCAAAATATCAAGGAATAAAAAACGTCGCCTAAACATTGATGTGCCAATTGCCGAATCGAGTAGCGCGGCTTTAGGCCATGGAAGCGAAAGTGGAAGTCCAGCAGATGGGGAAAATGTGGAAATAGATTTAAAGCCGATTTTGCTTGCACCTCGTGGCCCGGGTCGCCCATCAAGAAGTGCAGCGGCCATTGCTGCGACCGCTGCAACCCGTGGTGTTGGAAAAGCCCGCCAGCGCCGCAAACACACTCAACTCCAAGCTCATCCTGAATCCATTACTTCACCAGCGAGCCAATCAGTTACAGATGAGCCTGCGAATAACTCTGTTGCTACCAAACCCAAAGACCGTCCCGCTACCGAAAAGGATGCTGTTTCTGTCCCTCGCCAGGGCGGGCAGGATTGAAATGCTTGCCCTTTAGAATATAGAGATGGACTACGGGCATTTGTTTCCTTTTACCCTATTTCACCACCTCATTAGTTGCAGGGTATCTACCCTATGTATAATTTCCTCCCCACGTCCGGAACGTCATTTTTATTTTCCATGTCCCGGAATCAGCATCGGAAACGAGGGAGAAATGAAAGGAAGAAGCCTCGGATTATCACTGTACATTACGACAGAAACAGAAAAAGTCGACGAAGCATATTTTGTGTCCAATTGGAGTTAGTTGGAGTTGATTTGGCTTTTTTTTTTTTTTTTTTTTTCATTCCCTCCTTGCCCAGGTTACCGCGCATCCATCAAAAACGAACTGCCTCCCAGAGGCAATGGAAGAGGAACTAACGTTCAGCTGAATTGAGGAGTTGCCAATTCATTGAGTTATGTGTCAACATGAATGTACAGCGTGTGACGGTGTAAATTTGTCTCTAAGAAAAGAAAAACGGATCAAGCATGAAGGCACTGCCAGCAGTGATCGGAGTTGTTTTGGAGTTTCATTCCTGGCCGTGTCCTTCTATCGTACTAAGTATAAGCCAGTGATATTGACGCGCAGTTCGTGTGCAATTTTGGCGTTTGAAGTGCTTGGTGACTTTCCCTGTGGATATTCTATTCATTTCTGCCTCTATGTCTATCACTCATGTACCATACACTATTACTTTGTCTCGATGTGGGTGAGAATATAAATAATAGCCTGTTCTGCATTTCTCCTTCCATTGCGCTGTGTTTCGATCATTTTGCCCCGCCCAATTGCTTGCTGTGCGAGGGACTAGGTCTATCGTGAATAGAGGGATTGTCGTTGAAGCAGACAGACTTCACCCACTATACTGGTATTTATTTCACTCCTCGTTTGGTGAAGATAACAAAGGCTGATGATATACACGGCCTAATATTAATACATATTTCATTCACGAAAGCAAGTCGCATCACTTTTGTATCATGCATCCATCATTCACCACAGGCCAGGCTCTGTCTCGATACCGTTTTCTAGATTTTCTACATGCGATGCGCGCCTTTTTCATCCATATGAACTGTACAAGGTATCCTGAATATGTAGCTCTCAGACACCCAATGCCTCATTAATTTGCCGATTCAAACTTTCGCGTATCTCGAACACGCGCAGCTTAAATTCGCCCCGAGTTTCTTTAGTTTAACTAGGAAGTTAGCGCAGGCACAGATTGACAGGCGATGCGATCTGTCCTGCCTATCAGCGAGCCGAATGGGCCTCTGCCGACAGGGAATATATCCAAAGCTTGACTCAATGCCGTAATTAGGGGTGGAAGGTTATTGCCGCGTTATTCTGTTTCGTTGCAAAATCTAATTTGCACGCGAGTTCTTGCTCTTCTTTTGTTTCGACATCTTTATTTATTGATCTATTTATTCTTGCCTCTTGTTCTGAATGCATCAGAATAACTAACACCTTCGAATCGGAATACAATATTTATATCCAGAAACATGTCCAACACCTCAGACGCTGTCGCCAAAAAACGCGGTCGACCAAAGAAAATTGTCGTGGCGCCGGCAATCGAAAAAATTTCCACCACGGCCTCGAAATCGACGACTATCATCACTCCAGGCACAAGCAAAAAGCCAATCTCGACCACGACGCCAACTCCAAGCAAATCCCCGCTCAAATCCTCGCGCAAAACCAATTCCTCTCCAGCATCGGAGTCTCACGCCGCAGCCAGCGCGCCAATTGACCAGAAACCCGCAGCAAAGAAAGGCAGCCGGGCTCGGCAGAAGAAAACATCTATTTCTTCTCCTGACTCGCCGCAAGAACCGCTGGAAACACCCAGTGATAGTAATAAGGCAAAGAACGAGACGGCGGACGTGAAATCTAGATCCAAGGCCGTCGCATCGAATCCACCTACCGAACCGTCCATAGCGTCGCTAACTCCATCCACAGAATCGAAGTCGATTTCTCACACACAATCTACAGAGTTACCAAGTAAGCAAAAAGTCACCGGAGGGAGGCAGCCGGAAACCAGAAGCACAGTTCAATCTTTGGAGGGAATAGAGCCATCTTCTGGTGGCAGGGAGACAATAGAGCAAGAACAGCACGCGGGCCAGACAAGACCTGCAAATCCCGCCGACGCTGGTGCAGCCGTGAAGGGCTCCTATATCCTTAACGCTTTGGCGGCCAGCAGGAAATCGACAAGAACCGCAACGTCCGTAGAGGACAAAACTAAGATCTCAGGGTCCACAGAGCCCTCAACCGCAGCTCCAACGGACATGCCTCCTCTGGCACGCAAGAATGCCTCGTCGTCTGGGCCACGGCAGCGCCCGTCTCAACCACCGCCCATCAAGCCACCATTGATCCAGACTGCTTCCGCTCCGAGAGAAGCACAGCGGCCAAAACCGCAACAAGCTCCGGTTGTCAATCCGCAGGATATCAGAAATACGAAACAATATAAAACTGCTGCGAGAAGGTAGGCACTTGACAACAAGAAAATTCCTTCCTTTGGGATCCATGGTTATTCCACATTTACAAAACGCCATTTTCGCTCTTCCATTGCCATCATCTTCAATAACAACTGACAATTCCCTGCGTATGTGCTCTCTTGCAGATGGACATCGGTAATGGTCGCGTTGCCAATTCTGTTATATACCAGTTACGCCCTCTATGAACGAGGTAAGATGTTCTAAAACCCCTGTCCATCTGTCTCCCAAAATCCCCACCAGAAAAGTTTATACCGATACCCCATGACCTGGAAACTTGCCATTGTCTATGTATGTCTAACAAATCTTTTCTTTCTGTATAACAAAACAGTCTTCGCCGATAAAGCCCCCCGTAGTCTGCCAGGAACAAATAATTTCCCACCAGTCAGCGACAATTCCACTTCCTCTTCCCCTTCGCCATCATCTCCATCGACGCCAGCATCCACGACCATGACCCAAGACAATTACAACGGTTGAAAAATTCTTCGCCCTATATTAGAATATACTGGCCACAGGATAACGATCTGACTTAAACGCCCTTCCCCTTCCGGCCCGGTATGTTCCATTGTTTTTCTTTCCCTCGTGGTTGAAGCCACTCAGGGGTGTTTTGATGGTTGTAATACCTACCTCCTCCGCCTCCCCTCACAAAAACGCCGCACCCACATCCGATCCGCTCCGCTCCGCTCCGCTCCTATGACAGCATACCATTCGCTTGTATTTATGATGCTCTCGCCTGTCTTGAATGAATTATTTGCACACATACAGGGTAGATAGCGCGTGAACTATCCAGTTCATCCTCTCTCTCTCTCTCTCTTATCTCCGCTTGAAGAACTCGCTGCTTACTCGCTCAACGGCCGCCTGCACTCACACTTATGTATATGTATATGTAATGTATATAGATGTTTTGGATTTTGCGTTATGTCCGTCAATTTTAACGATTTATTTATTTATTTTCCCCCTGTGTTTAGTGTATTATCTATCACCGGCCCATCGCAGCCGAGAAGGGGTTGGGAGGGGGTTTGGACGGACAGACACCAATTTCATAGGTTAGAATGATTATATTTAAATTATATCGAATTAAATTAAATTTAAATCAAAGAAAAAGAAAAAGAAAAACCAAAGGAAAAGAAAATTCGAATATTTATGTCAAGAAATTCGTCAATTGTTGTATTCCGTTCTCTATACGTCTTCTCAATCGGCGTTGTAGACTGTATTGAGCATCTAGATCATCTCTCGCTGGAACGTAAGATTCATGCAGCCGTTAAAGGGGAAACAAAATCCCCAGGGAAGGGGGTGGGATAGAATATGCTACTAACACAGAAATTTCAAGAAATGACAACCAGAAAGAGGAGAAGACAAGACTGGGTGCAAGGAGTCAGCCAGTTGGTGCTAGAATCCCGGGAGAATTGAAGATGAGCAAAATCAAATCCGAGATGGAGGCGTAAGCGAGATATATAACCTAAACGTGGGTATCATCAAATATCGTCAAAGGCCGTAAAACAAAAAAAAAAAAAAAAGAAAAGAAAAGAAAATTCCGAAAATTCCGAAATATAAAAAAGAGTGCCAATTCGCTCCGGATCGCCTGTTTAACCTCTAGATCAAGATTTTCTCTCTCTTTTTTATTGTAATTTGTATTTTTCTTTCTTTCCATCTTTCAAGTGAAACATTTTTTCCAATCTCCCCCTCGCCGGGCATAGCTCAACGCCTCCACAAAGTCGTCCAACCGACACCTCCCCAATGCATCAACTTTGCACCCATGCAGCGGCATAACCCGGTCATTAACCAACACACGAACCAGCGGCTCTCTGGCCACAGGCGTCGAATCACATTCCATCTTCTCAATATACGCCCTGCTACCGAACGGGACAATCCAGGCGGCAGACAAGCCCTGGTTCTCCGCGGGGCTCTGGACGGTCGTGTTAGAGAGCAGCTCCGTGCCGTTGAAGAGCCCCAGCGCCGTGAATATGGACATCATAGTGGTATCGTGGCTGAAGTCTGCGTACAGGGACAGTCCAAGCGGGAAGGCTTGCGGGTCGGAGTCCAGCGTGTGGTTGACGGTGGTGGAGTCGATCACGGGCTTATTGGTGAGGCGGGATATTAGCTCGTTGACGAAGCCGACGCCCTGGCTAGCGCCGAGCGGGTTACCACTGCTGTAATGGTAGTATTTTCCTAGAGTGCCGTGGTAGTCATATTGGATCCATTCTTCGGCAGTGAAGAGGCTGCAGACAGGGGAGATGGTGCTTGCGTCTTCAGTGAGCGCGACAGTTTGAAAGGGGCAGATGTCCATTAAGTGGGGAATGTCTGGTATGTCGAGGTTCGCGCCGATGAGGTGAGATTTGACGCGGTTGAGAATTGGAGGCACAAAAACTTCTGCGAATTCTGATTGTGCAAGGCGGCCTGTTTGGGAATTTTCAAAGACGCTGCAAGTGCCGTGGTGGAGGGTGTTGTTGAAACCCGGTTCTTCGCTGATTATCAGGTCTATGGACGGTTTGCGGGTTTTATCGATTGCAACCGGGTCCAGCACTTTCTCGTGATGAAAGCCATCGATGAAATTTTCGGCAGAGTGGATTACCCTTTGGGATCCTGATGCGCGGATGAAAATGGTCGAGTCTTTCGCTAGATGCTGATAACGACGGTAGAATTTTGTCCCAGAGTCGATCATCTGAGACGACCCGAAAGGCGTAAGGATATCAGACTGCAATTGGTGATCGAACTTTTCTAAAAACGCGAAATCGCCAGTGTATGTCTCGGTGCTGTTTTGGATGCGCTCAATGAGTTGCGAGTAGAGAAAAGTTTTGTGTTTTGTTGGATACCTTGCTCCATGCCTTGACAGCACTTGAACGAAAGTAACGTTGCAACCAATGGGAATTTGCGGAGATATATGTGAGATAGTGCCCAGAGAAAAGAAAGGGGAATTGGGGCCCCATAGTTGAGAGCATTCCTGGTGGCATCGGTATCCGTCCTGCACCGTGCTGCATAACAGACCCCGACCAGAATTACGGGAAACGCTGTGGCATACATTATTAGCAGGTTTCCGATTTCGATTGTTTGATGATTGATGATTTCATCGCTTCAGTTTCTTACAATGTGTAAATAAACACTCCACATATCACTATCAAGATAGTAACAGCGGAGAGAGTAACGCAGCGTTCTCTTAAAGCGGGAACCGTATGTTTTCGGTCCAAGCGAGGCCACTGGCGTCTGCGGGAATCCCGAGATGTTCTTGATTCAGCATCTTGTCCCCCAGGGCCGTCGCCGTCTCCGTCATGCCAGGCCAATAGCGCTGTTAGATCGTTGATTTCTACCATTGCCTAATCGTTCTGTGAGGCAAGAGGAACACCAGGCCCCATGCTGGCTATCAATGAAGAAGCCAAAGGAAACGCCTCGATATAAAACAGCGTACAGCACCACTCCACTCCCCACACACAAAAAAACAGAGGCGAGATGGAATCCTTGAGATGGAGTCTAGAAAGGATGAGCAGAGGCTCTGTTAGCCAATGCCCGCTTCACATGCACGTTTGAGTGGCTGCCGCAGAGCCGCCGCTAAACCTTCCTCAAACGGCAGGCGCCAGAGTCAGGTGATTTAGCAGCCCTTGGCTTTGGACTCCTCACAAAGTCTGATGGCAAGCAGCAGTCGAGTCAAATGCGAAACGATGGTTAGTCGAGGGAAAGCTAACCAGCAAACGGAACGTGAACGAACTGCGAGTCTGAAGGAACACTGCGAGAAATAAAGAAAGAAAGTGGGATGGGGGGTCACAGGATAGAAAACGCTGAAAATTTGATCCGCAGCCGGTTAGACGACGTGGGACCAGACAAGCCAAACTGGAGGGGTGTGCCACGAAAATGAAGGGTAGCAATGTTTGATCCAAGACTGCAGCTGCCAATAGAAAACGGTTCGACGATAGGCTCACATGCTTTGGAGGGTTCCACCACAAAAGAGGGCCCACGTAGCGGCGAGCAATAGAAAGGTAGATATAAAACGGCGATTATTATATCGGTGTTGCACGCCAACAAGAACGACTTGAGCTGTTGGAAGAGGTGTGCAGAAAGGTTAATTAGGGTTACAGGAAGCAACTAACTCGTTATTGCCAATCGAGCTTGAATACGGGGGTGGAGAAAGTTACTGCGTAAGTCCTTGCAACACACTAGAAAGAAATATAAATGGAAATCACAATACCAGAGCTCAAATAAAACCACTCCTCACATCGAGGTTAAGAGGTCGTGATGCCTAATGTGACGGCCAAACTTTAGGCTGCAAGCCCCTAAACCGCCCCCAACTGTTTAGGGCGCGTTGCCAGCTAGCATGTGCAACGGCTTTGTTTCCACGGCTTCGTCAGCTTCGACAAGGCTAAACCCAAATCCGCGGCCGGGGGCGTCCAACGGCTGCGTTGGACTAGTCCCAAAGAAGACTGGTTTGCTAACCAGCCCTAACCCCTGCAACGGTACCCTGGTGATCAATATGCACATCACCTGACCCCACTCAGCCCTAATTAGGCTTGCCAAAAGTGGCCAAAGCATCATCCAACGCTCACAGGGCTGCAGGAGATTTCCCCATTGGCCGGGTTCCGGTGCTGCTTATCTGCAAGGAAAGGACGCAGCCCGGCGCATTTCACGCATGCGCTGTCAGTCAGGTGATATCAGGGTGGGAAAGTGCGCGAGGAGAAAAAGGGGCGTGGGGGTTGCAAGGGGACCCTCGGGTGGTGGAGTTCATATTACTAGGCAGTTTTTAGTTTACCGCGCTGGCCAGGTTGAAAATGCAGTATCTTTCTTTTCCCTGATCAATTTCGTTGGATGTGTTTCACGCATGTAAAAGCGTTTCGGAAATAGTCGATTACATGTACAGAGCATGCATATCGATATATTCTCTCATCACAAAGGGGGGGGAAAAGGACGTGAAAGATCAGCTATTGCATTTACGCAAACATCTGTCAATTTTAATGGTAAATCATATGGCAGAATGAGGGGGGCATTTGAGAAGGGAGACATAAGAAATGACAAAAATAACAAGGAGTGGCCTCGAGGTTGTAAGGAAAAGTTGGTACAGGCTAGCCAATAACATCGTATAGTTAGCGGATTTGGAACCCCGTAATTCTGACCAAGAGTGGAACTGAAAGCATGGGGTGATAAAAATGGGGCATTCAATCCGCAGCGGATAAAGATAGTAGGCAGGAATAACAGCGGATGAGAATAAAAAACAAAATGGACGTGAAAACTGTATAAGGAACAACACTCTCCAAATTCGCCATCCAGTCTATGCCAGCAATACAGACTCCAACACAGAGCGAAATAAGGCTCTTTATTTCGGTACAATGAGACAACGCTGGAGAAAAAAGGAGTACAAGAAGTTTACACAAAGAAGTGAAAATCTGTCACAGGAGGGCAGGTAGAATGATGATAAAGGCGGACGCAGTCGCGAAAAGAACTCGAATAGGGATCAGGGCACAAAGGAGAACGAAGAACGTATAGCAAGAGCATGAAGCAAGGGAATTATGTTCGCGAAAGCAATCATTCGTGCCTCCCAGGGTATCAATATGAATAATGTTGGAAAGAACACGCACACACACACAAATAGCAAAAGGGTTGTAGCCACAAGAAAAAAAAAATGTCTTGTGACCTTTCTTTTCAGCCAGACTGAGAATGCAAAGTAACCTCCTACAAAACAAGAGGTCCAAAAGCCAAACAAAGAGGCCGATCCGCATATACACCGAAGATAAGGAAAGAAATGAAAACCGCGGCCTTCAACACCTCTGGTCCTGATGCACGCCGGCGGGGCCCGAATGGAGAGAGCTCCAAGTATCAAGTGCGACAAAAGCGAGTAGGGGGGGTTATAGTTGGTATCGGCAGAGCACTTAAGCTCACTAACGACTGATAAAATAAACGACAGAGCCGGGAAACTGAAATGAGATATAAGAGGGTAAACAGAGTAGAAAGAGGCAAGGAGAAAGAGGGATAAAAAAGTTTGTTTATTTGGGGGGTGGGGGGTGTTAACAATGACAGCTAGACGCCTTCTGTCCGTCCCGAGGTTGCCCTCATCTTACCGTATTGTATGTCTTAGGAGCTCGCGATGTCAAAAATTGCAAAACATAAAGGTACAGCAAAGCAGCATTTATCTGTTACAATACCTAGCAAAAAGGCTGACTTAAATAATAGAATCAACAAAGAAAAGCAGGAGAGAGAGAAGAGGCTGGTGAAGAAATTGCGATCCATTATCTTGGACAGATCAGTCGCATTCTAGTATATATATTGCAAGAAAAAAAAAGAAAAAAAACTAAGGACCAGTATTCCAGCTCCTCTCCGGCGGCTCTCTTGGGGATTGTATAGGAGGCAAGGAAGCATCAGGAGGAACGCAAGCCGCGGGATAGTGGGACTGCGGACCGGATCGCGCTGTTTGAGAAATGGGCGTAACTGAAGCTGAGGTGCTCCATGAGGAGGGGTACGGGTTCGATTGGGCTGGTGACATGGGAGGTAAAGGCAGCCTAGTTGGCGCAGAACTTGTCCTCTGGCGTACATGTCTCTCACCGCCTGGTCGCTCCAGGCGATCTTGCAACGGCTGTTCACTTTCTGATTCAGAAACCGGGGCAGACGACTGGCGAAGCCGGGGGGACGTGGGTCTCGGTGGGATACGATGTAAGCCAATCTCTCTGTCGTAAAGTGTTCTGAAAAAGTCCCGCTCCACGCGGTAGAAGTCTCTCTCTTCAGTCAAAAATTTGATGTCGTCCTTTTGTCTTTCCACTTCCTGTTTCATTTCCTTCTCATTAACCTTTTTTCTCTCCCTGAACCTCTTGGAAGCATCGCTATTCTTTAGTCGTTTCTCTGCTGCCTTTCGTGACCCAGAATCAAAATCCACTGGCACGCTCAATCGTGACTGAATATCCCTGGGTGAAGCAAATTTATTCTGTCCGCCAACAAACGCGTAACTAGATCCGCCCTCGTGTGGCGTTCTACTTCGGTTTTCTTCACCAGTAAATGAGATTCCTGCAGACTGAGATAGTGAAGTAACCGGCTGTTGAAGCAAATTGGTAGATGCCGGAACATGCGAACCTTGGATTAAAGGACTATATGCTGTATTGGATGTACCTGGGGCTGTCGTTTGGGGGCCAGATGATTGTCGTCCAGTTATGGGCCGCGGATCAATAGGGAGTGTAGTCGGAGGAATAGATGGATGGGATATGGAATATCTCATTGACAGAGGAGCCTCCATTGTTGGCCGCATGGTGGGGTCTCCATATAGTTGTTGGGTAGGAAGGAATGGATTGTTCTCCACAGCCATAGTTCCACGGGCAGGGCCGTAAGAAGCCCCAATACTTGCAGCGCGGGCTCCAGGCGATTTTGCCGTAAGTATATGACGTTGAGGAAGGGGGGAATATATCGTGCGATCATGTTGTGATATTGAACGGTCCGATTGGGGTGTTAATCCCGCAGAGGATGGTGTTACGTGCGGATTAGTCGATGGAGAGGGGGATGTCGATGGCGTAGCTCCGACAATATCGCGATTGGCCTGCTGGACAGAATGTCCCGTAGCCAGGGTATGGGAAGGATTAAGAATGGCATGCATCCCTATGGATCGGGTGGTTGGCGTTCTCCATGCAGGATCTGGGGAGCCCGTCCTCCCAGGCTGCGGTGCAGGGCCACTGTCCCTAGTTGGTGGTGGTTCTAGGAGTTCAATTGTCCCATCATTGCGGCTCCGGGGAGATAACTCGGCTGTCGCGACAGTTTTGCGTACGCGGCGGGACGGACTGCCGGACGGAAAGTCTGATGCATGTGGCCGTTTCGACATATGCTCCTGCACTCCACCGAGGGATAGATTTCGTGGAGCGTAACATGGACGATCTTTCCCTCCCTCTTGAATGCTCCGGCTCTCAGACGGTCGAAGATAAGAGAGGGAGGGTAACCGACTATGGTCCTGGTAAAATCCGTTAAATGTATGGTCACGGGCTTGTGAAGAGGATGTAGCCCTTGTGTACTCGATGTGTTTCTGGGGAAAATTGCGAATTCCGAGCGCAGCCACGATGAGGTCTTCGAAGATGGATATCGTATAACGTTATTTCCCAGCCAGGTTAGGTTCTAGAAAACACCAACAACAGATATGCTTACGGATCCAAGGGGCGCGAGAAGGAGGTGTGAGGATGATTGACAGAGCAACAGCTCAAAAATATGGGGTAGCTCTTCGCCACTGCATGAAGAATGTATGGGGGAAATCAACCACGCGTCAGGTCCCTTTCTTCCGTAGAACGAAGAAATAAAAGGAAGAAGGGAAAGGAAAGGTTGGATCCTTTGGAAATGGAAATCTTCAAGTGGTCAATCATCAAAAAAGAAAAGAAATGAACAAGCGGAGGGAGGGAATATGGAAGTCAAAAATCAGGAGAGGCGGACAACCACTCCAGTCAAGTCATCAACGCGCTGGATCAAACATGCCTAGTTATAGGCTCGTAACAAAAGCTAATACAGGCTTGGGCTAACGGACCGGGGACCACGGAAGGGATGGCTTGGTGAGAAACAATGCCCTTGGCGAGAGCGAGCGCGGAGGTGAAAGCAGGCAGCGCCTGAGCCTCTGATAATGGGCGACAGATGCATGGAAGGTGCCCACGAGAATGGTAGAGGGGCGTGATAGTGGACCCTACAAGTGCGCTAGGAGGTGCCCCGGACGCCGGCAATTGGGCAGCGAGCTTAAACCTCCACGAAAGTAGTGTGAATGGCTTCCGCTGAATGATCGTTGCACAGTCCGTCGTTTTTATCCTTTGACGGTCCATCCCAGGTGTTTTGCAAGTGATCCACACCGGTCTTGGGGCTTGTTGAGGAGGTGACTTGACTTGACCCATCAGTGATGCAGTGATGCAAGATTGGCCATGTAGGTTGGTTCCTGGTACTTTGACCTTTTTAGGATGATATTCCTACCGGTTAGCCAACTGCTATCTGTGAGTCTTCGCCGTTATTCGCTGCGACTCACCGTCTAAACTTCCTAGACTAGCATAACTGGTCCGTAATTTATTATTGCCAGGGTTTATTTCGGTTTCTTATCCTATTCTTTTCTCGCTTACCCGCTAGCCGTGCGCCGGCCGCCAGAGGACGGATCTCGGGGTGCTTTGCATACCATGGAGGCAGCTTCTGTCCAGTGCTTTTCATCATCATTGGCAGCGCCGCTCATGGGATCGTGAAGGGGGAAATTGCTTGCACGAAAAAAAAAAAAGGTGTACCGACTCTGCAAGGTCAAAGATTCCCCCACGCGGATTGATTGCTCATTGCATTCCTTTTATCTTGACGCAAGGGGCAGCTCAGAAGCAGCAGTTGACTTTTTTTTTTTTTGGTTTGTCCCTGTCGTGAAAATTCGAAATACTAGGGGCGCAAATGCCTCGAGGGCAACTCATGTGTTGCTGTCAAGATGCGGTACATGCAGAAAATGCATGTGGTGCACTGACAGCAAAACTAGGCAGAGGAACGAATGATGTCCTTTTCGTTTTCGCCCGAATGCCATCTAGGCTGACTGGCAATGGCAGAAACTGCCTGGAATTCTGATTCAAATACTTCATTCCGCAAGAATATACACATTCCCAGAAGCCATTGGTAGCAGTACGCAGTCAAATCTTCAAGCTACCCTCTTTTTTTCTCATGGGAACTCCATACGAATATCAACAAGCCTCCAAGTGCGCGCCTGGACAAGTGATTATTGAACCAAGGAGGCCCCTATCAGTACAAAGACTCTTCCTAGTGAAATGTGAGCTGCTTCCTGACTCGCTCGAAACTGGGCAGGATGTATACTGCGTATATGTCTTCACAACAGGCCTATGAACAGGACTCCTAGCTCGTCGCATTGATCAGATATATTTCTCATTATTTTCATAAAACTGAGCTTTCAACTAAAAGTGCTATTAATTAAAATACATTCCCTTGAGAGAACAGGACGTGGACGGTTAATCCGTACTGCTGGTGGATTAATATCTAGCTGTGGACCACGGCCATTAATCTTAAATGTACTGTACTAAGCGAAAACATTGGCCAGCAGTGTCCTCCCAGAGAGTACGTTGCAAAAGCAGCCTATAGAGTTCCCGAACCATGATATATTCAGTCAGATCGGAGCAGCGAGAAAACAGTTGACGCGCTGTTGTTGATTGAATCGGTAGTGAAATGAACAACGCAGGCGGTGTAATATCAGCCCTTTACCGATGTCTGCCCACGGCGTTCACAGTCAGAATAATGAGCTCATCAAAGGATCGAGCCCCCAGTGACACTGCCACCTTGACCGGGACTGGTGAGAACAGTAGCGGAACCCAAGGAACTGGTATCAGGCGCCAGTTGGGCAGGAAGGTCCAAGAGTCTTTCGTCCAACTGGCCAGTCGGGGCGGAGGGGACAAAGCATTCTCCATTCAGAAACAGCCAATCCTGAAATTCTCAAACTGATCTTCAGTCTGGCGCTGATTTTAACCTTGAACAACCAATCAAAATAAGTTTGCAACGGTTTAGAGCCCGTGTTTTCCCCCGCCACGATACATTCGAATAAACCCTAACGAGCGAGAAAGCCAGCTAGAATTTCGATGAAGGTTGCTCGCTGAGCCAGGCAATATGTGACTAAATTATTGACGCTGGTAGGGATATTATTCCAGGGGTTGTACTTCTTGGCCCGCCTAAGGTTAGTTGGACGAACTCATTTGGCAAAGTCCGCAACTTGATCCTTGATGATGATGATGATGATGTATTATTTATTATTGTAGGGGCCCACGGAACTAACTGGCATCAATAATAATGGTACGGCCTCAGCCTCATGGAATCGATCAGGTTCCACATGAAACCGTGGCCATGAATAGTTCCGTCGTTAGTTGAGACGCCAAGGGGACAGCTCCATCTGCCGCCGGGTTGACTCTAAATAGTCGTTATGCACTCCGAAGTTGTGAGCTATATCATATATAAGCGGTGCCAAAATGCTCCTCTACTAATGTGCAGGAGTCACTTTTCCCGAAGATCCTAACGGCGGCGGCATCACCTATCCCCCCAAATGGTGGCCGGATCCATGTTGTAAACGGCGAAATGGCTCCCGAAGGAACGAGAACATATGCAGAAACGTGTGGGTCGAATCTCATAAACATCAATTGATGAACGAGAAATCCTTTTGCACTTCCACTCCGTATATGGAGTACATTTCCTTCATTTAGGGATCTAGAGACGCATGCCTAGCTGCTCAACCTCTTGGAGCAAGCTTGGAATCGAAGCATTGAAAACAAATCGACATAGAACATTTCAATTGAAAATACATACTCTGTGTTGCCTTCCTAGACGTCACCCCATATATTGTTCTTTTTGATCTGATGGAATTAATAGCTTCAGAATACCATGAAGCTGACAATAGCGCATAGACGCAATGCGTGGAACAAAAATGCTTTCACGCGCTAGAAATTTACATGATAAACCCGTTACATACCAGTTGATTGGGGTTTGTTTCAGGGCTGGCTGGATGCTTAAATCATGGCTATCATGTTAGATGTCAAGGCCCCCACAACTTCTGTCCATGAGGGGTCGAAATCGTTGAAATTTTCATGTATATTTCTAGCCTCTTGCAATTAATTTTGTTCCACGCCTCCGTGCAAAACGACGTACCTTTATTAGTTTATCAGTTTTGGATTTTGAATGACAGCCGTCTCCGCCATGGACATCAAGAATCAGCTATAATAGGCCCATCGGAACAATTCACTCTGGTCATCCACTAGTTAAAGGGTATCCTCACATGGAACTGAATTCGTATCAGCAATTGCGGAGGAAAATTGTTCAAGATGATCGCTAAAATATAGATACAGGTATTTTTGCCTGTACGATGTATGATAACCTCATACCGTCAACCGTTCATGCTCGTTAAAGAGAGCACTGTAGTAAGGTTCCATGACTCTTGCTTTCTCCAAGACCATTCGATATCCCATAATTCTTTGGCAAATTCAAAAATTGGAACATGGCGGGTAAAGGCTTGATTCATGATTCAGTTTCGATCGATATGCGGGTTGCTGTTGGATTACGAATTTACGAGCACTATTTGTCTAAAGCACCGACATCTTATTGGGGGCGAGAGGAAAAAACGAAGCATTCGGCTCGGTGGCTCTTGGGCGTAATTAACGACTGTTCTTCAGGAGGCAACATCTATGTATCATATCATGCAAGTCACAAGAACTTGCGAGGCCACCCGCCCAATGACTTCACTGCAGAATCCCCACAAATGTGCCTTGCTGTCACGATTCCTCCATGTCCGGCGGAGTGAACAGCAACATACCCGAAATTGGAGCCGAAAATGCGGCCCAGTCCCAACTGGCTCACAGAGCCATCGTGTGGAGAATGGTAGATATAGCGTCAATGCCAATTACTGACCACGAGAACAGTGCAGCAATCCCTGAAAATACGAAGGCTCTTGGTGAAATGGTGGCCTTGCGCATCTGCATGATCTGCAGCAAAGGGGTCCTGCGGTTTGATGGCAGGCTGAATCTGACCCAGCATTAGTTGATAATATCTGATACGGGGAGCATGTTGCGCAGGCTAGGCGCAGAAGACCCGATCCAGCGGACATCCCCCATCCAAACATACCTCCAGGCCATGTAGAGATCCACTTCGCCAGGTAGATTATTGAGTTTCGGGTAGGTGAGCCGCTGGCAGTAGTCTTAACTAGGTAGTAGGTGGGGATAGCAAGGAGGAGAAACTTTCGACCCAGAGACCGAAGTTCCAAAGGAAGGGTTTGACCTGCCAAGAAAGACTTTGACAATGCTGCAATGATGGACCAAACGAAATAGTCATAGAAACCTCACAATCTGTTCTACGTTCCTCGACGTGGTGTCTCTGCGCAATGGTTAATTCAAGCACCAATTCCATACATCCCTGAGGCATATCCAAATAGCACTTCCTTTGGTCTTCAGGAGTGAATATACTCGCGCGAACTGGGTCTGTGTCAAAGTGAAAGTCCCGATGCCATCCCAATACAGAGCATGAGATCGTCCCCCACTGCATGTTCGGGATCAGGTTTCATACAGAGGTGGAAAAAAAAACAAAGTCAAAGCCCGAACATTCTGCTTTTCCCAATCTATGCACGTTTACAGCTTGCAGATGGATGGCGCCGAGTTCTTTGGTCCTCGTTCTCGTGCCCTCAGGGATTTAGTTGCTACCTAGCCGAGAGTTAACTGCACCATCACCAAGCCACACTCGATCCCTCAGTGGAAAAAATTGTGAAAATGACGATCGTTTGTAAGAGCGGTGATGAACGAAACGCAACAGAGAGCGCATCCCCCTTTCTATTCAATTGGATTATTTCCACTCCCCTTCTCTGTTCAAAAGCTATTCCAGCCGAATTATCCTTCAGGTTGACAAGTAATAGGGCTTCAGGGCTACGAGGAATGAATCACTACTATTCCTATCATGTATCCGCATGTCCGCGACACCTCGACATCTGGGTGCCTTTATCAGTACTCGTATCGAAACGATCTATCATATGTACTCATAGTCTCACGTTTCCGAGAGATTGGACATATCTCGGTAGTTGTGGGATGTTCCCTGTTTGGCGGCACTTGTTACGTTCGTATTCTGGCAGCACACCCAGTTGCAATTCTACAAGCCCCTCTTGAGCGTGGGTGAAAGACAAGAGCAGTAATTATTCTGAGTTAGCGGCATTGCGAAATCTTCCTTAGTTGAAATTTTTCGACAGAGCTCTTGACTGAACCCCAGTGCTGAAGAGCGGAAGGAAAGGGAGAACCACAGAAATATTCCTTGATATATCATCAGTCAGGCCATGCAACAAATTTACGACAATTATCACATCTTCCACCCTGCTCGAGTCTTTGAAGTTTGTCAGGAATCATCTTTCTCATTTACCAAAAAGGCTGTGATGGGTGGAGCATTTGATTCCAGGCCAATTCCCAATCACAGCTGGAACATTAACCTGAATTTTATGCCAAATGTTCCCCTTAACACCTGCATCAACCTTAAAAGTTACCCGCAAAGCAATCATGATTATGAGCAGAACCATTCGCAGCCGAGATGCAGAATTCCATCCCCGCAAATTCCACAAAACATTCTCGGTCCGCATTTGGATTTCTCCAGCCATGAGATTCCCCTCAGCGAAACTCGAAGTATCTCGCCACTTCCCTGCTGTGTAACATACGATCCATAGACAACTTTGATCATCCATTGCAAAGTTGTCTGGCGCTGTTCTTCTTGTGACAATAAAAAAGAAAAAGAAGCGTTTGCTGGCGATGATGTACGTTTCGCCATCGGAGTCGTCCACCATCAAAATGCTCCCACCAAACGTGTCCTTCACAGAATCACCGAGACTATCATCCGGTTCGTTCCAGCCCATTCCATTGGGCATTCCCATATTTTCAATCATCATCTGCACCGATTGGTCCAGGTAAAGCCTTTTAAGAATCCTTTTATTCGTCAGCTCTGCGACCCTCAGATCCGCCATTTGACCCATTGAAACAAATTCTCTTCATCAGCTAAGCCACCTCCGGAATGAACCAGCCATTTAAAAGAAAGCAAGGGGATTTCCAAACCCTTATCATTACGACTAAACCAAATGACAATCAGAAATCAGAAATACAAAACAGGAGACCAGCAAGGAATCTCATACTTTCCCCTCCAACGATGAACAGCTTCTATGGATATGTGAGCCTCCTAAGTTTCCGGTTGACCGGAGTAAATCCATGCTTCGCGACGACGATGATCTAGCCATCGCCAGGAAGGGATTTGATATTTTCTCATATACGCTATATTTTTCTTCAATTCACCCAGCGGTGGGGTAATAATCAGAAAAATTGCGGCTCGCTGGGGAATAACAACGCTTCCTATATCGATTAACTAACGTGACAGTGTCCCCCCAGAACACTCCGTTTCTCCCCCACGATGTCGATAAAGTCGAGCTCGTTTCGTTCTTCGTTGTACTAGGGACTTTCTCCGGGGGCCCAGCAACGTTCGCGTATGGGTGGCCACGGCGGAACGAATAACATACGCAGCGTAGAGGTTTTAACACCCCTTAAGGTGGGGCAACACGTCTTGATATTATATAAGATAGAGCATTTCTTTTTCTCCCGCTGACACGTTGCAATCTTTCTCAGCTCTGAACACAATTACCTTTCTTTCTTCCTAATACGAAAGGGTGACAAGAGATACCGGGGAACAATTCAATAACTACAGACAGGAATAAATCCTCATGCCAAACTAAGATACATACGTCTGTGATAACCCGTCTCTAGATCTCAGCCATTTTGCTTGGCACTGTATTGACTGGTTTTGGTGCCCTTTCCATAGCACTCCCTGTTGCATGTTACCTCGTACAGGCAGCCAAGTTCGTATGAAATTTGTGCTCTAAACTGCTAGAGATAGAACGGGTGTAAAGGTTCTATAAGATCCAGAATCATTACCTTTCCATTAAGCAAAAGAGATAAGGCATGCAGTCAAAATCTAGCGTTTGGCTGTATATAAAGATGGTGGCATTGCTTGGCCAGCCGTTATCAAATACCCCGCATATAATCTTAAAGGTCACTCAGAAGGCCTACGGAAGCACTCACGGAATCTCCAGAATCCCTTTCAAAATGGAGATGCAGTCCGGACCCACAGCCTAAAACAGTCATTGCTGCGCAAAGGAGGAAATTAAAACTTGAGGATGGAAAAAGTCAAAGAAACGACCCCTTTGATAAATCTCCTCAAATGATTCATTTCTTTTCGCAAACGAAAAATGAAGTCTGCGAAACGTAGACTTGGCTTACGGCCCCTGCATGGCTGATACATGCATGCCACATGGCCATGGGATTCTTGTGGAACCGAATACGGCTCCTAAAGACCTACGTACAGTACTCAGCGCATATTGATCTTGGCTCATCAAGAAAAAGTGGTGTGCCAACCACTGTTGAAACATCCGCTTCTTCTGCGGAGCCGCAAGAGGGACAAAACGAAATTATTGTTAAAGGTCATGGGGAACAAGGGCTTTCATACACGGTAGAGCCACTGATATGTGGCCAGCTCATTGGGCATGGCAGGAGTCCACAGAACCCCGCATAGAATTGCTCCTGGGCTGGGGTTTCATGATGGAGGTGGGTTTTATTATTGTTTGGGCCTTTCGGCCCGTTCCGCGTTATTCCACAACGAATTGAATGAAAGCGAGACAGCCGACAATACCAAGTGACAAAGAACGATCGATATCCGCTAAGCGTTGATTATTCGCATGATATGTATGTCTAGTACATGCACTATGTATGGGCCGGTATTCTCTACGCATGCGCTAACTTCTGATAGATAAGACTGTTGACTTTTCCAAAGTTTCTTTGACAATATGAATCCACGGCCTATGGGCTACAAAAAGGGGGACTGAGCAAAGGCCGAAGCGGAATCTTAGTCGTATTCTTAGTCTTATCACGGGAAAATGTAACATGGTCAGCTCGTCACACGCTAGATTGGCTTGGAGCCGTCAATCGCGTGGGAACTGAGGAGAGCAGGGGTATCGGCGGCATCCAGCGGGGAACTTCACTTCCATGGCGTGCATTTACCACCACGTTCCTCCATACATCCTTTTCATTCCAAGACTTAACCTTCCGCTGAGGTGAAAATGGGAACGACGAGTGCACACTGGTGAGACCGAATGTCTCTTCTGTTTCAAACCTAAATGCGAAGTTGGAACTAGGCTCCTGGGATTTTCTGGTGAGGCAAAACGGTCCGGCCCGGAGCTGGGAATTTTAGTCTTTAACTTGGTGGCATTATTGACAATTGCCAGGACTACAGCAAGAGCAATGTCCCAACTCGGACTCGTTCCTTTCTAGAACTCCAGGGATCGACTTCGGCGGACAGGGGCAACGTAAACCAAGAGAAGAGAAAATAAAGGTTGGCCCCAATTGGGCTATTAACTATCCTGCAGCCACTTGCTAACTCGGTCACTAAGATGCTTTTGGTGCCCAATAGGACCGAGTTTTTCATCGAAATTCCCCCTAGTTCTGCACCTAAATTCCCCAGTCCCCGGGCCCGGAGCCCCTAAAGGTTTTAAGGCGAGGACATTGGTCAAGTTATACGCCTTTTGCCTTAGCCATTATCTGCCTTGACGATGCTTGGAGCTTGGCGAGGGAGCTAGAGCAGATAATAATCAAAGGTCTGCGTCGGCGTTGCAAATTCCTTCACCCTTCCAATAAGTGTCAAATGAGTGAGCAGCTTCCCATCTCCTGTTTGATCTTCAGCTCCCTGAATAATAGATCGGAAAACGCGGCCGAGGTCACCTTTCTTCCAGGCCGCCATATGTGGAGTCTTCATCATCAAAGACCCTGCCAATCAAAAAATTCCCCATTTCAGCTCGTTGATGGTTGGGCATTTCCTTGGACAAAGATTTTAGTTTTGATCACTAGCCTGGCTTTCATAAGGGACACAAAAGGCTCTGGTGATCCTGGCTAAAAAGATCCGGGGTAATTTTATCCCTGTTGTTAGAAAATTCCGGACATACTTCCAAACCAGGGATAATAGTAATATTTAATAATGGGGAGCAATAACTATCACGCAAGATTTCCCCGCCGGCTCGTTCCATATGGAAGCTAGCAGAAGGCAATGATTAGTTCTATTCGGCTCTCCTTTTTTTTTTTGCCTTCTCTTCAATTAGCCCCTGAGTCCTGTGTTTTCATGGCACCTCACTTTCCTGAAGGATTGATCGCTGTATGCATCAAAAGCCCACTAATATTTTATAGTCTTGGTGAATATTTGCAAAACATATCTCCAGACAGAAGATGCCGTGCATAGAGATCTCATACTGTCCACCTATAGTTAACGGTGTATCTTAGATTTTAGGCCCTTTGTCCTTTGATTGAGATCACTTTTATCTCACAAAAGTTTATGTAGTATTCTCTGAGGATCTTCTAATTCTGGAGAATATCTAAGTGACTTACTATATGTACTGTAGAAAACAGATTTCATAGCAGTCAGTGACCCTTTTCATGGAGAGATTAAGACTCTGTCATGATACCGATGCCTCCGGTCCCTGGCATCCTCAGGGGTTTTTCTGTCAAGAGCCTGCCCATACTAGTACCCAGTGCAATAACATGTCAAATTGCAGAATTACATACACTCAGGGACAAACCCCGTACGATATATAGTTGAACATTTTGAGAATGACAGCGCCCGAGAGTACCCGTGACATTCAGGTCGTAGTGTATTATAACCTTTTTAATTGAATGGTGAAGAGTCTGGCTGTGTCATATGCAATATACTCCCACTGTATTGGAGGTGAGGGCTGGACTTTTTCGAGATCCAGTATTGAGATTTCCATTTATATTTCTAGTGTGTGCAAGGACTTGTAGATGGACAGTAGAGATCCCTACACACAACATATTCCATATGGAGAGGCTATGTTGTCTAAAGATATTAGTTACTCTTGGCAATGTGTGATTGTGATTCCTCCTTCCTGGATACCTGCCAGGTTCATTTCCAGAACCCTTCGATCGTCTTCAATACGTCCACAATCCAAGCCAGTTCGTAGGGAACAATAGCCTAGGGAAGAAGTGGCCTACTAGGGTCAAATTTCCCCTTCTCAGTACATTTATGCGCAGTACTATTGGTTGCTTTCGGGCGGATACCATAACGATATATACACGTATATTCTCCCTAGAAATCATTGGCCACGAAATTGGCTAGATAATCTTTCTATCATGCGTAGAAGAGAAAATTTCCCGAGTTCGTAAGGAAGCGCTTGGTTGTCCCCGTAGGAGACTTAGATATCGAATAATATCGAGTTCGTTTTGCCTGTGGCTGGTAGGATGCTAGGGTGGGGCAAGGGGAAGTTGACATCAACAAGGTAACAGCTGAGGGGAAACCTGCAGCCGGGATCTGGCGTGAAGGGTTGCGTACCTTGGACTGCGAAGGGGTGGACTATCGCCATCGAACTTCAGGAGATAAAAACTGTTTCCCTGCTAGAGTGCAGAATTCGACCGCCAAACACCCAGTTACGCAAATCTGATTCTGAAAACAGTTAACCCTGGGAGAGCCGGCCAACTAGTAACTGTTGGGACGATATACGTATCAGATTATATCAAGGGGGTCAGCTGTCCAGATATTGGATTTCTATAAAATGTGATACCAGCTCCATTTAACCTTAGCACACATACTAGTATACCTCACATTCCATGACGAGTTGGCTGAGTCTGTTGACGGGCTCCTTGCTTCAACTCCCACATTCCTTGAACACATGAATAATGTGATACGGTCTTAAGCGTGAATTTGCTGGCTGGTGCAATCGCTGTCCACTAAAGGTATTTAGTATCTAACATTGCTTTAATTATTCCGGATGGGAATGCATACCAATTGGAAATTCAAAAACAGCATGGTACGATCAACGGACCGTGAAAGACATCGGAGTGAAAAGGAGCAATAAGAGTATCCTCAATCTCAGATCTCGCGCGACGACTGAGGTTAAAATCGCTGGACGTGGACTTGTACTGATATGTATACTAGTACGGATATATATTAGTATATATTATTTGCCTTTCTCCTTCAATCAATGGGCATCTGATGGACACAATTGCATGGCCCGGAGCTCCTTGATTCAAGAGGTTTATATCCCCAATTTTTCGTTCTCATCTACACACCCAGCTTCTCACAAAAATTCCTCATGGAATTGAAAGGCATCCAATATAGTTTGTCTTCGTCAAAGACAAACGTCCACATGGACGGACTTCAAGTTCTCAATTTGAAGGTAGCGACAGAGAGGTGCGGTCATTATTACTCCTACCCGCAACAACTGCCTGCTCGGTACGTCTGTACAAGTAGTGTATAGTATGTACATACATACAACCAAGTACTCGTTCGTGTGTACATCGTGAGAAATGCGTATCGAATGGCCAAGAATTATTCCCAACAGTACAAATGGGAAAATGTGGCCAAGTTGACAAATTGCATTTTCTTTGTTCCACTACTTGGGTCCGGAAGGGCTTTCCGGAGCTATAGCCCATAGTCGAACGACTCTTTGTTTGTTAGATATTCAGGGAGGTCGGCCATTCTATCGAGTTATAGCCATTTTGGGCGTTGTGCATACTTCTGATGCGAACTGTTGCGAAGGCTTGATCTGATGTTGTATAATCCGTGCCATTCTGTGCGTTGATGAAGAACCGCCTGTGAATGGCATCTGAAATGCTGATCAACCATATAGTCATTGAATATCGACGTGACACACGACCGAGATTGTTTCGTTCCCTGATTAAAACGCCCTAACCATGGCCCTGAATGGTTTGGGTAATATACAATACATCATTGATAATAGCGCCAAACGTCCACTGGCTACCAAAAGAAAGATGGCGTTAATATATGATATGGGCAGGAAAGAAAGCCTTGGTAGATAGCAGAGTGCCGGGTGGACTGAGCCATCGGCAGGGTCTAGCAGAAACGAGCAAGACAAACCTCTTCGGGAATCTAGGCTTGCAATCCGACGACATTCTTGCATGGAAGGAGAAAATGTAGTTTCCGAAAAGAGGGATGTATAAAATGCACTCTGTAATGTTGTAAAACGTCTCGCTCGCCTTCTCCCAAAAAAGGCCAGGTCTATCTACGTCAGAGGATTGACGTGCCCAAGGGCAACCTAGCAGAGAAGCACCACGATGAATTGTGTTCAGTGTGTCAGAATTATGTCTCGAGCAGTAGACTACATAGGTCCCCCTAACTGGATTGATGTATATACCAGTGGCATAGGAATTGGAAGAAGACAAACGAAAAATAGGTCGCCAATGTCAGTATCCTCAAGGTAAAAAAAATAAAAAATAACATTTTATGGAGAAGAATAACCACCATTAGGCCAATTTAGAGCGTAATTTATCTGTCATGAATACTTCATTTTTGCCGGGCGGGATAACATCTGAGAGGCTCTGGTTCCCTTCTGCCGATCACATTCCATCAAAAAATAATGTTCAATTCAGAGTTTCGTTCCCATATTCACATGAACGGCTTTCGTCTGCGAATATGCATCCAACCCAGCTTCGCCTAACTCGCGCCCAATACCACTTTGCTTCACTCCACCAAATGGCACACGGAAATCGCTATCGTTGCTGCTGTTAATCCAAACCATGCCAGCTTCAATCTCGCTCGCGACATAATGGGCTCGCTTAATGTCTCGGGTGAATACTGCCGCACCGAGACCATACGTCGTATCATTTGCTTTGGCGATAGCCTCCTCTTGAGTCTTGAAACTAGCGATGGCCACAAACGGGCCGAAGATCTCTTCGCGGTAGATTGTCATGTTGTCCCTGACATTTGTGAAAATGGTGGGCTCTATAAAGAAACCTTTTCCATCTCCAACATTTTTATAGGGTACACCACCAGCGACCAAGGTAGCGCCTTCGGCCTTCCCCGCCTCGATATACGAAAGTACGCGATCATATTGAGCTTTCGTGACTTGGGGTCCTTGGAAAGTGTCATCGGAGAACGGGTTACCCATTTTGCTTGTGGAAGCGACAACGTCCTTGAACAACGTAACAAACTTATCATAGATGGAATCTTGAACAAGAATTCGTGAGGTAGCTGTGCAGACCTGGCCCATGTTGGACATAATCCCGATATGTGCCCACTTAGCTGCTTGTTCCAGATCCGCGTCCTCGAAGACGAGGAGAGGGGATTTTCCACCAGTCTCGAGGGTGATATTCTTGAGGTTTGCGGCAGCCATTTTCATGATTTGACGAGCAGTAGCAGTGGATCCAGTGAAGGCGATTTTGTCAATGTCTGGATGAGTTGCGATTGCTGCCCCCGCATCTTTCCCAAGGCCGTTGAGAATATTCACCACGCCAGGAGGGAATCCGGCTTCTTTGATCAGGGTTGCGAGATATAGGATACTAAGAGGCGTCTGCTCTGCTGCCTTGATGACAATGGTATTTCCACAAGCTAATGCCGGGCCCAATTTCCATGCAGCCATGACAAGAGGATAGTTCCAGGGAATGATCTGTCCAACCACGCCAATGGGCTGGCGTAAAGTGTAGGCGAATTTGGCGGACGTGGTACTGATAGTGCTGCCATGTACTTTGTCGGCGAACCCGCCATAGTATCTTAAGGTCTCAGCAACCTCTCCACAATCCCCATCACGCGCAACCGTATATGGTTTACCTATCCTCATGGTGTGAGTAAAAGAATCCCATAGCATTCAGCACAAAAGAAGCTCTGAAGGCGACCCTGACCGTTGTCCCAAGCCTCAATTGTAGCCAAGATTTCCTTGTGCTGCTCAACAAGTTCTGAGAGCCTGACCATAAGCTTTCCTCTGCCTGTAGCAGAAAGGCATTTCCATGAGGGATCTTTGAGAGCTCTGCGAGCAGCCTTTACAGCAATGTCCACATCTTCTGCACCTGCAGCTTGCACAGAAGCAATCTCAGATTCATCACTAACACCAGCCCCCGTACAGCGTTAGCCATTTGTCCCATTCTTTACCCACAGGCTAGAATCAGGTTTAACCAACGTTGGATTGATGGATATGATCTTCTCGCCGGACTTAGCCGCCACAAATTCATTATTTATAAACAATCCCAATGGCTGGGTGTATTCACGGCCGTTTGGCGCGGTGAGATCGATAGAGAGGCTAGACATTGTGAAAGAGATTTTGGAGAAGTATCTGGAAGTGAGAACCGTATTTGGCCTGAGAAGCTTTCGTGGAGGTAGACTTCGGAACCGCGGGGAACAGAAGCACATAAGTATGGAGTTAAATACTGGTCAAAATTCCACTTGCTCCGCCCTGAGCTAACTTCCGTATATCTTACTCTCTGCAATTCAAGCCCTTCGCGACGAACAATCTCTATCCGGGGGGATTTCTAAGCAGAGGATTTGCCGCCCCACCAAAGAAGGTCCCGCTTCCCCACGTCGACCGAAAACCAAGTGTTTGCACTGTTTGGCGCTCTCGACGCTAATATTTTCCTTCCACCGGGCACAATTAGGAAGATTTCCTCATGACTCGTGGCTATATCAAGCCATTACCTTGCATAGTCTCTCTCTTCGCCTTCTGCTGCTTCAATTTCACCTAACCCTTCCCTCTGATCTCCCTAGGTAGTAGTTTGTGCCTTTGATCGTGGTGGATTTGCAAATAAATCCAAAATGGACTTGCAGCCAGACTCCCATATCGATCAAGCGGCCTCCATCAATTACTGGAATTCAGTTCCCGCCACCGCTGATGGCATGCTTGGCGGCTACCCCCAAATCTCCTCCATTGACCTTCGTGGCTCATCGGCCTTTCTCGCAAAAGTCCGTCGATTGATTCCATCCAGCGGCTCGGGGAAGGTTGTGCTGGGCGTCGACTGTGGCGCTGGCATTGGTAGAGTCACTGAGGGCTTTCTAAGCAGAATATGCGAAACCGTCGACATTGTGGAGCCGGTTGAAACATTCGTCGACGTCCTCAAACGCGGGAAGTCCTACCAGGATGGCAAAATTGGCGACATCTACATCACGGGCATTCAGAGTTGGACACCAACCAAGCGCTATGATTTGATCTGGACACAGTGGTGCACGAATCATCTCACCGATGTACAGCTGGTGGAATATCTCGTCCGGTGCAAGGGCGCGCTTTCTGAGAGGGGTTTACTGATTCTGAAGGAAAATACCAATTCGGACACTGCAAATGACTACTATGATGCAGTAGATAGCACGGTGACTAGAACTGAAAATAAATTTTTAAAATTATTTTCGGAGGCAGGGCTCAAAGTGCTGAGATCAGAGGAACAAAGTGGGATGCCACAGAGGCTGCACTTATTGCCGATTAGGCTCTGGGCTCTGCGGCCAGCGACTTGAAGGATATCCAAAGTGAGGTCACTTATACATAACTAAACCTAATGATAGGCGACTTGGCCCCGACAGATCCTAGCCTGCGGCGCAAGGAAACTAGTCCTCCCTGTGCTGTACATATCTTGATATACACAATTCTGGGCCCGAACGTAACGTAATATACAATGGTTTATACCTGGAGCATCGGAATAAAAACCGATGTTAAAATGTCGATATGTCGGGAGACAGACTCTCGATATTCGGACGTACAGCGGATTGGAAATTTCCCTCATTCCTCTCCGGCTAAGCCCATGATGAACTCCCACTCCTTGCCGCCAACCACCGACACGCTCAGCCGCGATTGCTTCATCATCTGCATATTCTCGAGCGGTCCGCCAGGTTTTGCAAATGACTTGAGCTCAGCCAGTGTGATAAGGTCCTTAAATTTGCGTCTAAACTCTACGTGGACAACCTCCCACTTAGGATTTTCACGGCTGGATTTTGGATCGTAATACGGGTGTGCGGGATCGAATGCGGATTCTATTCCAAGTTGTTGATCCAGGAAATATGCATTAGACGAGACGAGTCCAGGTATAATATACTGCGTCGAATTTTTTTTTTTTTTTTTTTTTTTTTTTTTTTTTTTGCACTTTCCTTTGTTGGAGTCTCTATACGTACCGTCGACAGAGTGTTCCCGAACAATTTCCATAATTCCAGCTATTCCGGGAACCTTGCAGTTGGAATGATAAAAGAATGCCAAATCTCCTTTTTTCATGGCACGCATGTTATTTCGTGCTACATGGGTTTGCTTTTTTTAGTCTCAAAGTGAATAATAAGCTGGGCTATACAGATTATATAAATCGAATGTTAAGCATACCAGTGGGGTTCCGGACACCTTTTATTCACATCAGCATGAAATCCGACAATCACCAATACACCTGAGATATACTGGTCTATGGCGCGGAGCCTGATGGAGTAATGAAGACTCACCATCCCAAGCTTCTGGCTCGCTCGCCTCGCGCAAATCATCGATGGAGAACTTGACATCGACGCCCTTCTCCATCCTCGACTCCGGTTCTGCTTTCATAAGCCAATATGATTTCGAGCCGTCTTCTTCACCCTGGGTCTCATCTATGGTCTTTTTGTTCTTTGGCTCCGTCTTCGTATCGTTCGCGGCGAGAGCGGGCCTTGATTCACGTTGTTTCGACTTTTTTGAAGCTGATTGCACACTTTTTGTGTTTTGCTTGGTAACTGGAGCGATGAAGTTACGCAACCCGCCGTTGTTGCGGATGACGGCGTAGGTTGAGTTAGATTAGTTACTTATACTTAAATTCATTTTGAGTGGATATATAGCCGTGCGGGAGGCTGAAATAGGTACCATGAAGCAGTAATTTTGACCATTCCTTTCACTCATTGGACACATAAACACGAAAATAAACTATGAGAAGTTTAATGTACACATGGAGATATTTGACTATCTCGAGCGATCCCAACAAAATCCCAACAAAGAGGCCCTCAGAACGTGCGAAAGGAAAGAGAGGAAACTCCAGCAGGGGACAAAACGAGATGATCTGACCTTTTTCGCGTTCCGTATTCACAGTATTGGCACCACCAGCCCGTTTTCCGGCGCGTTCGGATGGTCCTGATGCTGGGGATTCTTTGGCAATGTGCGTTACGCCGGGTTCTGACTCCGATGAGGGAGACTCTTCTACCACAGGTGCGGCAGGCTTCCTAGGATTCAATCGTGGCTTTTTGACATTTTTTTGACTTGGTTCATTGGCATTGCTGGAAGAAACAGCCTTATGTTTCTGTCTTTTTGGAGGCATTATTTTTTTCAGGAGAAATAATCAAGGTGACCTTGACTGGCCACAATCCTGTGAGATACAGAAGGAGGTTCTGCTCTAAACAGGAAAAGGGACAACAACGAACAACAATTGAGATACTGAGAATACTCTTGAACGAAAATATATATCTCTACATTTCATACGTGGGTGTTGGCTCGCTAGCACTCACAGGGGAGACAAAATAGTGGTGCTGTAGAATCAATTGGACGGGGACCTCAGGAGCTCTCGCGACACCACGTGAATTAACCTTCAACTACCAGGTGCCATCCCGCGCGTATGCGGAAATCATCCTCTCTATTGCTTTTTCTTCACCGCTATCCCTTGGGCTTTACTCACCCTCTGTGAGTTCTACACTGAAAAACTGAAAATGAGTTGCGAGGATCACTCGACCGATAGTTATGTTAAAGGAAATTGCTTTTGTGTGCAGTGTTTCATCGCCCAAGCAACCCACAACGGCACCCAAACTTTCGTCCATTTGTGCACATAAACTCATCTTGCAGAGCGGAACTTTTGGTGTTGAGGGGACGAATCACCCAATCCAATCCCTCCAACATTAACTAACTATCCTTCACCGACTTACCTAATGATTCGCGCGACTTGCTACAAACGGTGCTACGCAGTAGGAAAAATCTAAGAGGCTCGCTTCATTTCAGATGATGGCCATAACGACCTCTATCAGAATGCGCTTTCAAAAATCCTTCTCAGCCATTATACAGAGAGCAGCAGCATGTGAACCTTTGCTCACAAATTGCAGATGTGGAAAGTGAAGTGGACTGAAGTACCGAAGTACCAATAACATGCTTTGCATTGAGATTTTGATATCACACATGACGTATCAAGCATATTGAAGAGTGGAGGAGAAAGGAAAATCCTATGGGTGCCTTGACATGAAAGCTTGGCATTCATACATCCATGTCTGGGACATCATTAGCACTTACATGGATGAATGATGGGCGGGCTAGCATCAACTTCAGAGGTGGGGGTTCTGGTTGTGCATTTCACCCTTCTCTGCTGCGAGGAATACAGATTGAGAATACTATGGAGAATGTATATAAAGCCTGAGCATTGTACTAGTAGTAATTGTTTTGAATACTATTGAAGGATAAAGGTCAACGGCTGCAAACGATGCTGATGGATGCTCGTATGCTCGAAGGTGACAAAGCTTTTTCCACCAGGCTAAATTCTTATTAGCAAGCAACGGCAAGATCAGTTTGAGGTTCTGTTATATCTACGACCAGGAAACGATGGGGGCAAATTTCCGAGTTCCCGCGAAAGTTTGTTTTTCAGTCCTATGTAATTGGCCACTCCAAGTATCTCCTGCGTGTTGGGACACTGAATAACTCGATTTTGCCGTTTCTCTGCCCCATTGAAAACGAGGCGCTATCACCCAGCGCAAAGTGGAGGTCGGTCGATGATAGCCGGGCGTTAAGCGCAGCAAGGATGCTCGAACAAAAATGAAATAAAAACAAAAGCAAAAACACAATTAACAGATAGTACCAACTCATTCTATTACAGCGCACTGACTGCTTATGCTTGTATGATTATTTTCTCATGTCAGGGTTTTGCAGATGCAGGTGTTCAAGGTATAATACTCAGATATGTCGGATAGGTTAGCTAGAACACTGCCAGCTGGAATTGATGGGCATATTACTGCGCCAGAGGCTCTGCCAGAGTCCGATGCGGAGCAGTCTCTGAAAGAACCGCAGGAGACGGAAAATAGAAACCTCGAGAAAAAAGATGATATTGCCAATTCGACACAATCATCATCATCATCAGCAGGGCGGTGCAATGGAAAAGAAGAATTTCAATACCACTACCTTACCTTCGACACTCCGCTTCCACCTCCTACAGGCATTTCGGTTCCCAGGCCGGGTCAGCCACGAGCTCCCGAGCAGCCCGATCTGCAACCATATATTTCCCCATTTACATGGCGGAAATCACGCAAATGGGTGGTAACGATGCTATCATGCCTTGTTACGACTCTCAGCGCGATGGCAGCAGGGGCATATAGCCCGCCTGAACAGATACTCACAGAGAAATGGAAGATAAGCGGCGTGGTATACAATCTCGGAATCTCGGTCTTCAGCTTTGGGTTCGCTCTTTCGCCGATGGTGCTTGCGCCATTTTCGGAAATCAATGGGCGGCGACCAATGCTTGTAGCCAGTGGGATACTCTTTACTTGTAGGTTGGAATAGATAGCTATGACTCAAAAATACTATCGCAAAAGTCCCAAGCAACTAACTGTTTTTCCATATACGGTATCTGCTATCTAGTAACTCAACTAGGTTGCGCAGTCACGGATTCTTTTGCTGGCATGTTGCTCTCTCGATTGTTTCTTGGTGTTGGAGGCTGTAAGTTTACATGAACTCTCCTTGCCATGATCATGCAAGTATAAATATGTGCCTGTATTGTACATGCATGGCTAACCAACGGTTCCCAGCAACGTTCTCGTCCATAATCGGCGGTGTCCTCAGCGATGTCTACGTGACCGAGGAAAGGAATACTCCTATGGCATTGTTCTCCGGAGCCGTCCTCTTCGGCACGGGCTTCGGCCCCATGGTTTCTAGTTTCATTGTTCACCACATTTCCTGGCGCTGGGTATATTACTTGCAAACGATTATGTCCGCCGTGGTTACGGCGATGGTTGTGGTTTTCTTTAAAGAAACCCGTGGCAACTTGCTCTTGAGTCGGAAGGCACAAGCGTTGAATCAGTGGTATGAACAACTTGAGGAGGCTGGATATGTTGGTGTCGATATGCCAGTGCTTGGGAAGGACGGGGAAAGCGAGCGACAGAGCCAACGGATCCGGTGGAAGGTCAAGTCTGATGAAGAACGAGAGAGTATAGCTAAGGTGCTTGCAATATCGCTTTATCGACCATTCCGTAAGTGGGCGAATGCTCTCTATATTGTTTTTCGATCCCCTTTTAGGTTTGCTAATTCGATGAGACATCCTTTTGCAGACCTCCTTTTTACGGAACCGGTGGTATTTTTCTTCTCACTCTGGGTCTCCTTTAGTTGGGCAGTATTATATCTTCAATTCGGTGCCATCCCGCTTGTTTTTCAGGATAACCACGGATTCAACCTACTGCAATCCGGGGCCGTTTTCGCATGTATGTGTTCCATATATATTTTCAACCACAGCAGGCCCCCCCTCCCCCCTAGCTAGTCGGATCGCCCTCTAAACGCCCAAACAATGCACACATATAATCCAGTCCAATCATCTGACAATTAGACCCACCAGCAATCTCCATTGGTGGCATAATCGCCACATTCCTCAGCATCTGGCAGGAGAAGTACGTACATCGCTTGGGTAAAATATCCAGCAGACCCGAGGGTCGCTTAGTTTTTGTATGCGTCGAGTCGATTCTGATGCCGGCGGGCATGTTCTGGTTCGGGTGGACATCCTTCCCCTCGATACACTGGATCGTGCCCTGTCTTGCAATCGGATGCGTCACCATTGGGATCTTCTCGATCTATCTGGCGGTGTTTAATTATTTGGCCGATACCTATCATCGGTATGCCAGCTCGGCCTTGGCGGCGCAATCGTGTTGTAAGGATCATGGATGCCCCCTAATCTCCCCTCCTTTTCCTTCTCCTTTTTTTTTTTTTTGTTTGTCCTAAGGACACTGAATGGGTTTCCTCGTGCGTACCCTTTTCACACAGCTTGGTCCAATTGCTAAGTGAAAATTCCTGGACAGGCCGTAATCTTCTTGGTGGCGTATTTCCGCTCGTGGTGCGAATCATGTACGTCAATCTCGGATATCCAGAGGCATCAAGCTTGCTGGGAGGAATAGTATGTCGTTTCCACTTCCATGGTTCTAATTTGTTCCCGCCTTATTTCCTTTGCCCGCACCCCGCGATGATCATGTCCAGAACAGATGACAGATTGGTAATACTCACGACCACTGACATACAGGGCTCGTTGCTCACGATTGTCCCGTGGGTTCTTGTGTTCTATGGTCCGAAAATCAGGGCGCGAAGTAAAATCGCAAGTGTAAGTTTGGTACAACGTTTTCACTTCCCATCCTGCCACGTGCCGTGATATAATCCCAGTGATTATTTGATGGTTTCTGCAGCGCTGGTTCCTGCTGGCACCATCACTTGCTAATTGATATTTTTCGTCCCTTTTTCTATTCCAGGAAATTATGACAGAAGACGAACGAGCTGGATAGCGTACATTTCTGGCAATGATTTCATGGCTCCCTTAATCATTGTCTTATGCTATAGGTTACCAAGCGATATTGATCAAATTAGGAGCTGAATGGGCTTATTGTTCCTCGCGGGGTTCGCTACGAGGCGAGGGGATACGTGCTTCTCTGTTTCTTCCAATAATAAAATGAACTTTTCATGTCGTGATGTATATAATGAGTATAGAGCCGAATGTATATATGTATGTATATAGATGGCAACATCATAGATTTATAATAATACAGACCGCGAGAACCCAAGAGAATTACATATCTACACCGTGATCGCTCGCGCTATTGAATTTTCCAGATCGTCAGATAGATCGAACTTAATCCCCGATCCAACCTCCCTTGAGCATTGTTAAATTGTAGATATACTTGTTCCCAATAGCTTCCAGGGTTCTCTATTGTGTACAGGTACGTTGAGGCATTGCCATCCCTGTTACTAACAGTAATAAGAATGGCTGTCATGCTCTCCATAAAGCCACCATCGCAATATTCTCTCCTCATTTGATTTTTCAGCAGCTGATCGCAGTTTCGGAAGCGTGATTCTGATGCGATAACAGGGCTCGATGGTAACATCCGTGCAGCGCTAGTCTGTATCTGGGCAAGCGTGTTGGCCTAAAATAGGCAGTGCCGCCAATGAGCGAGCAGATGATTGGCTGAAATTCATAACGTAATCAGAGCGTCTAAATTCCGCCGACAGAAGCCAATGAGGGAGTTCTGCCGATAAAGCGGTGGCAGATTGCGTGATTGGAAAGTTGTAGCGGGGCGGATGTATATTGATACATTGGTGGGGCAGTGGTGGTATTGGGGAGTTCGTCAAGCATGCGAAATTATAACTTATCATACAGGGAAACTTCCTCATTTGGTGGTTCGATCTCTGCTTTATATATTACCCCTCCATTCTCTCATCCTGCTGTAGCAACGCGATTTCCTTGCCCTACAGACACCCACGACCTCCACTCTTCGACCATTTTCTTCGAATCTAGTATTAATCACATCCATCATGGCTGAAGAACGTGCTGCTCCGTGAGTTTATCCTTCCATCGCACACCTTGCTGATTCAGCTTGGTCCTTTGTTGTCTTAACGACTGAGGTGTCTTCTTTCAGTCTCCGACTCGGGTCAATTGCCCCCAACTTCAAGGCAGTCACCACAAAGGGTGAAATCGACTTCCATGAATTCATTGGCGATCACTACGTCATCCTCTTCTCTCACCCCGTATGTCCCCAATGGAGTGAGGCGAATGAGGAGATCATTGTCGAAGAGAAATGATGAAGTGGGTGGTGTTGGGTTTTGCTAATTGATTGGAATTTTCCTTCTCCAATTCCAGGATGATTTCACTCCCACTTGCACCACTGAGTTAGGAGCCTTCGCCAAGTTGGAGCCTGAGTTCACTGCTAGACGTGTCAAACTCATTGGACTGGTAAGTGGCCCCTTCCAGCCATTGCGTAGGAAAAACGAACAGGAGTAGGCCGAAAGAGCAAAAGCGAGCATTGGCTAACTGGAACCCCAAATTTCTCCTTTGTCTAGAGCGCCAACGCCCTCAAATCCCATTTCGAATGGATCAAAGATATCGACGAGGTTACCGGATCGAACCTGCAGTTCCCCATCATTGCTGATGCTGATCGCAAAATCTCATATTTGTATGATATGCTTGATTACCAGGACACCACAAATGTTGACGAGAAGGGTGAGTATAAATGAACCTCCGCCCCGGTTTCCTGCCATGAATCGGGAGGGGGCGTCAGTGACTGATTTAACGGACCCACAGGAATTGCCATGACCATCCGCTCCGTCTTCATCATCGACCCCAACAAGAAAATCCGATTGATCCTTAGTTACCCAGCCACCACTGGCCGGAATGCTGCTGAGGTCCTGCGAGTCATCGATGCGCTTCAGACCACTGACAAGAATGGTGTGAACACCCCCATTAACTGGACATTGGGCGAAGATGTCATTATCCCACCGACTGTGAAGACCGAGGACGCGATTAAGAAGTTTGGTGATGTCAGAATTGTTAAGCCGTAAGTTTGGTCCTTGTTCCTCTGTCCGTCGGATGAATTTTGTCACAGCAGCTAACTTGTCATCTTTTCTAGATACCTCCGATACACCACTCTCAAGAACTAAGATCGCAAATGCGCGTGTCTGGGGAAGAGACGGTTGGAGTGATATTTTGTAAAAACCTGATGACCTATGAACATTGTTCTTGGTATTATTGTTCCTTGGTTTATTTTACTATGTTTTTTTATTAATTAAAGCGCGCCATGTTATAACAGAAGATCAATCCATAAAATTTTAACTTACCAATAACCAAATGGGTCACTCACAAGTAACTTGTCCCTTTGCATTCCCCAAACTTTCCGCCTTTTGTCTTGCACGTTGCAGAAAGTCAGTCACTTATTTCTTCTTCCCCTAAGAACATGAATGTTCTGTTTCATATCCAGGTTGGCTCAAGCTGCCAACCAACTAGTAGGATCAAAGTGAGACGCCATCCAAGTTGCCTTATTCAACCCGTGGAACTGAGAAAGACTTGAATTGGTTTGAAACAAAACAGTATTCTTTTTCCGGAGCCACCACTCCAGAGTATTTGTGAACACAGCGAGCATCCAGCCAAAATCAGTCGTAAGGGGAAAATGATAGCCAGCAAGCGCCAAGAGTGAGGGGTCCTGCTTAGGAAGCAAGTCACGCCGCAGAATCGGTTAAACTTTCGGCCCGGTCACGGGAGGCCAGTGGATACTGGCCAATCAGACGCTTACAATGTCTGTTTGCCGGCTTACATCATTCAGCCGCATAGTTAACCACAACGTCGTTTCTTCTGGATACTTCATCCCATCTCACCAAGAATATTAGTACACTCAGCGTCCATTGACACTGACTTGGCTGTTGTGAACGAGTGGGCAAGTCTCAGGGAGTCTGATTGTCTACCGTCCTCATCATGCCGTAGACGAGTCCTGCGGTTCATCAACTCTGATCGTTTGCATCCTGCAAACACTCCCTGATCGAACAAACTATTGGAAACCGAGGCTCTCCCTATACTACACAGTGCAACCTTCACTCCCGTCTCAAACTATTGGTCTGCGCACCAGCCAATTTCAATTTCCTCCCGCCTGCCGGAGATCCGATACACTGTCCTTACTGTTCTCCACTCCATATCGAAATTCCTGTACGATTTTGCAAACGCGATTCGCAACTGGTGTTGGATGAACTAATTTTAATCCTCAACCTCTCCCTTGTTTTCCAGCCCCACTTGACCAACTTGTTATGGTAGTGCAGACGGCATACATGTCAAACAAAGAAGAGAGGAACATTTGACGAAATTCTTGCAGTCGTATGTTAATCGCCTATGATATTGTTTGATTTATATAAGACTTTCGTCTCGCTTTGCCTCGATCCCTCCCCTTGCACCCAACTTTATGTTTTTTAGTCGAATGGCAATATATCCACCCATCGCATCTCTCCTTATGTAGTCATTTAGCTAACCATGGCGGGAATAGGCTCAGAACGTGAAACCGGCAAGCCGGTTGAAGGAAGCAGCCCTACAAAGGCGGTTGCAGAATCCTCGACCCCGGCTATACCGCCGCCGCCGCTTACCCCAGACACCTCGAAACGATTTACATCTGTGATTAAATACTTTCGCTCTTCCAAAACTCGCAGCACTACCATATCCACAACTTGGCCTTCGAGAAGATTTATTTCCAAGAACTCCGCGAAACCTCCGTCGGAGGAATCTTCCCACAATAAGATTTCTGAAGCGCTCCGTCTTGCAACACCAACTACTTCCAAATCACCAGACCTAGATCTATTTCGAAGCCCCAGTTTACCCGTCCCCGCAGCTGTGTTGGAACCTGGCCTGAGGCAGAATATTGAGTTAGAAAGGAGATTTCTAGAGTACCAGGAACCCAGGGAAACAGCTCACCGGAAAAGCTCACTACCTTTTCTTGAACCTGTAGTTGCTGATTCTGTGCCAAAAAGCCCGCTGCGAACTGAATCGCCGTTTGTGAAAGCATTTTTTGAATCATCGCTTGTCCCGTCGTCTAACAACAAAAAAGGCGATACATCGAGCCAACCTACGGAAAGTGTACTTAAAGCCATGTCATCAAATAATCCCATTGGTGGCCAGTATGACTCATTTCAAGAGCAAAATGCGGGGCCGAGTACTACAACTGGGAACCTAACTGCCCAGTCACCATTGCCGAACGGTCAAAATTCATCATCCACTCCAACGAATTTATCGGGTTTGGTGTGTAATGTACATCGAACGACAGGGCGAGATCCCCGTCCCCTCGTAGGGCCTTCTAGCACTGTTCTGGGAGATAAGCTATATGTGTTTGGCGGGCGGGTACAGTCAAGAAGCAGACCCGAGCTATTAACTAATGAGATGTACGAATTGGATTTGGTGCGTCGTCATTGGACTAAATTAGAAACAACGGGAGATATTCCCCCTCCACGTTATTTCCACACTGTATGTGCGTTGGGCGATTCAAAACTAGTATGCTATGGCGGCATGTCTGCGAAAGCTGCTCTTCCAAATCAGCCACCTGCGACTCCAAACCAAACTTCCCAGCGGTCAGGAGAGGAAGCACAACAAGGAGTTGTGCTTTTGTCAGATGTACATATCTTCGATGTCCCTAGTAGAACCTGGGTTTTCATTCCGACCGCCAATGCCCCCAGAGGGAGATATGCCCACTGTGCAACGATTTTACCCTCAGGAGCTACCTTCGGCTCCTCGAATGCTCCCATATCCGCCCTCCACCATAATCCGTCTTCATCCAATCCACACCAAGGTACATTAGGCGTGGAGATCGATGGATATGGCGGGGCGGAGATGATCGTCGTTGGTGGCCAGGATACTTCGAATCATTATTTTGAAGAAATAAATGTTTTCAATCTGCGAAGCCTAAAATGGACTTCGACCACCTCTCTTGACCGTAGTTGTGGGGCCTATCGCAGTGTTGCTACTCCTTTGCTCGGAGTGAAGCCTTCTGATATTGGAGGTGGAGTTGAGGTGGAAGGGTTCAGGGACCCGACGAAGCCGGATGCTCAGAAGCCAGATCCACTGCTGTTGATATACTCGAATTACAATTTCCTAGATGTCAAATTAAACCTGCAGCTCCGTACACCTGACGGGAAGCTTACAGAGAAGTCGATGAATGGCACGGTTTCACCTCCTGGCTTACGGTTTCCTAATGGGGGCATTATCAATGGCCATTTTGTGGTTAGCGGTACCTACCTTACATCGTCCAAACAGGAGTACGCAATGTGGGCTCTGGATTTGAAAACACTCACATGGGGACGTATTGATGCTGGAGGAGCAATTTTTAGTCACGGGAGTTGGAATCGCGGTGTTTTGTGGAGCCGGCGAAGCACATTTGTTGTGATTGGACATCGGAAACGAAGTTTAGTTGAGGACTACAACCACCGGCGCATCAATTTCTCACACATCTGCTTTGTGGAACTCGAAGCGTTTGGCCTGTATGAGAATCCACGACGAAGCGCCCCAACTTCGGGGTATGTGTCCGTAAGCAGCCCCATGGTACCTGCGTCGCTACAAGCAAAGATTTCCCAGCAAGGTGCGGGGGGGCGACCATTATCTACGACAGCGGAAGAATTAGGCAGGATGGCTCTATCACTTCGGGAACTGTCTGATATGGAGCTGCTCACTATTGGCGGCGAACGTATCCCAGTCAACTCTCACATTTTGGCTCGTCGTTGGGGCCCATATTTTATTCAACTTCTCCGCGAATCTACAATCGCAGAAGAGAACATGTCAGATGCTGCTACCGTACGCCAGCAGACTTCGTCTCACCCTAGTCGCAATTCCAGCATCACAATAACACCATCAGTGGGAAACAATAGCAGTTATTCTGCCGCGACTACCCTCATCGGCCATACAGGCTCATCATCCAACCAGAAGACCCCGCCGTCACTCCTTCCAAACCTTGAAATCCCCTCCGCGCACACTCTTACACCGACTTCTCGCCCTAGAACCTTGTACCTCCCCCACACTCACCTAACCGTCCAACTGCTCGTTCATTATCTCTATACTTCCTCACTCCCACCCCCGGGCTCCCAACTCTGTACTCCACAGATCCTCTGCTCTCTCCTCCAGCTTGCACGACCCTACCAGGTAGATGGCCTCCTCGAAGCCACGGTCGAACGACTCCACCAAGTGCTGGACGGGCGGAACGCTGCAGCAGTTTTTAACGCCGCAGCCATGGCTGCTGGCGGTGGCCGTGGCACAGGCTTTGCCAGTGGACCTGGTGGAACCCTCGAAGTATTAAACGGGGTCCACTCGCGTTCCAACGCCGTCGCTTCCGCCGTAGAACCAATGAGCATACTGAACCTCAACTCCAACTCAGACACGGAGTCCGGAGACACATCGGGGCCACGATCGGGTACCGTGGGTGGTGGACCTGGACAGTCCCAGCGCCGCACACCAAGCGCCCAGCGACCAGCAAACCTACGCATCAACACCACAAATCTCAACACTAGAAATGCACCTGGTGGTTTTAGTGCGGGAGGCAACCGCAATCGCGCTGAATCAGTCAGCAGCGCGGCTAGCACGGCTACGTCTGCTTCAACAAATACCAGTCTCAGTTTCTCTGAGTCTATGGGCGCGGATGACATTGCTCGTCATAATGATCCCAATAATAAAAACAAAGATGATGACATAGTGGGCCACGAGCGCGGGCGGAGCAAGCCTGAACGGGAGATTTGGACGGGTGAGATTAGCAGCGTTGTCGGGCTACAGAAAAGGGGGTTACGCGGGTTGATGGAGGGGCGACGGATGAGGGAGAGGGGTGGGAGGCCGGCCAATCCGCTTGGGGCAGCTGGTGTTGGAGGTGAGGATGGAAATTCCACCGACACTGGTGGAGCACCACCAGCGATATCTGCGGCTCCGGCTGGTGTTGCTGTAGGCAGTGGATAGAAATGGAATGAATGAATGAATGAATGAATGGGAAGTAAGAAAAAGGAAGAGAGGGGATTCTGTGTTTGTGTTCTCTATAGGCGTTTAGGGATTGGGGTGATGACATGAATGCTTTACATTATCATGTTATTATGTTCTATTGTCCTTTTTTGGTTTTGTTTCTTCGCCCAAGCCGCCTCATTTTTCTCACCTTTCTTTTTTACTCTTCTACAGGAGCATTGCCTGTCCATCCGCTTATGCTTCCTCCTCCCTTCTTCCTTTTCCTTTCTTCCCCTCTCTTATACTTCTTTCTCTTCTTATACTTCTTTCTCTCTCGTTCTATTTCTATTTCTATTATCCCTGATCTCCCTTATTCCGTTGTCATTTCTTGCCTTTAACTTTGTTCCTTCGTGGATTTTATCGCATTATCACATTTCTGTATGTATCTATTGCTTTTGGAAACAGGTTAGCAACCAAAACAGAGAACATGATGCGAACCCGCTCAAATTAGTGGGGGAAAAAAAAGTAAACCAGCTATCCTCAAACTGTTGAAGCGTTCCATCTCCCTGGTACGACAAGTGTATTGTTTATGTATTCTTCATTGGGATATATCTATTCACTCGCTTTGGTCTCAAATTCTATGACTTCGTTTGGGGAAATTTCTAGGATATCTCCGCCCCATGTTTCACACTCGCTTGAGCATGGGACGAGTGCGGCACTTACAAAAGAAAGGAAAAGGGAGATAGAGAATAAATAGACAAAGAAATTTTTAAATAATTAAAATAAAATAAAATAAAAATCAACACCCCCCAAAGCTATGCAAACCGCCAAAGAACTAACTAGAGAGAGAGAGATATATATATATATATAGGGCCGAGTAGTTTGAAACCACATTGAAGTCCAAGAAGGACCGTAGGATATAAAGTGAAAAAGGGCCATGTCTAGGAAATGAAAAATCTGAAGAGACTGGGAATTGATGCAGTGTATATCCGGCGCAAATCGAAGGAAACCAGCTAAAAACCCTTTCCCACCACGAGGAGGAAGAATAGAGACATACCACCAGCAGCGACATAACAATATCCTTTGTCCAAAGACACCAGGTACCCACGTGGGTTGCTATGCAGTTAAATTTTATATAAATAGTGTAAAACAGTCGCCAGGAAGAGCAAATAAGAAGGGGGAACAAAGAGGGAAAGAGGAAGGAAGAGAACAATTCCCCCTCTCCCCCCCCTTCCGCCCCCTACCAACCCGGCCAACCCATGTGGTAAAGTAACGTTTCAGCGCTCCGGAACCGCTCTTGTCAGCACGCGTATATTATCTACAAACCCTTTAATAAGCTCCTCGTACTGGTTTTTCGGATCCCCTGCAAGTGCTAGGTCGCCCTGGCGGCGCACCTCGGCGGAGGAGATCTCTATTTCGAGTTCGTGTTCGAACTCTGACTGTGAGTTATTGGAACAATCCTGAATTGATTTTGGCGGGTTAGTTGTATATAACATTGTGAAAGGAGCAATTAATGATATGGATAGAAAGGGCTATGGGAAAAAGAGGAGGACGAATGTGGTTAAGTCGAGCAGGAATATGGTGATACAATTTTGGGCCTCCAAAGACGAATACAAAATTTCGGATACAAAACTGTGAAATAAAAGGGCAAATAAACATGGTTCGCTAACGTGGAGGCGGAAAAGAAAATGTACTACAAATTGACATACCTCTGTAGTAGCAACCTGAGTCAAATCAATTTGATACGCCAGATGTCTGTAGCTCATACGATCTTTGTTTCTGGCACCACCTCGTGGTGCCCCAGCCCCAGCCCCAACCAACGAGCTCGGCTCATCAGGCAAACTGAGTTCGCTAATATCACCTTCGTAGTTCATTTCGAGATTGACACTTATTCGCCAATCAAGACAGGTTCTCGGACTGTAAACATCGAGATCCGCAATGCGACATTTGATGATCCGAGCAAGAACGGCGCCTGTTCGTTGGTCTGTTGTGACACGGACCTTGGGCTTATGACGGGGGTTAAGATGGTGTTGGATTATAGGTGGGAGTGCGGAGGAGGATATTTGGTAGAACGTGTCTCGTTCCTTTTTGTGGGCATAGGTCAATGGGATGCGGGTGCCCGATTGAGATACTGAGGATTTCACGGTGTCATTGAGGAAATCGTTGAGAGCTCGGTGTTGGGCCTAGTTAGATATTATTGCCTAGTCAGACATTTTTTGTCTACAAAACATTGAAGGTTGTAGAAGGGGGTGGAAGGGGAGGTGTGGGGTTCCTACTAAAGACATTGAGCTTTCGAAACCAACTCGGATACTAGGATCATCTTTGGCAAGAACACACTCCGTAAGAGCCGGTATCCGGACGCGTTCTCCACGATTTCTGTCGACAAGCATGCCCAGCTTAGCTTCAACTTCGAGAACAGCGCCTTGTCCAACCACTGATCCGCCAGCAGGGCCTGCTCCAATATCTCTCCTCATAACAACCTGTTGGAACAAAAAGTCGCAGATCAATTTCGTAACTTCCTCGTGAGGGATCAGCCCCGTAATGGACGGTTCCCACGGGCCCAATGAGGTAGCATTTTGGTCTATAGGCGGAGGAGGCCGGGAAGGGAGATTACCATTTGTCGGGGCTTCATCATTTGGTGCCTCTAGAATTGGATGCGGCTGCGAATGTAGGGGACGATCTCTCGACGTGAATTTGTCGGGCTGAGGTTCGTGGCTTGTAACGACACGTTTAGGGGGAGGAGGGACATTGAGCCCGGTGGGTATCGCTGGGGGATTGCCGCTGGTTCGCGGAGCTTTACGCGCGTAGACCGGAGGTTCATCGTATCGCCTTGGTCTCTTTTTGGGAATTTCGGATGGCAGTATAAGTCTATTCATAGAGTCCTCTGTCGCCAATTGCCTTTGGCTATTCGTTTTGGAAGTGGGAGGTTCACTTTGTCGCAGACGTTTGGTAGGTGGTGAAGTTGTTGGTGGTCGACTATTGCTTGCAGGTTGCGGTGTTTTCGGTGTGGAAGGAGGGTATTGTGACGGTATTGTATCACCGGCGTCATGTGCGTGCCCAGGAACATGAACGGCACTATTGCTGTTATTTTTCGATGTCGTGTCATCATCATCCTTACGATATGGTTGAGGGGTCTGATCATCAAATTGGTTATCATCACTCAGTCTGCTCACATTTGCCACTGCAGTTGGGGGCTAACACTCACGTTGTTCTCCTCGGTTCTCATTGAATAACGGGTTTGACTCTCGCCACCAGGACCTTGACTGTGCACCGCCTGCACAATTGGGGACCCTGCATCTCTCTGATCCCGCAACTGATTATCTTGGCTGCTCCAGGGACCTGAGAGAGAGCGGTTTTGTTGAGAATCGAAACCAGAGGACGGTGGTCGTGCTTGATGTGGCGAAGGGCGGGAAAAGGAGGCTGAGGGAGGGCCAAGGGGTGTTCCTGGATGGGAGAGTTGTTGATTTGGAGAGAACGGCTGTGACTGCTGCGGAATAGGCTGATGTTGTGAAGCTCCAATGCTTTCACGTGGAGGATAAGAGTAACTCTGAGAGGAGGTAGGAGTTTGAATAGAATGAACGGATTGCGAGCGCTGCTGCGAGAAATATGATTGCGGGGTCCCAGAGCTCATAGCTTGAGGGGTATATGGGGATGATAGGGACCCTGCAGATTGATTGTAGGCAGAACCGGCGGAGCCCGGAGGGTAGTTGTCGCGGGAGACAGGTTGGTAGGTTTGGATGGAATGTGGTAGAATGCTCGCGCTCTGAGAGTGTTGAGCGGCACTGCTCAACGCTGGCGTATGTTGATATGGCGAAGCAGTGGATCCATAGGGTGAAGAGCCACCAGGAGAGCGTAGAGGTAGAGGGGGTTGGAGGGGGGGAGGTTGCGGTGGTTTTGCGCGGAATTCGGGGGCCTGCGGAGCCTGCTGGGTTGTGTGGTATGAGACTGGCGAAGCATCATCGTGCTTTTTCACAGGGTAGACGGAACCCAGGTCGTGGCCCTGAGGCTGTTGAGGGGAAGACGGGGAATGTTGCGCCGTGGGAAATTTCTGGACACTAGCAGCGGCGTCGTTATTGATGATGGTGCGCAAGTCCATGATCACGATAGTGGACGGCTGGCCGAACGGAGCCACACATCTAAAGGCCACAAGTCCAGCTGGCCGTCCCAAGGTGGTAGCTAACGACAAGAGCGCAAAGGAGCCGGAACGGGTTCACTGGGCGTCTGATATAGACCGTAATGAGGCGAGGTTGCTGAAGGACGCGAAATTTAAGTTCAGGGAGGTTGGAGAATTTCCGCTTTGGGAAGTCTGCGATGGAAAAATCCGATAGGGCGGAAATAACGTGATCGAGGGGCTCAGCGCAAAGCTTACAACTATGGAGATATTTATATAGATATATAGTCATTGGTACGTATTTTCTTCGTGAATAACGTAGCACTAGAGCATATCTTATATCTTTTGGGTGAAGCTCAAAATCTTTTCCTGCCTCATCTGGCATTAGATTGTCTAACTAATGATAACTGGTTACTTTTGTTGCGAATGAATAAATTACTAAGCTTCCCTGTCTTCCTATGTGGATATTCGAAACTGTTAAGTGGAGTATTTTACCAACACACGACAGATTCAAAACGGATCATGAGAAACGCCACAACAACTCAGGCAAGAAAGCCCCAAGAGTACAAGAAAGGAAATTTAAAGTAGCGAAACCAGATACTATAAATCGCACACAGCTAAAATCACAAAACACAGAACAAGAGTCATCCTCGCAGAGTGCACAAACTAAATAAAATCTGTTGCCGCTATTATCCCATTTCTGCGGCGCGGTAGCATTCACCCATGTCTGCTAATCACCCATTTGACAGGGAGGCCTCGTGATTTGTGCATATTCCCAATAGTCAGTCAGGATACCACCCAGAATATTCCCAGTCAAGCGCCCAGGCCCAGCAATTTGATAATTTTCATCCACCATGATATTTCAGGGGGGATGTCAGTATGGGTGAAAACTGAGGAGCTAGAGTGTGGAAGTATATCAAGCAACTGATCTCTGTAACAACTACTGCCATAGTGAATATATCACTCATAGATGTGAGATGGCAATTGTGAATCAGTCTCAAGAGATGCTGGGGTTGTTGAATATCTTGAATCAGTGGAGCTAATGTTGATGAACTGTTGGTGATAACATTGAAAAAGATGTTTTAACTCTGATTTCTGTGGAATCTGTTGTATCATGAAAATCAAGTCTCAAGTTTTATGAAAGAGTGATTGTTTTGACTTATAACCCAAGCTCTTCCCATGTTTGTCAAGTGAGGAATCTGGAATAGATGTCATTCTTATGTCACCATTGGTGTCATTGAACAGAGCATAGATAACATTTGGTATAGGAACAGATGTATGTTTCTCTACCAGCCTCATTGCTTTTGCCTCAGAAGGTCTTACAGATCGGCCAGTCTTGGAGATGTAGGAGTAGTCTTTTCTTCCCATCTGCTCGGCTAGCACTGTGATTACTCTCTACGATCAGTAGGTAGATCATCAAGGTTCACAGGGGCCCTGTTTAGGAGGGGGGGGTTGAGCGGCTGCGAGTTTTCATATAACATTCCATTTCTCTTAACGTAATTTTCTCCTTCATGTAGGTTCACTAAAGTAAAATAACTCCTTGGCCAGGAATATTGATGAACTTGGTCCCGACATCATGGCGATAAACTTGAGGGCGATTTTGAATGGAATAGTGCAGGTAGGTGAAGTCGGAGACCAGAGGTGAGCAGGATTCTGCACGAGTTTGCAATGAACGAGCAAATAAAGTCATCTGAATGATGAGCTACATGGGCGGCGAAGAACAGAATGTTGACTAATCTTGCTGATGGCCCCATTGCCAAATACCTGGTATGGTGAGTTTTGATAAATGATAATGGGTTGCTGACTATTCCTACTGTTACTGGCGGTAGTTATCATTATCACTCGAGATTGATACCAACCGCCGGACCTGAATAAGCGCTTCGACGATAGTGACGTTGATTGATGCTAATAGAAATGATGTGGGGAAGCCTTTTTCGTCGTGGCAAGAAGTAAGACTTCATATATCCATCAACTATATAGAGGATAGCGACCCACGTCTTTTTAGGAACGGAGACAAAAAAGGGACCACATCGGTAACTGGGAGAATGTTTACGGAACAAGACGCCCCCAAATCGATGCTGGGCAGATTTTGGGACTACCTTCGGTTTGGCGGGATGTGTACAGAACAATGCGTTGCTCTGGCCCACCATGCGGCCATGAAGGACAATACTGTTGGCCAAAACTCCTCGGGGAAAAGAGGGGGGGAAACTTTGAAGACACAACGATATTCCCGACGACGTTCGCGAAGATTTATATAGAGACGAGGCTCAGCGTATCGATAGCCAACATAAAGGGCAAGTAAATCGTCTCACGCCCATTGTCCAACAACCTCCGCTTCTGTAACTTCCCATAAACAGATGTAGTGATTTTTGTAGTATTCGTTTAATTTGGCGTACAGATCGGGTATTCCATAATAACGCATTTCTGTGTTTATATTGAGGATGGAAAGACCACTCCTTCACCCGAACGTTTGGATTCAGCACCGTAATTGTTTGACTCCCTCTCTTCTGCTCTCTCCACGCGGCACAATCTCGGAGCTGATGTGGGCATTGCGTGAATGAAATAAACGGCGTAGGTTCCTATATTTTGTGATCAGCGTGAATCGTCAGGAACTTTTTCCGAGCTTCGGAAGTGTCTAGTCGTTCACGGGACGATCTTGATAACATCCTCCCCATTTCGTTCGGTTGGCTACCTGATCGTGGATCTCATGTCCTAAGCAGTCGTTTTAAATACCAGGATCAGTGGAGGATTCACGACCCATGGGTGTATCTTGTTTTCAGTCTGGAACCCTTTCGAGTTGGCTCTGAACAGTACATAGCTCGAGTGAGCAGAATAGAGTTAGCCGCTTGAGACACGTGGGGCAGAGCGGAAAAAGATTTTCCGACACGAACGAAGCCGAAGTTTCCCTTCCGCTTTCTTCTTAACACAGGTTCCCCTTCTCTTTGCTGTAGTTAGTTGTCCATTTTACCAATCATGGCTTTGCTCGGCGTCAGTCATCTTTAGAAAAAATATTGGACTTCTCGCAACCGTTCTCGTTAACGTCCCAACAACGTCAAACAGCAGCAACTCTTTTCAGTAGCCTGATCCAGCATTTTGGCCAGGGGCAGACTATACAGCCATGTTACCAACTGTGGTTTTCTTCAAGCAACACTGCTGGAGTCATTTGACATCGAGAGTAGTCTCCTTGACCCCATAATGTTTGGGAGGAGGAAGATTGTCATAAGATTATCATCTTCTGCTATCTCCATATCACTGTCATCACTATCCTCACTCTCCTTGTTGTCAGTCTCCCTGGTCCCGTCGGTATTATCATCGCTGGGGTCTGAAAACACGTCATTGGCATAGTCAAACCCGCTGTTGGGGAACTTGCTACTGTTAGCTTCATGGGAAGCAGGCATGCTGGAAGTCAGGCAAGAAGGAGCCTCGCTGGCGATGCTGAGGGATCAGACTGTGGACGGATGAGGATAAAATGCAGAACAGGGGAAAGATGAGAGGAGGAATGATAGTGTGATATGGAAACGACAACAAGCTGGAAGAATTAATTGATGAGACGTGCGGATGCATCTGGAGTGAAATGAGAAAGAAAGGGATCCATTTGAGTCTCCCGGCACGAAAAGAGGGTGGCCCCTAGCTTGGTGTGAGGAAAGGTGGTGAGAGGTCTATGAAAAACCAATTCCGATAATCGTCTTATATATCTGGCGGATATCTAATGGGTACGCGCGCGCAACCATCTCAAGAGTAGTGGTTTCTTATAATATAATGAGCGTTCATCCATCAAATGTATCATTTTTACAACTGCATTTCCATAAAGGGTTATTTTCAAACGACTATCTATTCCTTTCACTTGTCCGCGTATACTGGGCATATACGGTTTTAATGCGCATTTATAACACTTGAGAGTACAGGGATGGAATATTTCTAGATGGGAGCGTTGATGTTGATATTGATTTTAAACAACCTAGCTTACAATCAAACGCTTGATTTGCTCCTTTCTCGAATTCGTTTGTATGGATCCTTGATATTATCTCCTCAAGGGTGTGGAAGGAATTTGAATTGCCTTTGCGTTACCAGCGCATCGCAGAGCGGACGATATTTCGCGATGGATCCCGAACCCTGCGAGGGGTCTTGCGGAGGATGATGAATAGATTTCGGAAGGGTTTCGCTTGTTGTTTCTACGCCTTGACATGATGGATGCGACCACTTTGCACCACCGTGCCATGAGACAGTACCTCTAGGACAAAACAAGACAAGAGGCAGGGAATGTCTCATGCTGGTCAGCGCGGTGGTGCAGAGTGGCTGAGAAAGTGGTGAGAAGTACGTGCATGTACCTTAAATATGCCATGGATAATCAAGCAATAGGATCTGATTTGAGCAGCGCCTTTAGCCGGCAATGGTTAAGCGGCAAGCCACCCTGTCGCGGCCAACATCCGCGTGGGTTGCTGAACCTCATGGTGTAGTCTCACCTCATCTCCTTCCAAACACCCGCAAACAGCGCTTCTCTCTCATTTGGAGCCGGACGGAACCCAGCAGTTCGAAATTAATATCTACCGTTATTTCTTCCTGAGGGAGCTTGATATACTGTTATTCTCTTCGCCCATATCGCTTTCGCGTCTATCTGCTTTGCATTTTTCCGATGTGGATCCTGGGCGTCACTGGGATCTCGTCCCTGGGTTCAGTGCGGAGAATTGTATCTCGACTTTGTCGTCACTCTAGCTGATATCTCTCTGGCCTGGGAATGCGTGGCCAATGCCCCCAGTCTAAAATGTACGATGGAACAGCCTATATCTCCCCGGAAAAGCCTTCCTTCGCCATTGAACGAATCATTCGGAAGCTCCCTCGAAAAACACCGAAAAAATCACAACAACGGGTGGAAACATTTCAATTCCGATTCCAAGCCTGATTCCCACTCCAACTCCGAATCGCTGTCCCTTGAGGAGAACGTAATGAAATTTGTCCAGTCTTTCTCCCTTGCGGTTACCCCCAGTTTCGTACATCATTTGGTCAGGCCACGTTCGATCCAGTCGCAGAAGCTACATACAATTGCTGCTCTTGACGGCTTGCGAGGATGGGCCTGTTTGCTGGTCTTCAATTTCCACTTCCTCTTCACATACACGCATAAAACGGCGATTGGATGGGGGTTCGACGAAGATAACTGGGGAATCCATCAGCTGCCCATTATCCACATGCTGATATCGGGCCATGTCATGGTGACAATATTCTTCGTGATTTCGGGCTATGTGCTCTCCTATAAGCCACTGAGGCTGCTCCGAACTCATTCGTGGGAGAACGCTTTCCACACGCTCGCATCTTCTACATTCAGGCGTGTACTACGCCTTTATATCCCTTCTATTGCGGGAATTTTCTGCGTGCTTATCGCTGTTCGCCTGGGCTTCTATCACTATGCGACCTGGGTTCGTGATGAGGGCCATACTATCCTCGGTACCGACGAACAGCACCCCCCTTATTTCATATCTTTCGTCGAACAGTTTAAGGACTGGTATCTCACTGTAGCCCATCTGCTAGATCCCTGGAACTGGAACACTTATTACAATTTCTACAATCCCCATCTGTGGACCATCCCGGTCGAATTCCGATGTTCATTGTTTCTCTTCCTGACCATCGTTTGCGTTTCTCGATTCAGAGCCTGGATTCGTTTAACGCTCGTGTCTTGCCTCATCTGTTACTGTATACGATGGGGACGATGGGACGTCGTGCTGTTTTTGTCGGGCATGCTTATGGCTGAGGTGGACTTAATCCATGGCATCTGGGAAGACCCCCGTCCAACTCCGCTACCTTCCTCCCCTTCCATCCCCCTCCTACACCTGCACAAACATGAATATCCTCGTGGTAACGACAATGTCATCGACCACACCCGTTCCTCCAATACCCACGACATCGAAAATACCCAATATCCTACCCCCACCATGGGCAACTGTAGCCACCACCGACAGGGCTCCCACCGTCTCCTCTGGCTCAGCGTCTTTACCGTAGGCCTATTCATCGGCTCATCCCCCAACAATTCTCCCCAATCAACACCCTTCTACCGCACCCTCGCTTCAACCCTAACCCCCAGCACTTACCCCGAAGGTCACCGCTTCCTCCAATCCCTAGGTGCGGTAATAATCGTCTGCAGCATAAATCACTCGCCAGACCTTCAAAAGGTCTTCACGAATGCGTTGGCACAGTACCTAGGCAGGATATCATACGCATTCTACATCGTTCACGGGCCCATCTTGCACTCGCTGGGCTATTCGCTGATGCCAAACATATGGGCGCTCACCGGCAAGGAGACGAATGCGCAGTATTGTTTCGGATTTGCGATTGGATGGTTGATTTGTTTGCCTGTGTCTATCTGGGCGGCGGATATGTTTTGGCGAGGCGTAGATGCGCCGACCGTTAGGTTTTCGAGGTGGGTGGAAAAGTGTTTTTTGGTAGCTGGTTTATAGATTTCATGTCAAGTGCTTTGGTGGCTTTTTTTTTTTTTTTTTTTTTTTTTTTTTTGTTTAAGTGATATCATCTGTTTCCATCTACATTTCCAAATGCATAAATGGTATGTGGGATACATGTACGTGATCTTTTGCCTTGTTCTTTCTTTCTCTTGCATTTTCAAGGATATTTGCGCTGGAGTTTTTGAACGAGGATTCTTGTCACTACCCTTCTCCGTCTCCTATCCTATATTCCTTCCCCCTCACGCGTAGTCAACATGCTATTTTTCTTCTAATATCCTCTTATTTTCATTCGTCGGTGCTCTCCTCTTGATCACTCGTTGTCGTGTTCAACATCATCTTTTGGGTTGACTTCCCTCCCCCTTGCCATTCTTACATTCTTAGAACACTCCGTACCAGCCTCCCATACCGCGTTTTTTTCTAGCTCGTTTAGGAAACGGAAGTAAGAGCAAAACCTTGGAAGAACAAAAGTGAAAGAAAATGCAAATGAAAATAACATTAAATAAAATGAAACAAGAGTATTCAATAGAAAAGAAATGAGAAAAGTAAAGATAATTCGCTTTCATGAGTCATTCATTATATTCCGTCCTAAAAAAAAGGTCTGTTTCTCAAACCCGATCTGAACCTGAAACATATACGGCAGATTATGCACCTGAAAAGGACAAATTTAACCATCGGAGGGCTGGTATCAACCGAAGGGAAAGACAGGGCAACCGCCAATTTGCGGTTGGAGACAGCGGTAGCCTATGTTATAGCGGAGTCGACCAAAGAATATAAAAATATATCATATCGGCCCTATTTGGTATGTATGTATGTATGCACATAACCATGAATACGTTACCTTCTTCCATCCACAGGAAACGCATTCTTCACCCCCACCGGGAGAAATCTGAAGATATATCTCCAGCTTCTAACTTTTCGAAAGATAAAGGAAAAGATAGTCATGGAAAGAAAAGCTTCATATCGATACTCCCCACAACCCACGACCACCACACACCCCTACCCAATCCCTGCCAACCCCGGGAGCCCCGGCCATGCCACCACTCGCATGCGGTGCCCAGCTAATGTTCGAAACCTCATATTCGCATTGCCAAGCGGCAGCCGGCCCACGCTCAACAGTAGTGGGCGCATTGGGGGTGCTACTATGATTCGGGGGAGGTGGAGCGGGTGGTACGGTTGCGGCGTTGCTTTGATTGATAAGATCCCATATTAAAACGAGAGAGTCGTCTGCACCTGAGGCGATGGTGCCACGTCGAGTGGGAGACCATTCGATACAATTTATCGGGCCTGCGTGGCCTTTTAATTCGAGAAGGGCTTGGCCGGGTTGTCGTACGTCAAGTATGCGGATTACGTTGGAGTCTTGGGAGAAGGTGCCAAGGAGATGGGCATCATGGGGGGAGGCTTGGGGTATGTGTTATTAACCCAGGGGACTTTATTTCTGGTTCTGAGGAATGCAGTCATTTTAAACGGCGGACACTTACCAGCTATCCGTAGTAATGGCGGGGGCCAAGGGGCGTTGTGAGAGGGTGGTGTAAGATTCCCTGGGTTAGTTACTGAATATAACTTAGTATGGAACGCTTTTTATTTGAAGGCGAGAGCGGCTTACACTTCTCATTCTTCTCGGACGGTTCATAGATAATCGTGCTGTGCTCCAGGCTCCGCAGGTCAAACATCCGAACACTCCCATCCGCACCACAGCTAACAAACACATCAACACTATTGGCACAGAATCTGACATCATAGACTTCTTTATCATGAGCAATCAGTTGCGTCTTAGCTGTTAGCGTAGGAATATCCCATATAGTACATGTCGTGTCGATGCTGGAAGTGATAATTAGGCTTGGAGATACAACATTCCAGTCCAATGATGTTATTGGAGCAGTGTGTTCCGGTGATTTAGAATTGGAAAGAAGGGCGAGAGGTGAAAGCTTTTGTATGGGCTGATTTCTCGACTTGCTGGATCGATTGATGGAGTTACTCAAGTAGGATTGTGAGTGCGAGTCCGCCGGCAGTGACCAAAGCCGCAAATGATCACCCGAAGTCGCCAATAGATCGGTTGATTGCTTTTGAGATGAGGGTGGCTCCCATAATATTCTGGTCACGGGGTACGAATGTGTGGCTTCCGCAGTCTTTATAAAATCCAAACCCGGGTTTCCGTCAGGGGATTCCGGGGCATCTAAAGAAGCACGCTGCGCGCTTAGAATTTGAATCTGGAATAACAATTAGTTACACAATTAGTTACGTCTAGCCCATGTGTAAAGTAATGCACTATGATTAAATGTGAACTGATGCTCCAAGACGCAGAACATACATAGTTGTGACTGTCTTCAAGATAGCTTCCTATAGCGATTTTTCCGAACGATGATCCTCCTGGAGGAGGAGGCCATTTACACCAGTCCAAGGCGTATACTGCCCATGGGGCAATGTGATTGCTGTTTGTGGAATATGGCGCATCGCCATTATTACCTCCTGTCACCGTACTGCTTGTGTCTTCCGACATTGCAGAATCAATATGGGGTCTGATATCAGCCAGTCCTAAAGGCGAGTATGGAGACGACGCCTGCGGAGTCTGTGTGGCATAAGTGCCTGTCGTTGGCGAAATGTACTTCCCATTATCCGGCGTGCTCCCTACTTGGTTGAATTTCGGTTGATCAAATGTGGACGGACTGGATCTGGAGAAAGCTTGTTGTTGGCCAGATTTTGAAGGAGTGTTTGGAGAGAGAGGTTGGGTAGCCAGGTGCGGTAGCATTTGTATCGCTGGCGGGCCAGTAGTATTGGGAAGACCTGGTCGGTTTCCGGATCCCGGTTGCAATGCTCCCGGGAGTGAAGTGGTGTTGTTATTCGCATGGCTGGAGAATTGGGAAGGTTGGATATTGATTGACGGCGCACCATAATCAGGGGCAGAGGAAAATTGATTCTGGCCTGGTCGAGGACCATTGGAAGCTAATGAGCTGCTCGCCGCAGGGATGTGTAGTTCCTCTGGCTGTCGCGGGAAGGTTTGTTGCCGTCGGGGGCCATTGAAGGCCTGGGAGGGCTCCGCCATAGCCGGGGCGGATGTAGTAAAGTATAGGGAAGCAGTCTCAAGCCTCTATACTTGAAGACCTAGCGAATCTCACATCAACTTGGACTTCCGCTCCGCTAGGGCCCGTAGAGTGATTGTTGGAGAAGCGAAGGACCTCCGAAGCTGAGGATTCTGGTCTTGGAGGCGGGGGTGAGCAGGTGGCAGTGGGAGAGCCTAGAACTTGTCGATACTGAAATGTTCCACCAGCTGCACTCGAGCTAATTGGGCCTCACCCTGTACATTGTATATAGGGTAATGGAGGAGATGATGCCCATTCAGAGGCATATTCATCCGCTGGCGAGATGTCGGCACCGATTTGATATCTCACTTCGAGAGCCGTATTGGCTTGGCGATAATGACTCAGCAGATATCACGTGTGATTAGACACCGTTCTCGGCTCATTGCATGGGAAAGAAACCATCCCCACCAATGTGCGTTTAAATCTAGAAATTAAATAAATAAAAAGGATCAAAGTGTCCGCTAGAGAGATATATATATCAGTGCGTTCATCAGTATGAGGTGATTATCAAGTGTCTTTACATGCTTGTGCTTTTTCAATACAATACTGGCACCCCAACTGTCGCACCTCCCCAGATACATCCCGTTCTGACCCACTTCTAATAGAATCCTCTACTATTTGGACCAAGTCGACATCAAAATATTACATATTGTGGGAGTCTGAATCTTGAGCGATATGGCGTCTGGAGAGAATTCCAGCCACGAAGCATTGCTTCTACTCCCTTGCACTCTTTCAAACTCATTTGCTTCTTTAAAAGCTGCATACCAACCTGCGTTGTCAATAATTCTTGCCGAACTTTCTAGTCCTATCAAAGGAACCAGTGGTAAGGCAGTGTTAGATATCGCAATTACCGCACGTGGTCTAGCCGTACCAGAATCTGCGCCACGAGGCAGGGCATTCGTGCATTTGCAACAACTGTTGGCTTCTTTTTACCGGCTCCTTGGCGCGACGAGTGTTGCGCAATCGGTTGAATTGGATGGACCAGGTGGGGTGGACGCGAGAGTATTTTTTCTTGATGATAGCGGCAATGGCAACGATGATAACGGGCTCGGTCATGGAAACAGCCAGATGGGGCCAATTATACATCTGACTGATATGGTAGTTTCTGGTCGTTCCTGGGAAACGGTTTTCTCTCTTGAGACAAGAGAAGGGGATATGATCCTTAATGCCCTCACCACGACAGCAAAGAGACAAGGGCTTTCAAACCCAGTCTCCACTATTCGGAGGCTTCCTGGCATCCCAGAGTTACAGATGCCGACAAATATTTTTGAGCAACCTGACTTGCATCCGCGACGCCATTATTCCGTTGCAGTTGGCGGGACTTTTGATCATTTGCATGTAGGGCACAAACTTCTGCTCACGGCAACCGCCCTTGTCATTGACGCAGTGCCATCAGGGCCTGAGCCGATTCAAAGGACCATCACCATTGGTATCACGGGAGATGAGCTGTTGGTAAATAAAAAGTATGCAGAGTACCTAGAAAGTTGGGATGATCGATGGCAGGGTGTTTGGACATTTATGGAATCGATAATAGATTTTTCACCGCCGTTTGCGGATCGAGCTGCTACTCAAAAGGCGACCACCAAAATCGAGCACGTTCACTACCCCGGACCAAATGGCAAGTACGTCCGTGTGCGAGTGTCATCGGACTTGGATATTAAATTCGTTCAAATTTCTGATCCATTCGGTCCCACTATCACAGACGAAGCTATAAGTGCTTTAGTCGTGTCTAAGGAGACTCGATCGGGTGGGAAGGCAGTGAATGACGAACGGGAGAAGAAAGGCTGGTCAAAGCTAGAGATTTTTGAAGTTGATGTTTTGGATAGTAGTGCAGCCGAAATCCAGGGAGAGGCTGTTGACAATTTTGAGACCAAGATAAGCAGCACAGAAATTCGTCGACGCCAGATGAACATAGCTAAGGGGAATCTATGAACACATGCGTTTGTTATCGCTGTTGGTTTTGTAATATCGACTGACGGGTGATAATTTTTTTTTTTTTGTTTTTTTTGAAGTTTGTATGAGGGGAAGCGATAATCGGCGAATAAACCGAGATACTTCATCTATCTTTACCTGCATCACAAACCGACGCATCTTTCCTGGTCAAACGGCCATCCCTGTCACATTTTACGTAATGTTCCAATTCTATTTGGCCATGGGGTACAATCGGTAGCCAAAGACACCCGAATTTTTATTATCGAAAAATGGCGGCCCACCGTTGGCCGTGATGTGGGCCTGATTTAAGCACGCAAGTATCGGTGTTGGAGGCCTTCGATGACCTTCCCGTCTGCATGGAAGACTAGATATGTTTTCAATGTACAGATACCCGACTAGCGCCTGCGAAGTCGTTCGTCGAGGAAACGTAGCATTATCACCCCGTATTTCCTTGAAGTGTGTGACCCGCACAACTGCTACCAGCTGGCACAGCTCTTCGTGGAGGTAAAAAGGAAAATTGTGATAAAATAAATTCCTAGTTCAGAACCCACGGCTTTGGGCCTCGTAGCGAGAGGCTGAAGAAAAAGCAAAGAAACGAACTGCATGCTTCCGGTGCATCGTGGCCACTTCTTCCACCTGAGGGTTGAGTACAGCAGGATGAAGGAAGATGCAGGAAGCAATCGAAAAATAGAGAAGCAGAACAAGAAAATGAAAAGACACCAAAGGAACGAATATTTCCATTTGAAGAATTCGTCATTCGCTGAGGAATTATGCGAGGAGTTGGAGCTGTATGCAGCATTCCAGCAAGGATGCCGCAGTCAGGCGCTAAAAGAAGGGGATGACTGGACCAAAAAAATTGCCAGCTTCAGATGGCTCGCCTTAATGAAATTCTTCTTTCATTGATTCCTTTCGCTCCCCCAATTCTTGAGTATGAGTTTTCTTGAATGAAAATGGGGCGAGTTGGTCTGATTCGCAACTTGCCACAGGATGCGGATTGTACAGATGAACTCTCTGATTGTGCACATACTTGTACTGTACATGCGCGGACGGAGTTTTAAGGGACGCATCTGGCACAGTTCAGGGATTAAAGTTGATTGGGAGGTTCCTCGTTTGTCGTTGCCAGCACCTAGTCTGCCCATAGACAATTCGAAACAAAACCCTGAACCCTGATAGAAGTCCTGTTCCTACATAAGGGATGTTTGCCAGGATGTCTGCTAAATGGTGCAGTCCGTACCTTGCCAGACAACTGCATTCCCGACCTGCCTGAGATAAAATATGACCAGTCCATACGGCCCGTGCCTGATTGAATCGCCGTCAAGGGATAGACCGGAAAAACAAAGCGTTTGAAAGTTGACCAAAGTAAGAAAGCAGTGTCAATCAGTTGGAGTCAGGTACAAAGGTGTACAGCTCAATAAGCATTCACCAACTCCTGCACATGTTGTTTGTGTTGGCCATAACGTAGTACGATCAGCAGTGTGTAGAACCAGGCGATAGCCATAGCAACTCTGAGGCCGAGATGGACAAACAATGACAAGGCGGGGTCACTGATTCTCGTCAGAACTCGCAGGCCGACCGCTGCCCAGTCCTACCTTCGGACAAGAGGGGTGGGAGGAAGAATGCTAGGATGAAATCGGGTATATATTTTCAGATCCCGCAGCCAGATATTCCGGCAGTTCACTCCCCCAGTCCAACACTGCTCAATGTCGCAAACAAGAACACGTCGGTGGTTCTCGACCCTCCTTAGCAGCATGCCATCCACGTCGCCGGTGCATCCGTGATGGTGATTCGCCGCCTGGACGAGAGACCAATGTCCTGTACCAGCGGGGTCTCTCTGTGAGTTGCAGGGACTCTGCAGCATTGGGCCGTGCATCCGCCTTTGCGGAGGGAAATCAGTGAGGGGGGATATCTTTACTGGGTCAAACTAAGGAATCAAGCTCTGCAGACTACAGCATGTCAAGGCCAACACGATGATGCTCTCTTCAACGATTCGCCCGCCACAACCGCGCCACAGGCTCTGGCGTCCTCCCATCTTCAGGGCTCCAGGTTCGTCCCTCTGGATTCACCACGGCCCGCATGCTGCCGCTGCTGGCGTAGGATCTGCTGGTGTATTTTCGATCATGTGACCCCATGGTGTAGTGGCCGTGCTGGTAATTGGCGTAGATGAAGCAGGAGCCCTGCTCTCCAGCACACGTTTTTCTCTGTTACTCGACGGCGACGACGGGGATGGAAGCGCCCACGCATTAAATCGGTGTATACCGAGTCGCCTGCGTGCGAGTGAAGGACTTTCTGTAATCTGCTGCGTCATGCTCATTTGTCGCCAGCGCCCGAAGTCCCAGTGCTGGCCCTCTGCTCCGTTTGGGGCCCGCCATTTGCACCACCTCTCTCTGATTTTCATCACCTGTGTTTATCCAAGGCCGTCTTGTTTCTCACTTTGTCACTTGGTTAAAGCCCCTTCAATATGATTGTCCTGAGCACTCTTACGTTTTTTTAGCTTTCGACTTCCGCCTTCGTTTTGGACGACGATCTTATTGCCGTATCGATTGATCCCCGCACACTTCAACGATCTACTCGGCTTTTATTTTGGTGAAATCTTATCAAGTTCCCAAAATTTCCCCAAATATAATATAATATAGATATATATCTATATTTTATGACAATTATCAAAACAATACTCTCCACCTTTCAGCCCCTCAGTTACCCCTCAATCACCAGTGTTCGCCGAACAAGTTCGTCAACCTGGCTACTCTCCTGTTCAGCTGGCTTTTTTCCTTTTTTTCGTTTCTTGCCCCGCGATTGCGGCGATTCCATGAGGAACCTGCCAACCAAGAATTTGAAGCGGCCAAAAAGCCGTCATCAGAATCTCAAAGCCAAGAGATGGATGGACCACGTGGTATCTTGAGTCTCTCAAACGAGTTGTTAAGAGAAATCTTGGACCATTTAGCCCAGGACCCTGAGAAATGCGTCAGCGTCGATCGTCGTGCGTACCTCTCCATTGAGAGTTTCAAGCGTCCCAACCCACCTGAGCCAATACCACTCATTTACGACGCGAAGAATGGCTTCCAGGAAGACTATCGAACGGATGTTGACCGCTTCAGGGAGGTCTGCAAACGGTTTGCAGATTTAGGTGCCTCCTATAAGTTTAGCCGGGTTGTGGTGCGGTTTTCTGAAAGCGCATTTCGGAAATTGGATATGTTGTCAAACTCCCCGCATTTGGCAAGACACCCGAGAAACTTCACGTATATCATTCGGTCATTTTATGTTGAAGGTTGTTCATCATTCCTATTCTCCCCTTCAGCTTGTTTCCAACCCCCAATTCTTTCCATTTTTCTTTTCTTTTAAAGTCTTGGCGTGTCTAACGCATCTATCTCCTTTTCTGCGCTTCGGTTTTATTTTTTTTTAGATCGGGACAAGCTCAGTGAACTTTTCTTAACGGCGGATTCCAGTAAATTGAAGATTTCCGAACACCATCGTCGACTACAGGAGCAGAAACGCTTGGTCAGCTCTGGCGAAGATTTCGCTTCCCTGAAACGGGCTATGCAAGCATTCAAGTCGCTTCAACATATCAAAGTTTTGAAGGTTCAGGATGAGACGGAACGGGAACTTTTACAATTCATCGAGCGACACGATAATCCGCTAGATCCATTAGTATCCTTAGATTGGAAACCAGCATGCGCCCATGCAGTGCGGACTCTCGCAATAGCTCTTCTCGAATCTCAGCCCCCTATTAACCGATTTTCCGGGCCACAGATAAATCCTCAAGCAGCTCTCACGTTGAAACGAGCCCCAATTAATATGGTTTCGGCGCTTGCTGTGAAACTGACTTGTTTGGAAATCCACTTTGATGCGATAAGATACGTCAATGCAGAGATGCGGGAATTGTCAGAAGTCTTTCATACTTTATTTATGGCAGCCAAAAACATGGAAGCCGTGCATATAGGCTTCCCATCTCGTATACCCCTTGATTTGCGGCTCGAAGACATATTCCACAATGTATACTGGGAGAAGCTGCGCGCATTCGGCATCCAGGCCTGGCGACTGGACTCGGAAGAGATTATCGAGTTCGCCCGCCGTCACCGCCGGACGCTTCGCGGTCTCCGCTTACGAGATGTTCTCCTCAAAGAAGGAAGTATGTGGAAAGATGTCCTTTCCATGCTGCGCGAGGAGATGGAGAATCTGGAATGGGTCAGCTTGCGACGGATCGATTATTCAAATGCCTTCGACGAGAAATGGGCGACCAGTGCTGATATATCGGATATCCAATCGTTCCCCAATTCTGACAGCGAGGATGACGACCTATTTGATAGGTACGATGCCGCCGATAACGCTAACAACGACGATTATGAGAGCATTGGTGACGAGTCGGACGGTATGAGCTCGCATAATGGCGACAATGGACCTAGAGCACACCAAATTGAACTTTCGCCCGATACGGCTACCTCGTTGATATCCCCCTTCGCACAGTGGACAACGCCGTTGACATCGATATCTGTTGATGAGCTGGAAGATAATGGGGTAAATGTGGAATACCGACAGAGGAAACTCTGGGAGGAATGGGTGATTTCGAACTCGAGAAATACTGATAATATGTGACGAGGTTCCTTGGGATTTTTATTTATTGTCTTTGATGTATGAATTTCCATTATTGCTTCCGATGACGGTTGGAAACTTATGGCTTCCTCTACTTCGTTTTCCACAAGGATTTTGATTATTTTGACAATTTTTGTTCGCGGTGACCCTTCCTTCGCCTTTTGCTGTTTGTTGGTGTGTTGTTTCATTCCAAGGCCACAGAAACAAAAGAAAAGAGGATAGCAAAATACGGTGTCTTAAATCTTCCCAGGAATATTGCTCTTTCTTTCTCCTACTCTCCTCTGCTGCCGTTTGGTTGGTATTATCACTTTGCTCCTCCAGCTTCTTCTTTCAAGCATTCGCATCCACCCTCCGCAAGTCCTGGTTAGCGCCGCTTATTACCGGTTGGGAAAATATTATGAACTTGTATGTACTGTACATTGGCTTCAACTGGAGTGGAAGGGTTTCTCAAAGGGATCCTCACCTATGCCTGATGTGCCTCATAAGGTGCCTCGTGCCGTACATGTATTCAACGATATATGGGTGCGCGCCACCTGGCTTCTTGTTCGCTGCGCTTGCCCTCATATTGGTTTTTCGGGAGGCAAGGAATCTGATTTAACTGTTTTATATACTCACTCACCTCATAAAGCCTCATAAAGTAAAATCCAAGCTCATTTCAACATGTTCTGAAAGAAATATCAAGATCAAAATTAAGAAAATATATATTCCAAAAAAACATATTATTTGTAAAGGAACAACGATTTCATGGTGTCCGTCCCTGAAAAAGCTTGTTACAGGAATCATTGAGTGGAGTATCGATGGAGGAGAAAAACTAACAAATGGGAAATAAACAGACATGCCCAATAACCAAAAGTGACGTAAATAAAACCTTTCCAATCCATCCATAAGTAGCCGTTCTCCAGAGGAGAGATATTTTCATCAGAAATCGTCAGGAGGCGATAAATGGGCCGATCTATGTCGAATCAGAAGAATACTAAATAGCAACATAAATCATAAACACAGCTGCATTCCTTAACGCGAGTGCGAGAGATGAAATTGTGGAACGGGTATGGCGAGCTGTGCGTAGGATATCGTGAAGGAACTTTCACCATATATGTTTATTGTCTCAGAAGAGGCAGAGGAAATCGATATTGGCTTCAAAAATCGCCTGTTCTCGAACATGATTCAGAAGATATCCACAATTTTCTGCCGGGTATTCTAGCAGTTTGAGGATTCGAGGATCTGGGTTGTTTTCTAGGAACATGCATACAGCCGTGCATTCAGCGTGAACCCTTGGATGCATCCACCAGTGGTTTTCTTGACACTTCTTTCCCAGCCAGTAACCCAAAATGAGAACTGCCCTAGGGTCTTTCTTTTCCAACAGCGCAGTATAATCGGGTGGCAGCCTTCCCATGAATGATGTAATTTTAGGGAAATTTCTTCTGGATGGTATCAACTCAAGCAACGGACTAAGCATGCGAAGTGGCCAATGATAGGGATTTGTTTCCTCGGTTGTTTTTTCGTCAATTTCGCATATCTCCGCCAGACCCGGGTGGAGGCCGTCAGCACCAGGCCGGTGGTCTTCAAATATTGGGTAGTTAGATTCTATGAAGACATCGTACCAAATGCTCTGATGTAAATAGGGGCTGGTGAATTCGAGAAGATGTCTAAGTCCAGATTGGAGCAAGAGCCAGTTTAGGGCTTTGGGGTCGGAGGAGAAGAGCCAAGAGCTCTCAGGTTTGTACTCTTCTGCTGAGAAAGAAAGAACGCCCATGAGCATACAGGTTGACATTAGACCGTCCATATTGTGCGCTCCAACCGAAGTAGATAGCTCCTTTTTATATAATGTGATGGCACGCTGCCAATGGTAGCTTTCAGCAATTTTGATCGAGGATATCCAGGGTAGTAGCCTCCTACGGCTAGAGGTAGCAACCCCCAGAATCGCATGCATGAGATATGGAATCTATGGAAATAGATGTTAGTATCATTCACGGTGTTATTGGAAAAACAAACGAGCCCTTCCAGTATCCATACCTGAAATGCAATGCGCAACATAGCCCCGTTAGTTACCTTTTTGCCGGTGTCGCTAAGAGCATTGTCTTCTGAGGATAGGATCAAAAAGTGATAGAAAGCTTCAACAGATTCGCGATTAACCGGCTTCGGCGCAATATTCTTGAGGTCATTGTCAATATTAGGGGCAAGACCCAATGCCGAGTCTATTTTGTCTGCAAGTTCTGTCATTGACAATGAAAATGCTGCGTACTCAATCCCAGGAACTTTCGAATATTTGTCTGCGAATGAGCACACAGTCTTTGGCTTTTGCTGGGATTGCACTGTCAACGAGTAGTCACAGGTTATGCCATAGGCGTCACATTTACTGCAGCCTGGCTTGGTTTCATCGCACTGTAGTCGAAGGACCGATTGCAGTCAATATCTACATCGGTTCTCAAATTTCGCAGGACGCACGTTACAACAAAGACACTCATTCATGCACGGGGAGATGGATATGTGCAATACATTGAATAAGATAAGGAGCAGCAGGGTGAAACCTACCTTAATCCTTCGTTTCTTGCAATTGGAGCAACCAGACCTGGACTTTCGGTGGGGTTGGCGGGAATGGAAGGTCGGTTCTGCAAATTTGACGGCTTGCTGATGCGATGATTTATTCGGCCGCTGTCGTCGAGCATTTTCGACACGGAATACCACCTGGTTTCCAATAATGCGATTTCCCGACACGGCCAACTCCTGCGTTTTTCCTTCATCCCGGCGAATCTGAGTGGGAAAACATAGGGTTGAGTCCAGCGGGGCGGCCATGGTATATGTAAAAGCAATCCGAGCACGCTTCCCTGCGAGGCTGGCCGGCGAGTACGAATGGACACTAATTCGAAGAAGCTAAATATTGAGCCAGGATGGTTGCGCGTACATACGCATTATCATTCCGATCTGCCGTGTGATTATACTGGGAGAATAATGGAGAGAAGGGATATGTAGATGTAGCATATCAACCTAGAGTATTGAAAAGGTGTGTCAGTTGAACCAAAAACACACAGCTTCTTTCACAAATTTCATATCCTCACCATGCACCTGTCAACTATTGATGTCAAAATGTTGATGATGATGACGGACGAGTTTGGGAGCAGTGGTCGTATTTATGCCGCTAGTCTCGGAATGGAAGATGTCCTGTTTCCGCGGTGAGAGCCGCATTAGGCACCACCCGCCAGCTAAATCATAGAGTGCAATCATTATGCATTGTGATCGGAATATGGTAAGTTGTAAAATAGAACAATTCTCTTCTTATCTGAGTGGAAAGATCTTGACATGTCTGCAATAGAACACATGTCCTTGGCTAAATAAATGACTCTGCGTGGAAGCATCGTTTCTGCTAAACCAATAGAGAAACCCCCTGATGAAGAAATTATTGTTCCGACAGCCGGGATGATATGATATATGTGAAAATACATAGTGTACATGGTTTTCTGTCCCATAGTTTAAAAAAAGGGAAGATCCGGTCAAGTTATCGGTTTCGTAGATAACATGGGTTCCACAGGAACTCTACCAGGTTTTCTTTCCGTCTCAACTTCATATTCCTCGTCCGCCTCGTCTTCGTCATCCTCGCCGAACATACGACTCCAGACACCATCCCAGATTCCCTTCTTAGTTATCAGCGTCCCTACCATCAGTAGTGGCAAATGCCAAACACTAGCCCAGAATAACCCTCTCGAGCTACCAGCAGCTCCCTGAAGTTTCCAGAATCGATACGCCTCCTTGGCTAGCCAGCAATTGACCAGCGTTCCCCCGATCAAGAACCCTTTATCAACCACTCCGAACCACCACAAGCCAGCGCAAAGTGGGAACATGAGGATCGAGTAACGCAGTGAAACACGGCCATTTCGAGCTGGATTCGTCCATGCGAGCATTTTATAGCCCGCGTTCTTGTATTCTTCACGGATAGTGTGGGAGAGGGAGTTGAAGTGTGGGAATTGCCATGCAAATAAGATCGCGGCCATGAGCCAGCCGCCAGGACTATCAGGGCCGAAGAGGAGGTCGCGCCAGCCGTCGTGGCCTGTCGTAGCAGTTTGGCCGGCAGCGGCAGCCCAACCCATCAGTGGGGGGATTCCACCGACGAGAGCGCCGACCCAGGTGTTTATCACAGAAATACGTTTGAGGGGAGTGTAAACGAATGCATACAGGAAAAGATTGAAAGCACCAAGTGCGGCGACAGTCGGATTTGTTCCCATGTATAGGGCAGTGACACCTACTGTCCCTGTCACAGCAGCAAATATTAGGGCGGCTCTGGGGGATAGGAGTTTGCGAACCAGGGGCCTGTTACGAGTACGTGACATTCGCGCGTCATATTGGGGTTCAAAGAACATGTTTAGGGTGTTGGCGCTTGCAGATGCGAGGAAGGTACCAATTGTGAGGTAAATAAAAGTCAGAGTAGAAGTGGATAGTGCCGGGAGAGGCGTTACTGATGAGTCTAATGCAAGGAGTGTCGGGATTGGGTAGAGACCATAAGCAGTTGTCGCAGTGAGAACTACGAGGAAGGATAGATTTGGTTTTGTAAGAGCGAGGTACGCTGCCATTGTTCCCCGTAGGGAGGACTTCGGGAGAGAGGATGATAATGTGGAGAGGCGGGAGGAGGCGTCAGGGCGAATGTCATTGTTGGAGGATTTGGCTTCTTGTTCAGCCTTCAGTCGTTGTCGTCTTCGATGGGGAAGTTCCTCGGGGGAGCCAGGAGGTGACGGGTTGTCTTTTGTCCCAATTGATGACGCAGTTGGCGATTGGGAACCAACTGTAGGAGCTGCGGAGTGGAAGAGAGGTGATCGATTAGCATGCAGCGGCTTTTTTCTCAACCATTGGGCCAGGCCATTTCTCGACAAATAGCCGGTTGGTAGTCCATTGGAGGAAAAGTATGCTTTCCTCAGGATCCTAGGCATTGCCGAAACTTGAGATCCCTTGTTTTTTAAGATGCCGCTCGCGATGAAGCCTCGCCGCGTGAACCCCACTGGTTGCAAGGTTTGGCGAGTGAAGCAGCGGGAACAGAGAGCGAGAGCGTCCGGAGCCATGCCCGGGCGCAGAATTAACAACGGTGAGGCCATAGCTAATTCAGGTTGCACTTAGTCGGCAGCCTGAGCCAACAAAGACCTCGCCATCCGCACGGGGATGTGTTCTGTCCGAGTTGAAGTCGTCGTTAAAGAATTCCCGGTTGGCTTTTTGATTTCTCCAGGGAGTTAGATGAGTCAGCATTCATGTGACCTAGTTTATTGCTCTGATGAATTCTAAATATCAAATCAACAAGATGCGCGCGAGAAAACTCCCGTTTAGGACCACAAATCCATTTGGCCATTGCTTCTATAGTTGGGAACAGTAATTGCTCCAACGGTTTTGCCCTGTGTTAAGAGCCGCGGAGCTACCGATCACGGTTTGATGTGTATTTGCGGCGCCCGACATAACAAGAACGTTTACAACGACCAGGAGAGCTTCCAAACCAACAGACGGCTCGAGCGGCAGCCATGGGATCTCTCCAACAAATTCTTGAAATCCTCCAAACCAATCTGCTCAATCCATTACAACCGTACCTCAAACCTATCACCTCCGCTCTCCCCGAACCTGTGGATGATGCTCTACTGTCCCTCCTCGGCGAACACTGCCATTCAACCCTCATTCGTTCCCTGGACGTCACCGCAGACCCAGCATGTCTACCTCTAGCGGTTTCCAAAACCCTAGGCGTGGCAATTGTCACCTTTAGTGCAATAGTCAAAGTTCCACAGATCCTGAAACTTCTCTCCTCACGCTCCTCTGCTGGTGTATCGTTTACGTCCTACGCGCTCGAGACTACAAGCCTTCTTATTACCCTCGCGTACAATGCGCGTCAGAAGTTCCCTTTCAGCACTTATGGCGAGTCCGCACTAATTGCCGCACAAGATATTGTGGTTGGCATCCTAGTGCTCTTGTTTTCTGGCCAGACAGCGGCGGCCGGTGCGTTTGTTACGGCCGCTGCGAGCATTGTTTATGCTCTCATGTTCAGCGGTGAAACGTTTGTGGATCAGGCGACAATGGCTTATTTGCAGGCTGGCGCGGGTATCCTGGGCATCGCGAGTAAAGTGCCGCAGATTCTGACTGTGTGGCAGGAAGGGGGTACAGGACAGTTGAGCGCGTTTGCGGTACGTGAATCATACCCTTCTTACTACCACCTTCCATGGGTTGAGTGTTCCACTCTTTCACATCAATCACACGATTAATATTATATATTTGTTTCCAGGTATTCAATTACCTCCTCGGTTCCATGATGCGCATCTTCACCACCATCCAGGAGGTTGACGACAAGCTGCTCCTCTACGGCTTCGTAGCTGGATTTGGCCTTAATCTGGTCTTAGGCTTACAGATGCTGTACTACTGGAACGGACCAGCTACCGCTCCAGTGAATAAATCGGCAGGCAAGGGGCACCAGCGGATGGCAGAAGTCCAGATCCCGGTTGCAAAAGGCTCCGGCGTCTCTCCCAGCTCTTCTGGAAAGGCCCCAACAACGAGACGGAGGGGCTAAATTCGTTTTGTTATGAGATTCTTTCATGTGTTCAACTTCCGAGTGTATCTCAGCTTGCATGCTACGCTTCCTTCTATTCTAGTCATTCCATATTAGTGAAAATTGCACCATAATTCTATATAGTTTTACTATCAAATGAGTTAAATAAAACAGCTTACTGGAATTTTTTCCCCTTCGAACAAAGCCAATTTCTGGGTAGAATGATATTATACATCGTGAGTGACAAACGTCAGGAATCTACCAGATATAATTTTCGATGCCTGGAGTCTAACGTTCGATGCACCAAAATTTCCATGTCCATCATTACGCCCGAGTCAAAGAAGCTTGAAGACTACTCCCTTACTCATTTGTTGTAGCCACTATATCAACGACCTTTCGGGACAGCTCCCGTCATCATAAATCTAAACACATCCTCCGACGGTAGTGCCGGCGACATGGACGTAGACTGCACATATCCTCCCTCCTTCGAAATATCAAACTGGACCCCACCAGCTCCCGGACTCCCATGCACTCCCACAACGCCCATCCCGTTCCCACCCCCATCCCCTCCCTCTTCCCCTTCTGAACCCTCCTCTTCGTCTCCACTCCCGCTCTCACTCCCACTATCTTCCTCGTTCAGCTTTCTCTTCAGTCCCGTCACGACATTCTTAACCCCCATCTCCTTTTCCTCCAACGTATAATCCCCGCCCCAATTCCGCCCCCTAGCCTCCATGTTCGCTTCGATGGGGCCCCATCGCCACAGCTCTAACAGCTGCTGTTCTGTCAGCCCCGTTCTAAGTCTAGTGGCATCCGGGTTGCCCATAGACAGGCCCTGGGAGACCCAATCCTCGACACGCGGTTCCAGTTTGGTGCGCAGCAGTTGCGAGAGCATGGCGGCTTCGGTGCGGCCGGGGAATTGAGGGGTTGGGTACGCGACTAGCGATGAGAGGAGGTCATGGTGGTCTGTAAGTTGTTGAGAGACATTGACGAGGTTGTTGGAGATGATAGTAGCCTGGGATTGGAGGGAAGACCTGGTTAAAAGGGAAGAAAGACTTGTTAGCTCTTCCAAAGAAAATATAACTGGATAACTGGCTGGCGCGCATTGCTCACCAGGATGGGAGGGGGTCGCTTTGGTTTATGTTGTTGATGAGCGATGCGAGCGATTGGGTTAATTGGACAAGGCGTTGGCGGGTTTGTTCGAGTACTTTTAGCTGTTCGGGAGATATGGAGGCCATGGTTAAGATGGCTCACTCATTATTTTCTCGAGGGTTTGTTTTCGTTTTGCTGGCAGCTCTGCGCAGGATTGAGAGAATAGTTTGTCGGGAGGGGAAGCTATCGATGTCGTATGTTAGCCAAAATTTATTTATATTTGCCAGTTGGTCAAAGCTCCTGCCTGATGTTTGTCAACGCAGGGCAAGATGTGTTTGGACTCATTCGTGTGTATCCAATAACCCACTCCCATTCTTTCTGACGCTGTTCACGATACAATATGAGGAGGGCTGAATTTCTTAACCAAAACTGCGCCTAAACATTAGTATGCTGTGAGTAAATGAAATAAGCGCCCGATATGCCCACCACCACCACCCTCTGAACTATCCGCCCACACGAGTTTAGGCAAGATTTACCCCTGAATAATGTCTCCGCAGATCATTTTTAATTGCTCCTCGATGCTACTTAAACTTTATTGCACGACGTTTCATGCCCTGATTCACTTCTGACTTGATAACAAGCAACTTTGTGGAGAGGGAAGAAGGTCAAAAAGAAAAGGGCTGGAAGTGACGCATCTGGACATGGTTAAATTTTGACCGTTTTACTTCTCTGCCTTTTCATACGACAGGTATTTGCATATTTGTATTTTCATAACATCATACGCTATCGTTTGATCATCGAACCTCTGCACACACCCCATCCCGATATACTTGAGCGCAAGCCGCAGTTCTCCTTGGGTAACATACAAGGAGAATATTTTGAGGTAATGGAGATTCGATCTGCAATGCCAAATCAAAACATAGCGACAGAAGATTGGAAGGGATTGAAGGAATGCACTATGGACTATGGACACGGATGGGAGAATATAAAATATTTTGCCATTATGGAAAGTTAAGGGGGGAAGGAACCGCAAAAATACAAAGGTTGGGTGTAAACCCACATTCCGCGTGGAGGCGTTCTCATTGGCATGGAAAAAGAGAAAGCCAACCTCTAGGTATCTGCTCAGGATATATAACGTTAGGCAACAAGATAGCAGCCAGATTGCAAGACCGATAACACCAAAACAACATAGAGCCGGAAAGTTCCAGACGTTCGGGCTAGGGGAGTATTTTGAAAAGCCGAGGGAAGCAAGTTCTCCAGGTGAGTGATCGCAAGAGGGGAATAAAGATCCTCTTATACCCAATAGACCAAAAACAAACAAAAGGACAGAAAAGGGGGAAAAAACGCCGAATGAGATCGAGAGGACAAATTTCTTTCTTTTCCTTTATTCTTGCATTGAGTGACAGATCAGTCATTCATTGACTTGCGAGGTGGAGGGGCCGGGAATAATTTGGGCGTCTCCATGACTGACTTGGGCGACACCGTCGCAAACTGCGGCGAGGTCGATTCCATCGCATGTGTCTCTGGTGGATATTTTATGTCTTGTGGAGTCCCGAAGGCACTCATATGGTTTTGATTCGGATATTCCGCGTACGGTCCAGTGAATTCGGGTTGGTAAGGGGACGGCTCTCCCCAACTTCGACGTAGGTGGTTGTGCACTGGTGACATTATGCCCGTGTCATTCCACCGCTCGTGAAGATACGACGGTTGGCTCCTTCTCTTCGCTTTGCGTCGGCGACGTTGAATGCAGAATACACACGCGCCACATGCGCATGCCGCTAATAATAGGAACCCGACAATAGGTAAAACTATGACGAGGATGAGGTTTTTTATGTTCTTTTTTGCTGTTCCAGGGGCATTGATTTTGGGGACGTCAGTGTTCGGTGGAAGAGGCTCGGTATCAAAGATCTTGTTTGGGTCGAGTACAAATGGTACGCCGTTGGGTAGGTGTGCGTGGCAGCCTTCTCGGATTGATTCGACGACTAGGTGTTTACTATTTATCAGTAAAAGCCACACATATATTTCTAAGGAAGTAAGGGGGAATGATGGAGCCATACAGTTGCCCAAATATTTCTGAGTCTCTGTCAAGTTATAACAGGCAGCGCATTGAGTGATGACGCCGTCGTCGAAGACTCCCATTCCGCAGAAATCAAGCATGTTCTCCGGCGTTGGGGAAAGCAGCAGGTGCTTGATGGCCTCCCCGAGGGGGTCGCACGTCACCTGGCACGGGCTGGACACAGAATCTTCCTTTTTTTCTGGAAAATTGAATATACATGCTGAAAGCAGATAACGGAGGTTGTCTATAATATCGTCAGCGATGGCCATGGTGCACTCGTTACTAATGCTGGTTTTTGCATACACAATCCCCATTTAACATCCGTGTCATACGTCTCGAAGGAACGTGGACGGAAGAAAGTGCTTCGTAGTTCACACTTTACACATTCCTGGAAATAAGTTCCGGGTGGGGAGTTGTATTCTTGATCTTGACATACGATAGCATCTGGGGTAGTGTTAAAAGACGTCTGGTGGCAGGACGATTGACATGGAGATCCGTTTGTGACCAGTAATCCGAATCCTTCGCGGGTCAAGAGAAACGACAAGATCAGGGAAGAAAGAAACATGGTTGTGGAATTTGCTCAATTAATATCGTAAATGCAGCACGAAAGAAATGATGTTGGCCAAGTGGGAGCTTCGCATAAGCCGAATCTTGCAGTCCGTAGCAACAGTCCGAGTCTTTTGAAAGAAGACGGCCTACTCTCCGACCAAGTGCCCTTTTGCCCTCTGCTGAGGCAGCCAGATGCCGCAAGCAGGGAGGTATTCAAGATAGTTTGCAAGAGTGAAGTAGATATGCAAGGGGGTTGAGCATCTCCACAAAGATATATGAACAGCAGCTGGGCAGAGTCTCCTTCTAATCGTGGACTGATTGGAAGCAAGGAAAAGAAAGTCAAAGTAATAAACACCAGAATTGTCCCGTATTAGTTGGATTTCCCTTAAGGTGGGAGAACGAAATCATCCGGAAAGGTTGAAGGAGTACAAATGTTGTCATACAAGATGCGCAAAAAAAGGGTTGTCTGCGCATTCCACATGCGCCGCTGCTGCAAGTCAAATACTAGAATTGGGACGAAGAGATTCTTTGACGCATATGTCGAATGGGAATGCGGCCCATAAATCGCCATCTAGTTGGAAACTTTTGGTCAAAGCTCTGATTCGAGTTGTGAGCAGGGAGAGTTGCTGATCTAGCAGCATTCGTTCCCCACAACAGGCCTTACCAACCACTGTGGCTTGCAGGGCCGTGATGCATGTGTGCTTCGGCGGTCGGGCGTGTGAACAGAAAGCCCATTGTTGTTCTTGAGGGAGCTGGCTTGCCCCTCACCAAAGGGAACCATCGGCACACCACATCAAGCTTTTTTCGCCAACTGCTGCTAAGAAACAGCCCTTGTCGGCGGGGTTTCTGTAGCGCCTGAAATGCGGATGAAAATGAATTGATCAAAATCGGATGAGACTACAGACTGCAGACTTCGGACATTCTTGGGCAGCTCCATGGATGTCCATACTACAGCGTAGTAGTGACCTGGGTGAGTGACATGGCCAGCCATGATTCCATGAAGGATGCGAGTCTGGCAATGGAGATGTGATTGGCAGGTTGCCCTGGATCAGTCGCGGAAGTCCTTTCCGACATGTCGAATCACGATTCACGACGGCCAAGCAGCGTGAAGACTGTGCACAAGCGTCTTGGAAAGTTGGCGTGCATCGCAGTGTGATGGCGCCATTGCCCGCATCGTGCATGATTCTCTGACCACCAGGTTGGAGGGCGAGGCTGGAACAACCAGCCCTCACCGGCAGATAATGAACTCCCATTCGCCATTTACGCTGCCTCTAGCTCATCATTGTTCACATCGCACCCAAGGCTCCCTCGCTTTGAGTGGGCGAGAAACTTCGCACATTGAACGACCCAAACCTGCTCAATAAATCCCGACACCGGTCTGTTTCTTCTGTCGACATGGACTAGCAACACCCATGATACTACCCCTGAAGCATTCAGGACAAGAATCTTTTTACACACCAAACTGAGGAGTGATGTCTCCTCGGAAGGAATGCACAGTGCCTATAGATCTTTTGCGCAAGCAATCGCTCTCAAAGCAGCAGTAATTAAACAAACTTGAATTTCTCTCGCTACAGCAATGGTTATGTCCCCCTGAGCCCGTAGGAAGAGCCAACTTGCCACTTTTTCACTGGGGAATTTCGCCTGGGGAAAGGTCCTGTTTTGCCGCAGCAGAAACACAACTTGTGCTTCACTCTGTCCTGCCCTTGTAAATAAACATCCATGGATGGGACTACACACACATTTACAAACGACAGTGATATCCTTCAACGACGTTTCAACCGCGACAAGGGATATACTGTGTTTCTTACATGGGGAAGTATTTTCATCCCGTCGAACCAACGGGTTAAGTTACCGGATAATCAATTGTGTTGGGGGATCCTGTGTTTCCCTTCCGCTTTCGCAACTTGGTCACTGCAATTGGAGCAATTGTGAAGAGCTACCCCGCTAGACTCAATCCCCGCGCTCACAATCTAGGGGCATTGGACGTTATCCAAGTCTGATAAGCTGGTTAGCCCATACAAAAGACTATGATAACCCCCGGTTTACTAGGTTGCCAAAACTATGTGACCCTACGCAGTAGATCAATACTTATGACAGAATCAAAAGATTGAATTACTCAGTGTGCTAATTTGCTTCCTGATTTGAAATAGAAGTACCCTTGCCCACCTACCTTCCGACTTCTGACTGGATGAATCCACAAACAGGGGAGTTTCGGAGCGGCAAAGGCTCTTCAATCACACAAGCACTTGAACTCAAGCGGGGTATATATCCGGATGGTCGACAAGGCACCTCCTACTAACGGGAGCTAACCGCTAAACTATCTGTAAAGTACTGCACTGTGCTTGCGGGCCAAAAGCTGCGAGTCAAGGCCCGGAGAGTCATAGCTTTGCAGGCTCCCACTCCAAATGCGCTCTTACTTCGTGCCGAAGCATTTTGATCTCCCTTCACATTCACAGACATACAGAGTTGCTGTCATGTGACTGGTGAAGAAAATCCCCCACACGCCATTTTTCTTTTGGAAGTTGGTGATTTATCCTCCGATAAGATTATGGAGTGTTTGTTCGGTGGTGTGGCATTCGGAAAATGATGCTTCCAAATGTTGTATACAAAGTGAGTGCTGGCCGCGACCCCAATGAAAATTCAGTAATTAAATGTTTAACTAAGTACACAGGGTATGGGCTCGACAACGGCGGCAACCGCTATTTTCTGTGAACCTTTTATAAATTTCTCTTCCTCGGATATCTATAGGAAAATCAATAGTAATTTATATATTTACAATGGTGGCGACCCTGATGCCCGCAAAGACCAGCTATTCATCTCCATAATCTTATGACACAAGAAGGGGTGAAACCATCTAGAACATACATTATTACTAGTAATGATGAGTGCATGTCGGTAGAGAAATATCCCAGATCGGCTTTCTCCTCAAATCATTTTAGCCTTATCAATGGCCACCAAACGCGCTAGTGGACACATACTGCCAATACATGTCCTTTGAAAACTTGCGAAGCCTTTTTCCAAAGTATATCATGGGCAAAAAAGTCAGCGTACAGACCAGCGCTACCATGCTCGCCGTGATAAAACAATTGCGCATGCCCTGTGTCTCCACCCAAGGAGTAATTCCATAGCTAAAAGCGAATCCCAGCGTATTCCGAATAATAGTGACAGAAACCATGGTTTCCCCACTTAGCTCTTTAAAGCAATCGACGTTATAAGAGATTGCGAAGGAGCCACCAGTCATGAAACCGAATGCCATCATACCCATTCCAAACATTAGACATATCCAATGGACTCCATAAGCTGCACCAACACCCCAAGTAATGAGACCACCAGTAGTGATAAGCGCCGTCAAAGCGAGCGGCCAAAGGCGTTGCTCCGGCTCTCTTACCCCTTTGTTGCGACGTGCAAGGTAAATAGCAAACTTGTCTGCGATGACACCGGACCATATCATACTGAAGATTCCACCAATAATCGGCGCGACGTATGCCGAACCAACCTTAGCCGCTGACCAGTTGTAAGGCGCGGCGGAAAGAACTGGAGACGCTGTACCGTTCATCACGTTATACCACGAAAGACTGATACCGTAAAGGAACCCAGACCAATCGGTACAGGGGAAATGTAACATGATCAGGAGGGGCCGATACATCATTTTAAACATTTCTTTGTTACTGGGTCGCCCGGGCTTGGAGACGAAAAGTGCCAGTTTCTGTATGTAGGTGCGGGGAGGGGGGAAAGAAGAAGCCGACTGCATGATCGAGTTATTTGCAGAGATATTGCTCTCAGCACCAGCTTTCTCGTCGCTGACATGGGTTACGGTAGGATGCCCGGACTGAGAAACTGTGGCAGCATCGAGTTCTTGCCCTTCCACAGTGGGACGGAAATAGAGAGACTCTTCCATGCCAAAGAATAAAATCACGGCTGCAGCTGCCGATATCATGGCTCCGAGGTGCATGGTCCACCGCCAGCCGAATGCGTCATTAAACCATCCAGCAATTAATGGCGCGATGAAGTTCGAACCACAGAGGAACAGGACATATGTCGCCATCCACTGGCCACGCTCATGGGCGAAAAATATATCGGGAACAGATATCTCCGGCAGTGACTCAATAGGTGAAGCGAACGCGCCCAGAAGTATCCGATGGGCGTACCATTCGCCTCCGGTTTTCGAGTACGCTGTCCAAACCATGATTGGTACGCAGAGCAGGCAAGATAAAATATAGACACCCCGGCGGCCAAATGTGAGGGCGATTGGTTGCCAGATCAAGCATGCCCATCCCAAAAATAGAAACATAAGCCCAGTTCCAGTGACAAGCTCTCCCGTTGAAATTCCTGTATCATTTGTGATATCGGCGAGCACGCTGTATTGCAACGTGGTGGGAATGCCGACTCCAAGGGTGTAGACGTAGACCATCGCGATTTGCAGCAATTTCCGTTTCCGGCTCCAATTTAATGGGTCTTCTGGGTCCGCACTTGGCCTAGGAACGAGCACAATGTCTCTCTGGCTTTCGTCATGTTGTTCCAACTGTGTTTCGCCCGCAATGTCAACCAGGTGAATTGTACCTGGGATTAGGTCGGCATGGGTTGCGAGATTAGCCTCCATTACATCGAGAGACTTTTGGGAAACAAAAAATGCACATACAAGAAGAAAGTTGATTCTGCTAGTGAAGTATAAAGGACGGGGGCGGTCCCTGGGGGTTGAAAACAAGATATATAAGGTTAACTGCGTCTTCATGGGAGCAGGCGCGAGTTATCGCTCCCAGCCGGATGGCTACATCAACCGATAAGTCCCAATCCTATGAAGAAGGTGGATTTATTGGGCCAATCGCTATGGTGTCTTCTGATAACACGGCATTGGATTGCCCCAGTCAATCCAATCAATTGGCAACATACTAAGAAGGATGAAAGCTAGAGTAATTAGTCTAGAATTCGAATGGCATTTGTCCCAAGTTCTTGGTCTTGCACAAAGATCAACAAAGAGTTGTCTTCTGAGAGCTTGGGGCTGTCTCAGGTTGTGGTGGTTGGAGAACTTCGCTTGTTCGTCGGCTATTCTGAGGATGGCTCGGCAATTTCAATGCCGAACACAAACCCGAATGAGCTGATGTATCAGATCAGATATTTTCCAAGTATCTACGTGAATTGTTCTCAGTCCTTTATTTCGCGGCTAGAAAGAAGGGCAAGAGAGGAAAAAGGGAGAAAAAATTGCGATGAATAATGAATTTTTTCTCAGCTCTTAAAAATCTTTACTTACCACCAAAGCAGCACGTTTTCACTCAGTCATTCCCCGGAAAACCAACAATAAATCCCCTCTTCAGCTGCGGGTCTACGTCCCCATTTTTCACGCACCCCGCATTCACACTGACTGGTGATAGTTAAGTGTGAAGCATCTCGAGTTTGCGAATTCGTCCTAGTTGGAGTGGCAGGGCACCATGAAGGAATGGTACTGGGACCCGTTCAAAACCTTAACAAAATGAGGTTTATCACATAGCCGATAAGAGCGGTTCGAAGTTTGCGCCCTGTGTCCCGATCATTTTTTCAGTGGCTTCGGTTGTGGTGAGGCAGAGGAATACCCTTCAGGGGCAACCGTAGACTATCACTGGGTCCGCAGGTTTTAGTCCATTCAACCAGCGGGGACACTGAAGGAATGGATAATTGACTCAGGTCAATGAAAGTGGAGTAGAATGGGAGGATCTAGCTTCCTAGAAGCTCATAAAAGTTGTGTGCTACTTTGGAAAAAGTCACCCACACAAGATGGAAAATTAACAGAAAAGTAATCCCATATCCATTGAAGTGTGCGTACCAAGGATTCAGGGGAGTGTCCAAAGCCGCAACGTGTTCACGACAATGAATGGCATCAGGATGATTGCCATCGCAGCTGTGAGAATAGAGAACTCAGAGTGAAGTTAGCCTTGCTAGGCTTTTCAAACTCAATTTTGGCCTTGTTTCCCTATCTCTGGAAGTTGGGAGCAGGACGATATTAGCGGGCGTGCCGATTCCGTGGTTCAGGCATCCCTAAGTAATGTCTGGAACAGGCTGACTTCAAGGGACAAGCAACTGGCCTCCGAGTCATATTGTCCCTTGCCAAATCTGGGTCCGAGTCATTGATAATGAAGCAAATGAGGCGTTGATAATGTGAGCAGCACAAGAACCCAAGCAATTATTAGACTGTATGAATCCGGTCGCCGAGTCCCCCGCATTTTCTGGCTTTGATCTCCATTTCGATAATGGACGAGTTCAAATCACAAGTTAATACGCAGAGTATTATGGTGTATCGTCAAAATCCGAACAAAGCAGTTGGCGAGTGAGGCTCAAAGCTCTCCCGTCCGGTTAAGTTAGGTGGCGGCAGAGAAACTACCCACCCTAAATTTTGGGCTGGCTAAGCGGTCGAACATTGCGGCCCCCAAATGCACCAGGCTAGCATAAGCAGTAGTCAAATAGTTAGTTAACTATTGCTCTCCCAATCAGCCTGACTCCTAAGTCCTGGCGAGGCCTTTCATCTATCGCTGTTGGTGGCTTCCTCCTGCTTCGACCCGCTTCATCGAAACAAGAAAAGAAAGCAGATGCATGGATCGACAAAGGCGGCCGAAGCGACCTCGGAGACAAGTGCAGGTTCGTTCCCTTGATAATTTTATTGCTCAATCCCTGCTCAACGTTAGGAAACGAAATACTCTGGGGGTGGATCTACAAATATCTGTCAATCGACGCAGTAGCTATTCGTTCGTTGGGGTGGATTATAGGGCTCCATACAAACCACAGCTTGGGTTAAACTACACGTGGTGATGACAAGATGAGAAGCGGGCGAGAAAGGGAAGGTGAGAAGCTGTGCTTTGTGTAATATGTCGCATCACCAGCGAGGGACTTTATGAGGTGGTTGGGTCTGCATGTTGGGCAACTCTTTTCTTCAATCACAAAAATATCGGAAAAGGTCTGTACAAAAAAACGAAGGAAAGGAAAGGAAAAGGAAAAGAAAAGAAAGAGAAAACCCGAAAAAAGAAAAAAAAAAAGCAGCGAACGGGCCAGCATTGGGCATGGGGGATGTCCATTGGCAGCAACGAAGGTCTTGGGGGCCAAATGCACGCCCTTCTCGGACAACTCATAGACTGAGCTAGAAAGATGGAGATAACTTGCTCCGGGGTCCAAGAAAAAAGAAAATTAACAGAGTAAATTCCCTAACAAATATCAGAAGCAAATGAAGCTAAGCTGTTGGATGGGGCAGGAGTGGGCAAACAGCGGCTTGACGTAGATTCTGTTTGTTCTATCCCGATGTTTAGCTGTTTATTGTTGCGGCAGAGGTAATGCGTAAGCAACTGTGCCGCAAAATGATGCCATTAGCGTGATATTTCCCAAAATTTCCACATAGATGGTTATCCAATGAATATAATGGTGAATGGTAATGTTGTGCAAAAGGTAAAGCTAATCCACACACAGAATGAATCTGTTAGTCATAGCAGGAAATACATCGCTCAAATATGCTAGAATTGTTTACCCAATAATCATCCCCCAAGAAGGAAGCAACTCCATGCTCCAAGACGTACACAGTTCCCACCCGTTAGATATATGGCCTAAAATAAAGTGGTAGAAGAAAGCTCGGGGCTGCAGGATACTCCCCGGGGTATAAACGAAGAACACAAAAGAAACAACCAAAAGACAATATAGGTCTAGAGACCATGGTAAATAAAATCTATAACCAATCCACCAGCACCATACATAGCCCATACATAGGTCGCGGTTAGTTGGCATGAAAGTAAGACAAATTTCCAGCCCCAATGTCATAAGGTATCGTCTCCTGACGAAACAAGACCACATATATCAAAACCTGAGCCAGCCAGTTAAACTAGGTAAAACAAGCCAGAAAAAAGTGATTACCCAAATAGGTCCTCATCCGAAGGAACAAGTTCTTCTGTAACTGCTCTCTTGTTCTTGCGACTCTTCTTCGACTTAGTTGGCACTGTTGGCTGCACGGGAACGGGAACGGGAACGGGAGTATGATGCCGTTCGTTGACCGGTTCCAGTGGTGTCTTCTCCGTTTCTAAATAAATGCTGCCAGCAGAGCTCTGCTTCGCTGTGCTTGGTGTGTTTAAGAAAGAAAGGGCTGGGCTAGTTTGGGAAAGATGTCTGTCGCCGGAGGAAACGAGCGTGCTACTCGGACTTCTGGACCCAACAGGTGTGTTTGAAGATGAGGCTGTTCGAGGTTGGCTATGATATGAGGGGTGATGTGGGATATCCGACGACGAGATGGGGTCCATAAAACTTGGATCAGAGCTTACGGTGGAGAGTTTACTTCTGTGCTTCTCGGTATCGTTAGAATTGGGCATTGTAGGCGACGACTTTGATTTGCCTATTCCAGCCATTTCTTTGAAAAATTCCTCGCTGGCAGGCTTGTAGACGAAGCCAGCACCACCCGAGTTCCGCGCGGACGGATTTGGGGTACTGCCCTCCTTCTCAGTGGGAGTTGACGATAGTTGAGGATTGGAGCATAGGATATCCTTTTCGTCCTCGCGGTCGCAAAAACAGCATTTCATCCAGATATTCGATCCCTTTCCGTTGCTCTCTTGTTCAGCGCCCATCAAGACTTGTTTCGCAGAAGTTGTTTGATTAACTGGCAGTTGGTTCCAGCCACCCGCCATCGGCGCGGTAATATCTGGATCCCCAAATCGCTCGTCAAGGACCCTTCGATTTCCATTCCGTCGGATTCTGCGCCTTTCTAGGTAGTCGTGAAGCCAGGCGAGGGGCATTTTGGATTGACTATTTAATTCCACGAGGCTGGAGGCTAGCGAAAATAATCAAGCTTTGCGCCAAGGTAGGGAGAGGAGGGTGTCCTAGGATCCCCTATATACAGTGAGATGATTTCGATGTTTGGGGTGAAAGGCGAAGTCAAAATGAGTATTCTTCCTTCCTTAAAAAAAGTTCGCGTTCTTTTTATTCACAGCTCGAGCTCACGCCGTTCAAGTGGCAGAGCTAGGCATTAAAATACTGCATGGAGCGGTGAATTCGCAGGTTGCCTGAGCATGTCCAAGAAGAAAGATCTGCCTGTGAAAGTATGGTACGCCAGGACCACCACAAGGGTACTCCGGAGCTGTGAGGAATTGTAACAAAGAATATTCAAGCCACAAGGGCCATAGAATAATTTGAACAGAGGCAAACCAGAAAAAAAAGAAGATTAAGTCGAGATGGAAGAGGTTTCACAAGAGTCGAGAAGAAGACAGTATTCTGACAAATCTTGGCTTCTTTGCTGGCTATGGAGGGGTTTGCTGATATACAAATCCTACCTGGGAGTTGGATGAAACCAGGTTTAAGTCATCCGTCTCGATCTAATTAAAGTAAATAGGACGGAAAAAGGCAAGTTTGGCTGCGATAAAGAAGAAGCCAAACCCCCAAATATAGAAAGATTAGTTGCAGAGGGGTAAAGTCAATGAGCCCGTCCTTACAATATTTAGAAAAAGCAAAGGCACCTAGTCAAAAGTGTCTGGGGGCGGGTCCGCGGACCAATGGCCACGGGAAACTGATCAGCCATCGCGAGTGATTGACCGGATGCATAGAACTTGAATAATGTGAAATTTTCAAGTATCAAATCCCCTAGCGTTGGGAAGTAAACAACTGGGTATTCGGTCTTAACAAAACGTTTCGATGATCCCATACATAATTCGGTAATATTTAGCAACACAATTACCAGTGGGACAGAGGCCGAATCAATTCGGTAATTAAATACGTATCTGCACGCATTCATTCTGAGCAGTTGCCGTTGGATGGGCCAGCAGGCCCCTCATTTGACAGGGAAGGGGGAAGAAAGTGTAGGCGATCTCAACCGGAGCCATCCACCCATACATACAAGCATCCGGCAGCTGAGACAAGATGCAAGGCCTAACTACATGAAGAGTACGTATGACATTTTCTGTTGAAATTGCCCAAGACTTCCCATCAGAATGGTTCATCACCACACTATTAGTTCTAGTTCGAAGTTGAAGTCTTTGTGGAGGCTGGCTTTTTGATCAGGTAGCCGCGGGGGCCAAAAGTCAGGCTGGTCGCCGACTGGGGGCGCCATCTGATAGGCCCAAACAGAATGTTTTGGAGGCAAATGCAGCAGCCATCTTGCACAATGCGCGAGAGCCAGCGATTTGGAAGCACACAAGAGGAAAAATGTTGGCAGCAGACAGAATAGCGGACGATCCAAGGCTGCAAGCCAACGATCCACGGAGGCTCCAATTGGCAGTTTGCAGCGTTTGTTTGCGGCTGGCCGTGCGGATGCCGTTTGCGGGTTAGCGTCCCCGGGTGGGCCAATAGGAATTACATAATCCCCTGCCGGCTCATCCTTGCCTGCATCCTGACGGAGCACAGTCGACTACGTGCAGTGTACGCTGTGCATCCCATTTCCAACCAGGTTGGACTCGATTTTGTTCCCTTCTGTTCCCTTCTATCCTCAAGCATACACACAATAATGGGATGGGCGATACTGAGCTGACCTGTCGTTTCTGTAGTTCCTGAATGACGGTTTGCCACTCTCCTGCTTCCTCCAGAGCTCCTCCTCCTGACATCTTGTGGGAAAGTCAATCGCCCCGATATCCTGCATTTCTAATGTTACATGGTGTCGGCCATGGTGGACAAGACTATGTGTTTCTGTTATGATTGGCGATTCATCCGCCCCCGGATCACCCAGCACGATCGACACTGGAAAATGCTGTTGATGTTTGACACGCGTAAAAATGTGCTATAGAATGCGTAACAACTCGATCTTCAAGTCTAATGAAATTTTGGTGGGCTTGGTTGGCCACACTTTGCTTTTCATCATTAACTGGCACTAATATTTAGATCAGGCGGCACAGCGCTTAACTTTGGCCTATTCCCCACAGATAGATAGACGTGTGCTTTTCAATCACCACTCTCTGGAGTGCAGACTCGCGATCTGCCCCCTCCGAATGTATGCACACCAAAGGGGAAATATATCCCTGCTTAATTATCCGTATTCGATCGGATAAACTTGTTTGTCAACTAACGGGTATTTATGTACCGACGTGAAAAGGAAGCTCAACTGCCAACATAATGTGTTTGATGACGAGATCCACTAATTTGATTGGTTGTTTTATCGGGTTGGGGAAAAGTTGATTGAAACAAAACAGTTCTCTCTGCACTTCCATCGGCTGTCATCATCATTATTGCTCCCCACAGAAAGTCCAGATATCTTTTTTTTTTCAATCGCGTATCCCGTGCAGGCCCCAACAAGTTTCACCAATTTCACCAATTGTAATTCGGGACGCATTAGCCCCGTCACATCCAAGAGTCTCATCGTCCACTTCAGCAAGGTCGGGGAGCCTGGTCATTCTGGTCCTTCGCTTGAACCTGCAGAATCCTGGCATTGCTCTCCGCATTTGCGACGGTTACAGAGAAAATTTATAATGAGCATGCAAACGACAAGCTTTTTAGTCATTTCTTAATAGTATGTGGAGAGACCGACTCTCGCGGGAACGGTCAGCCTGCTGCTCGGTACGGAGCACAATAGCACAACCATCAAAACATTGACAAGAGCGAAAATTAGTCATTTCAGTGGCTCATATTTCTCATTCTACCACCTTTGATCCTCTGTTTACGAACCAAAAATTTTCGCTATAACCTATGAGAAACTATAACGACAGCCCAAAAAGCAACCGCCATCATTACCCGGACGAGGAATCACCAACGAATGTGTCATCCAAACTTTCCGCCCCCACCGTTTACCATCATTTGTACTGGAAAATTCACGCCACCATCCAACATGATCTTCGAGAGAAAAACGATCAAACTTGACATCCAGTAATTCATGATGGCTAACACTGTCCTTCCTCTTCTTGAAAGCTTCAGCTCTCGAACCCATATGCATTTTTCTTCAACCCAAGGCCCATTCGCAGAATGCTAGAACCACACTCTTAAATACAGAGTGCATGGCCAATCTTAGCATAATTGCAGGTTCCTTTCCACTGCAAGCCACATCCTCCAATGCTATCCACACCTATCACGCGATTAGCAATATCAGGCCTTGGCGATTTATAACTTCATCATTCTGAAGCCAAACAATCCGTCTTTTTGACATGCACTCCTACCCCTACGATTCGACTTGACTTGGCAAAGATACTAAAAACAAGGAATGGAAATCCGTCAACCTACTAATGTCATCCTAACACTCACAGTCGAAAAGCACTGTTATATAAATGAATGTGCGGCGGATCCAACCAATCCCAAAGTGGAGGAATGCTCCAAAATTGTTCTGCCCAAAGGAAGACGCGTGCAACCATTCCCTGTGCAGAAAAAGTGAAACCAGATCACAATTGTTTCTGACCTTCCATTGTTCCTTTTAGCTTCCCATTTTTTGGCGGCTGACCCAGGTAGCTTGGGAGAAACCACCCACTACAACCATCAGGGACTACAGATTTGTATACTAGGAGAGGATTACATTTCTAAATGTAAAAGCCTGAATTTGCGTGTGATTTTGACTATTTTCCGTTTTCTCTTCGTCTCCAAGCCTTTACGTTGTGTTTTCGAGAAGTGCAGTGCAGTTGATTCCTGACTCGATAAGGTTAATCGGATGGTACCATATGCGAAGCTAGCCATAATAATCAGAGAAACGAACAGCCAGAGACATACCATGAGTCAAATAACTTAACCGACTTGAATGGATATTAGTTCACCTACGCAGTAAACTGGAGGTGAGATAAATGCTTGTCTTCTCAGTGACTATTCATGCAAGGGGCCAGGTCGCAATACGATAGTGTCCAGGTACTTAATCTCCTTGTTAATTTATACCTTTCAAGGATCAGCGCCCTCAGCGGGCATTCTAACTGCACCCGGCAAACAGGGAGGGGTCATGATTCTGATTTGCTCATCACACACTAACAACAAACACATCTCACTCATATCATTCAACGCTAAGCGGCCTACCCCCCACCAAAGGCATTGTTCCCGCTGTCGATCACCCTAGTCTGGGCTTTGACCTCAGAAGCCAATAATTGTTTCAACAGAACATTCGCCACAGGGATCAACCGGCCCCATATACTCACGGATCACGAATCAGGCAGTTCCGTCATGGTGCGGAATTGCGAACTGATTTCCCACGATTACGTTGTTCAAGTTTGCAGTTTCCCCCTCCTTTCCTCACGCTACAGGGGCCTCCCTGGCAGTTTTCGAGGTTAAGCACTGCATACATAGCCAAGGAATCTTAAACGGGTGATGGGGAAAGAGGTGATCAGAAGAGACGGGGCTTTCTGATCCAGAAGTCAGCGGGGGGAACAGCAGTCCGCGAGATTAGTTTCACTTTCGTATTCACCCAGGTGGGGTCTGGTTGAGAAATCGCAGAACAAAGGGGGGGAAACAGATGCCCCTCATTTATGATGGACCACGCAAGGCTGTGGAGCAGAAGGAAACGTTGGCTCCAAGTAAGCCCATTTGTTGATATTGTTGTTACATGAGGCAAGTGAGCAACTATAATAGGAAGTTATCAAGGTTTCCAGTCAGAGTACCGTCTGGTATGTTGACTTGTTGAGTTGAGAGAGCTGAATCTATGTTAAAAGGAGCTATTAAACTCCTGAAGATCACCCGCTCGGGCACGCCATTAGACTACTGCTGAGATAATGTATGCACTGTGCATATACCTATACACGCTTAATTCCTCTCATAACTTAGGGAAGATCTGGACCTTTCAAAATACCCGGGGAGCACTGGAGGCATGCCAAATCGACTAAAATTTTTCATGCTCAACCGCCAATGGACGCATCAATGATGTCCCAATGCCAAAGCTTACGACTTCATGGATTCTCCTCCAAAGTGCAAAATGAAGAAGCCGGGCTGCGAGGTCCCACTCTGCCACCTCCTCGTGGAGCAGCCTGATAGCATCATCAAAGGTGATGGTTAGTAGCGCCACCACTGCGGGCATTTGTGAGTCCCAAGAAGTGGTGAAATATGTTGGAGAGATTGGATTGGGCCTCTATACCACCAGGGCGCTAGTGGCAAGCGGAGCATCGCACGTGATGAACCCTAAATAGTTAGCCAGCTCCAACCACAACAAGACATCTCACAGGTTATGGCCTGGCAGATCTTCAAGCAAAACAAAATGTTTTAATTGAGATACACTGAAAAACCACGTTCAACTGTAACCCGACCCGAGACCGACTTTTTGCTCCAGATCTTGATTAGTAATCAATCTTCAATTTAATTTTTAGTTGTCTGAATCTCGTGCTATCTCTCGTAAACAAACACCTTAGCCAGAGCAGTGACTTGACCTTCTAGCGAACAATGGCAGCAGACTTGAAGCACCAAAAGATCCTTACCATTGAGAAGCCCGATGCTATGCAAATGAACCGGGACCTGATGCAAGCTTTCCACGAAGCGCTCGAAAAGGACCCCGCCGCAGACCTCCTATCAGTCGTTGGAACTACATATATACGTGCCCATCGAAGGGCCCAATATCAGGAACTCTCTGAGGCTGGCCGCTACAACCTCCGGACCATAAACAGCCTCTATGATGAGGTCATTGCTCACCCCGAAATTGACTTGCACGATCGTTTCCCCTCAGATTATCCTCGCAGATACAGATGGGCGATGCCGAGGAAACATGAAAACGAAACGGCTCCGCAGCAGCCAGAGAAACCTCGCGACTGGGTCCGGGAAAAGCTTGATTCTATTGACACCGCCAATATCCTTTACCCACTCTCCGACCAGGCTTTGACCCTTCTCCGAAAGTACTCGGAGATAAACAGCAATTCTTATGAAGCTTCTCTTGCAGCATCATTGAAAGCACTGATTTTGCATTCTGAGAGGCTCTTTGAACTCAGAATTAGAGGGGTTGTGGTCAAGTGCAGCGACGAAATTGCGATCAAAGTTTTCCCTGACAGCAGAGACCTCACTGAATATCACAATCTCCAATATCTTGCTGAGCATGCTGGCGATCTTCCGATCCCCAAGCCCCATGGTCTGGTTATGCTTGGGAATCTCCGCGCTATGTTCATGTCATATATCCCGGGAGTCACTCTTGACAAGGTGTGGCTGAGTTTATCTCATGAAGCAAAATTATCTCTACAGAAGGAACTGGACCTGATATTTTCTCAACTCAGAAGTTTTCGGCAAGATGATGGACCTGAGCTTGGAGGCGTAGGTGGGGAAGGAGTCAAGGATTATCGCATCATGGAAATTTCTGCATACAAAGGCATAACTACTGCAAAGGGCTTTGATGAGCTGCAATTTTCTGCCAAGAATCGTGCCAGTCCCTGCTACATCAAGTTGCTTCGCTCCTTTCTGGAGGAGCAAAACAAAACTCTACAAGGATCAGTGTTTACACATGGTGATCTGAAGAAATCAAACATCATGGTAAAGCAAGATCAAAACGCTAATACTTATGCTGTGACGGGGATTATTGATTGGGAGGATAGCGGTTTCTACCCTGAATATTATGAATGCACTACGTTGTCAAACGGACAGAGTATTGTGACGGATGATGATTGGTATCTTTATGTACCAGATTGCATTTCACCCCTACGGTTTCCCGTCCGTTGGCTGGTTGACCGTCTTTGGGGAAACCTTTTATGGAGTTGGAGGACAGATATAGTTAGATGAATTTGTGGGAGCATCTTTAAACGATCTTACAAAGCTACCGAGGGACCTTCATCACCCCCAAATCCACAACAACTGACAAAATCCGCCGACTTATCCTTCTACTGCCATGATTCGCGTTTTGCTTTTATGGCGTCCTTGTTGCTCTTGTATTCGAGGTTATTTGCGTCAACAATATCTTCATCTTCCAATCTCTCTAAAACGTCGAGGACGAAATCCTGGCAACTGTAGTCGGACTCCTCGTTGCGGATGGGGGTATTCCATGCGATATTTTTGACAGTATCGATCTTGGTCGCGTCGATTTCACACAGGGTACAGAGTTTGATTAGGGAATTCGAAATACGTGCGTCCGATGGCGTTCTCACCTCACGGAAATAACGCTGACGAGCACCAAGGAGGTGGATGATGGTCTTAGAAGCCTTGTCTTCTGCATCGATGAATAGACTCCAATGCTTGATGCCTGGGTTGTCGTAGATGGCAATCATGAGGGGAATGGCGGAAGCCATGTTGATCTCCGACCTTAGGCGAGGGAGGGTATTGGGACTGATTTGTGGTGAAAGACAAGGAAAATTTTTTGGGGGGAAGGGTTTTCTTTTGGTCAAGATTCGTCTTAAGGTTTACAAAAGCAGAAGAAAGAGAACTCAACCAGGTGCGGAGGAGAAACTTGTACTATGGGAGTTTCATGTCTTTTTGTTTCCTAACTGATAATACGCGCCCTGCGAAGCCACTTCTGGTTGGCTACAGCACTCGCTGGAGAGTCTCAACATTGGTACTAAAGCTGAAAGGCAAGGTTTTTGGGCAGGGTTTGCATTTTTGCTATGCTGCTTGGAAAGCGTCTGGAGCTACCAATGAAATCTTGACTACATCAGATTGTGGTCCCCAGGTTCAGGTTTCCTTTCATCTTTTAGTGGAGAATAACCCTCTAAATAACCGCCGAACTATGGACTGCAATTCGCGAGCGTCCAGAGCAAGCACCAGGGAATACCAAGGCAGGGGTGTTGTCATCTAGAAAGACTATTTGCCAACCGCCAATACCCTCACTCGGTCACGAAACCCGAACGGAGATGTGACTACGCCCAAGGCCGTGGACCCAGCTAATCTTGCACTGGTGATGATAATAACTCAAGCCCGTATTACCTTGGAGTACTGGTTTCCTGAAGTCTCCATCTCACCAAGCAGCCTGTCCCGACAATGCACACGGGCAGAGCCTTTCGCATTATCCTTTACCGATCCTTTTTTTACCACCTGGGGATGCTGTCTGACCAACGCATGCCTTCCAGTTCTAATGTCATGGCAATAGACGGTTATTTACATATGGGGGGTAGCGATTGTATTATTTAGCCCAACTTTCGGCCCAACCTACATGAGAAGAAGTTGGTGAGCAGATTCTCTGCTTTCGTCCGCTTTTCACTGTCACCTCCACTATAACTAGAGTGGAATATCATACTTCATATCTCAGGACATGCTCTATTCTAAGCCTGACCACTACAAGCGCTATTGGCACTACAAGCGCTATTAGGTTAGTTTTCAAATACTCCGTACGACCTTCGATGTTAATTGCTACCGTTCCCATTGGCTAGGTGCGGAAGCCCTATCATTGAACAACGTGTCAGTCATTTCACGATCAGTTCATGCAGCGTGGTAGAGGACGTTCTTCCTCGAATAGCCCAAGGGATATGCCCACTGAAATTCTTGTTCATAGCGTATTACCACTCCTGTCAAAGTGACGGCAAAAATAGCCTACGTTGCTCTGGGCAGCAGTCTGTGCAAATATGGAAATCTATCACAAGATATTTGCAGTTAATAAATGAAAATAATTTTTTTTTCTTTAAAAAATATTGATTAAATACTCGGAGGGTCTGAGATAACAATGAAAACTCCGTTGAATCGATTTCTCAATTGATTTTATCTTTTATTTATTCTTTTGTTGACCTTTTTCAGCCTTTCTATCTACGTATGTATGTATGTGTGTTTTTCTGTTTTTGGTTTCTGATGGAGGTGGAGGGTTGGTTAATTGTATCCACCTGCCAATGTAGGCGTGGGAATCGTGGTATGAGTGGGCATATTTCGTTGATCATTTGTCTGTTTGAATAATCTATATCTATATATTTTGAAAGTGGCTGATTTGTGATGACTTGATTTGCTATTGTATGTATTAGAGTGTTGAATTGACTTCATATATTAGATGTTCCGGATAAGAAAAATTCCTTAGCTATCTCAGGTAACTAGATGTCAAATTCCTCGACTGCATAAATCTAAAATGAAGAAGAAGAAGATGATGATGATACCATGCAATTCTTGGTAAATGAACTACAAGGTATTATTCAGTTAGCTGTAATCGAGCTTCGGGGGATTTGAATGACAAGGAAAGCAATGAAGCAACTATCGTTGTCTCAGGGTTAGTAGTACCTAATAGCAGCCGCAGCTTCTCTTTCCTTTGGACTCATCCATCAGTGAATTGTTCTCATAGCAGATTTATATAGGATATTTTGAATTGTGCTCCATTCTTTCCTTGGCTGAACTTTCAGGATAATGAAATTCTTCTTGAGCTGCTCATAAAAGACGTCCTACCCTATCTTTTGCGCTAATCCGGGACGAGGAACATCCCGTATCTATAATCACAAGCACATACAATCGGAGTTAACATTTGACCAATATACAGAAAGTAAATATAGCCTTTATTATGTCTATCTAGTCCGTCTCAAACGACGAGGAATTCTCAAATAATGCTTCGATTGGGAAGTTGGAAGGCAGTACTTCACATGAAATAGGTTCTTGACGAGACATAATAACTGTCCCTGTTCGGAGCACATTCCCACCTGATCATTCCAACACACTACGGCATGGCCTTGCCACAAAACCATCCGAATCCTCCAGAGATGTCCGCGCATGCAAGGAAAATAACACAGCGCTAACAATGTGGGAATGTAGTACTGTTCCAGATCCTTGATGCCAACCCTTCCACAAACGAAGGAGATTGACAATCCGAAACGCTGCCACCATACCATTAGTAGCTTGAATCTGACGACTGACGAAACGTGCGTCGGTATTGCTCTGAAGGGGAAGTAGCACCAGCCGCGGATCCAGAGCTCATGATGAGTGCGGGTAATGCGGCTGCAGACAGGACTGCTGTAGCCGCCACCGTCGAAGGGGTTGGAATTGTGGCTGAGACCTGCGCGTTGGAGGGACGACGTGACCGAGCGGGGCTTTGCGTCCTACTAGCGCTTGCCCATTCTGACATGTTCGAATAAGGTGTTTCGTTCGGCAAAATTGGTTCAGGGAGCCGAAAATTCTGAGGCAGTTCAATGTCCAACTGGTCCTCCTCTGGCTCTAAACCAAGAGTAAAAGGACTGCTATTGCTGGTTTTCTGGGACGTGGATATCATTGACAACTTCTGCTTCTGCGGTCGGATGCCGAGTCCTTCTGTGGGTATTCGTGAATAGGTGATATCGAAGCCAAAATTCTCATGCGACGCTGAACTTCGCGATTTGCGGAGTTTATGAGCAGGACGCCGAATCGCCTGTGAGACCTCACCAGCCTTTGCATCGAATGAACAGCTCCTTTGAGCGCGAATTCTTCGTTGATGAAGCGCGGACTGATCTGGGGTCCGTGCAATGACTGTGCGTACCAGAGGATCGACACGGTCGACACGGAAAATAACTCTAGCTCGCATGGTTTGGACAGCAGAGTCTAGGGCGAGTTCAACTGCACAATGATTCCTTATCCTTCCTAGTTTGGGCCAAGTCGCTCGTTCACCAGAGAGGCAAGCTTGTACCATAAATTCCGAAGTAGGGTTTCTTAGGATATTTGGGAAAACGTCATAGGGAATCTGAGGAAGGATATTGATGTCCCCGTGATATCTTTGGCTCATAATGGATCTGAGCTTCCTTAGGATATTAGGAAATACCCCGATTTCAGAAAGAATATGCATTCGATGCAATGCCTCCTCTCTTGCTACCCCGGTCAGATATTGCATCCAGCTGGACTCCAGCTGCTTTTCCACGACACCGCTGAAAAAGAAGGTCTCTTCGTGTGGAATGAAAGGGACAACGTGTGGATTAACCTGAGAAACTATGAAATGGTTGACATTGAACATTTCTGATAAACGTGTCATTGGCAAATCATGGTCAACTGAGCCGTCGATCCATCGATGAGGGGCATCGTGCCACTCCGTCACATCTCCAGTGATCGGATCCTTCGCCATTAAGGATGACGACGAAAAGATTAGCGGAACGGAACAAGACGTGGCCCTGCTAGAAGTTAGTTTATATGGTAACCGTAGACACAAATATACACCTACACTGCAGACCAAATCAGAACATTCGGGGCGGTGATATAGTTTAGCAATCTTGGCAACTCGTAAATACCAGCATTAGAGACCCCAATGTTTAAAATCCTTCTTGTTCTATTGTAAGCCTCCTGGAATGTCACGTCACCCAACAAGTCCCTCATCACTCGGGTCAAGTGCGCGATGTCATAAAATGAGCCGTGCTTAATAAACCTCATCAGCCGTTGAAATACTTGCAACCTATCATCATCGTCACTGAACACGGAAAAATCGCCATATCCAACATTTGCAAGGATCTCAGGCATTTCCTCATCTGTATAGACGCACAGAACCGCACCAACAATACTACCCGCCGAGGAACCAGAGATAATGCGTGGCAACAATCGTGTCTCCCAAAGTGCTTTCGCAACACCGATATGATTCATGCCAAAGGTGGCGCCTCCTGAAAGTAGAAGTGCACTTCGACCAAAGGCTTGACGAGCCGCGAGGAGTTGTTCCAACAAGTATCTCGACTCGGAGCCATCGAAATCATACTTTCGCGACACATCCAATAAAGTTGATAGCGTTTCAGCAGCGGTCGTGATATACTGATCTATCAGATTCTTCGTCCCGATCCGTGAATGCTTATATATATTCTTATTTGTCATCCCTCCAAGATCGCGACTGAGAGAGGTACGGATAATATGGATCATAGCTGCTGCGTCACAGCTACGCTGGGCCTTCTCGAGCTGAGATAGCCTCCGTTGAACAAGCATCGGGTCATATTCGTCACATTCAAAAGTCGCCTTCCAGTCATTGTTACCATCTAGTTCATCAAGCTCCCCCGCAATCTCCAACCAATCGTGGAGTGTAGTAGCCTGCACCCAAAAAAGTCAGAGGGAAAGCCCCAGAATTGGCAGAGAGGTTAGAGTAATGCTTACATCGCGAAGTCTCAGGGAAAGTACGTGTTTTCTCTCTTTGATTCTCAACTCCTCCGCCTTCGCAGGCTTAGCCCTGAGATTCAATATGGCACCTCCAGCTCGCGACACGGAGGACAAGACGAAGGAAAACAGTGAGTTGGCAGTGAGTTTCCGCAGGCAGGAAAGGTCCTGTCCCGGTCGAGGGTTTGTCGTTAGGGAGATTGGCAATCGGTTTTGCCGCTGGCATGAGATTGAAACAAGCGCTTGATCTCTTAAGTGCGGCATGACAGCGCGAGTTATTATCCAAAAAACGACCTGGGGTTCAATGCATATGTTCAAACAGGGCAACGCGAACCGCTCAGCGAACCCATCCGGCGACGAAAAGGAGAGTATTTAGTTTTGGCAAATCATGCTTAGGTAGTCGGAATAAAGATATCAGGAATTGAGGCCATCGTCTGCTGACGAGAACTTGTCGCATTTCTGTATCTGGTGGTTATGTCACGCGGCAAAATTTCCTTCCTCTAGGGCTAGTGCGGCCAGCCTATAAGACTTCATAGATCTCGCTCGAAGTCTTGGAAGTAGTTCGGGGTACCTTCCTACCGAAAGAGGTGTGGGGATGTTGGAAGTTGGTACATGGGAGTACTTGAGCAACAAATCGCCACATGTTTAGTCAACATCTCTGATGTCCATCCTTGCTCCTGCAGCTCCTGCACTCAAGTATGGTAGATGGGGAAAGAGAAAGAGGAACGATTTCCAGAACATGGAATACATCTAGATAGAGGACATCGGAATGGCCAGGCGAATTTCATCGTCAAGGGTGGTTTGTGCTGGGTAAGGCAGTTGAGGCCATCTTCTTGCAGTTCATTTTAACCATTTTCATGGATCTTCATTGCCAAACACCTCGAGATTTAGGCTATCTTTAGTTAAACTGTAGTGGTTTGTTCATGTGCCACAGACAATAACCCCCTTAGAACCCAGCTGTAACTCTTGTTAAGACATGGAATGGAAATACTTAATGCCAGTTACAATATTACAACTTAAATTCTTAGTGCTAATCAAAACTTTTTGAGAGGATCCCTTATCACTATAAATGGGGCGGCGTCTCATTAACGCAATCACCACGACTACTGCTACAAGCCCACACCCTTACTGCGGTTCTCATTTGAGCCTCAGTCCCTTCCTCAAGCCAGAAGTGACCTGCCCTGTCAATCTCCACGAACTCAAACATCGAGCCTAGAATCTTCCTAAGATCTAGAGCCCATTTCCGTAACCTCTTCGCTGATGCGAACAAATCATTGTTGCCGAATACAGCCAGAGTTCGGTGCGTCGTAAGTTGCTCCTCCGGTGGGATCGACTTGACCAGCATGCCTTCGAGAGTGACGCCGAGATTGATTTGAGAATCGAAGAGAGAAAGTGTCATGAAGTTCGTGATAGGAGGGATGACCGGGGAGACCAGCAGAAACGAAACAGTTGGTGTTAGCATGTTTCGTGCAATCTCTTTAACTCCGCTGGCGACATTAGCACTAGCGTCCGTTACTTGGTCTTCCAATCCATGGCCACGTAGAAATCTGGCTCTCAATCTCTTTCGAGACAGTTTAATACTCTGTCTGATGGCCGCGGCCCTCTCCATACTTGACTTCTTCCCACTGAAGCCTGTGCTGCTGCCCATGGAAACACACCTGGACAACTTTCCATCACCATCACTAGTACTAGTACTTTTTAGAGTCGGTGTTTGTGATGACAGTTCTGACCTTGCCTCAAGATTCCAAAGCGTAGATAAGTCTTCGGCCTGTTGTAAAATTTCCGCACTGGAAGAACCCGCCACAGGCGCGGCGAACAGGCGTAAAACAACCTCTATGGATGGCAGATGAGATACGATCATAGAGCCGTAAGAGTAACCAGCCAAAACGATCTCCATCCTTTCAGATTCATCCGTAGACTCCGGACTATCAACTACAGGAGAAGGCCGTTGATTCCACGATTCAGCCAATGAATCCCGTAAGGAATCGGGATCGATTCCGATAAGGTAGTGGATTAGAAACCCATAGACGGAGACATAATCGCCCAATTCTGGCCGAGCTGACCAGCTCGTCCGTCCGGCAGATTCGGAAGCGCCTCTGTATTTGCATATATATATATATATATTTATATAATCAACCCACGGACTCATCCAGACCGTATCCTAGAAAAGAGAAGTATATGTATACGAAGAGGGATGTAACACTTGCAGACCTACCTAAAATTAAATGTTACCACGATATATCCCACCTTCAACAGCTCGCTTGCGATACCGCAAACAATGGGGTTATCATAATTACCCCCAATAGGGGCATATGGATGTGCCACGATGGCGCCCTTGCTTCTCCACGACAAACCGCTCTCGAGTCGTGAGAGGTGATGGGGGTGAAAGAGACGACAGTCAAGCCGGATGCCATCGTAGACAGACGGTATTGTGAAGCTTCGTAACGGCTGCGGCTGGGATTGCGGCAAGGGATCCATGGTTTTCAGAATCTCGCGCAGGATTATCTTGATGGATGACCCAGCAGCAAGCCCTGATGCTGGAGTTTGTGTCAGTCACAAATCTGAACTCCGGACATTGTAGTGCTTATTTGGGCTAGAAGTCGTGAAAATGTTGCCGGCTGGATGGACAAGAAATATCAAGTCATTCAAGAAAGAATGACAAAACAGCAAATGTTTGAGTTGGGATACAGTGGCGGTGCCATACAAATAACAGATGAGACTAGCAAAGGTGGCGCAAAGGCAATATGAGGATCAACAAAGTGCACAATTAGAGTTGTCGGATTTATATAAATACTCAAATTCTACAAGATTGAGAGAGTGATATGTTGTGAAGTTGAACCAGATCTATATCATGAGATTACATCTTGGATTTCCCTTTGAAAGGTTGTTCAAAAATCAGACAAAAAAATTTGACAATACCCAAAAACGATTAGACCATCCAATATCGTGCTATCTACCATATATATGAAAAAGATAGAGAGAAAAGAGGGCTATTGAGAATTGTTACACTGCTCAAAATCTCTATTAGGAAAGTAGCCAAGCTGGGTCAGGCTCATCGTCTTCTTCGGATCTGCTTGATTGTATTAGAGAATGTGGTGATTGTGTTGCGGTTTTCTCTTTTGAAGGTGAAAATGGCTCCTTTGGCTCCTGTATTTCCCCACTCGCCGCTACTGATGTGTTTTCTGGAGAATGCAGGCTAAGTTCTACGCTTTCCTTTGATAAACCATGGTTTTTATCCCTAGTCTTGTTAAACGCCGAGAAGGATTCCAGCAGCAACGGCTTCGCTTCCCGGAAAGCTTCAAGTTCCGCGCCAATGCAGCATATGAGCAAATTCCAACTTCTCTGCTCCGCTAGCTGTAAGCTCGTTTCCAGTTGTGAGGTCGTGTCGTCCAGTTCATCCAGAACAGTTCGCCTCTTGGCTATATTTGATTCCTCGTCTCTGGATTCTCGAAATTGCGATCCCTGCTGCAGGCTCCGCATTTCTCGCTGTAATAATTTCTCAAAGCTGGATATATCAGATACCACTTTCTGCCAGACCCCGCCTCCTTCCCTTAAAGCCTCGATCTCAAGGTCTGCTTTCCGTCGTTTACTCCTTAGCTCATTCTGCTCCATTATCCACTGCTCTTTCGCCATTTCAAGAGTCCTGCGATCGGGATTTAGAGCGTAAAACGGCGGGGGAGTAGCAGTGGGAGGCACAAGCGGTCGTATCGGAGGGGATCGTAGATAGTTATTCACATCCGTTTGGACTAATGCCAACGAGGCCTTGTACGACGATAATTGGGCGTCTACGGAGTTTTGAATTTGGGAGACTTCGTTGAGGACATGACGATGCCGCACTTTCATTTGCAGTAACTTTGACTCCAGGTCTCGAATATCCGTTTCCAGCGTGCGAGCCTCCCTTATCAAAATTTCTGCTCTCAGTGATCCATCATTCGTTTGGATTTCCGCTATAGCATTTTCAAGGCCACTCTGCTTATTCACGAAGGTTTCCACTTCCTTCACTGCTAGTCTCCTATTCTTCAGCTCGGAGTCAATGAGTCGTCGCTCTTCTTCCTTTAGACTTAGTAATGCATGCATGGCTTTTAGAATCCCACGTCTTGCACCTCGGAGACCGATTTTCTTTTGCACGGGCTGGCGTACGGGTATGGTGATAGTATTCCGCGGGTTGCTACCGAGTTGGGTAGGCGTAGGAGTCGGAGTCAGACTGCCATTTGACGTGGTATCGTCTCCCGTGGGTCTGGAGAGACCAGCAGCTAATCCGGTGCTTTGAGCATCTAGAAGTGTCTGGAGATCGCGCTGGAGCTGTCTTGATTGGCGTTCTATGTGCATGAAGGAATCATAGTGATGAACGGCGACATCTGGGGGAAGAGGTACAAGCCGTTCCTGGCCGCTGTCGTATGGTAGGAGTATCGACATCACCATTGCAACGCCGTAGAGCTAGAATCTGGCACAGGAATAGAACCGGAAGAGCGGGAATTAGGGATATGAATTGTTTATTCCGGTGTCAACAAAACTTGAACTGAACAGTTAGATTGCGAGTTGGCATAACTATGCAAGAAACAAAAAGCATACTTTGTCTGCGGGCTTGTTATCTCATCCTTTGTCTTTTCTCATCACGCTGCCTTTTTATTACCCACCTGACAGCCACCTATCATTCTCAGGCTCTCTATGGCTTCGGATGTCCACGAGTCCTTGTCTGTCTAGAGCTCGTATCTACTTACGGCTAGTCTGCATCTCTGGGTAAGGCAACCAGCTTATCCACGTGAGTCTTCAGCTAGTTACAGGAACCACGACATCCTAGGCCGGATTGGTCAGCTTTGGTTCAAGACGCTGGCGACAACAAAAGCAATATCACCAACATCCACCTCTCCAACACCACATTCTACACTCTTCTCCTGCCCAGGCCCTTGTTGCTAGACTTCACATTTCGTTCCTGGCTTGTATTCTATTCTTCCGTTAACTCTGGGTTGTCTCTCGCTTGACCTGACCCCTGCTTATATTGGGCTCCCTTCGCAAGCCTCCTTCAACATATCCCATTCTTCAACCGGGCGCCCTGTCGTTGACAAATACTTGAACGGAGCTTCTCTGGACACTATGGTCGGGCTTGTTTCCGCTGACGGCTTGGTCGGCTTTCTCTCTGAACCCGATCCTGAGCTGAAGATTTTTGCACTCAAAGCTTTGGATGCACAAGTCGACCTACTCTGGACTGAAATTGCCGATTCGATTGACCGAATGTGAGTACAACACTGCGTAACTCGCCGTATGTCCTGCTTTGAGGCATGGCTTTGTGACCCTAAATGGATTTTGGTTGTAGAGATATGCTAACGATGATGAATCTTACAAGAGAGGCGCTCTACGAAGATGAGTCTTTCCCAGAACGTGAGCTGGCAGCTTTGCTTGCCTCCAAAGTATATTACCACCTTCAGGAATACAACGAGAGCATGGTGTTCGCACTCGGTGCCGGCAAACTATTAAATTTGGATCACGGTGGCGAGTTTGAAGAGACGATTATATGTAGGTCGTCTTTTTCACCCTATATTTTCTGCGTTTGACAATAGTTGTGTGCTAACGATCACTCCTATAGCGAAATGTATCGACACATTTATTTCGATATCTGCCAGCCCGAAAACTCAGAATGCCGCCCAAACTGCCAACAAGGCTCCTCGCCTGAATACATCATTTCCCCTCACTACAAATGGAGCGACGAGCACTTCCGCAGGTCTTACCTCGCCTATCACTCCGTTTTCTCAGTCTGCCCTGCCATCTAAATCCCTCCTTTCAAGGCAGGACTCAATTTCATTGGAAACCGGTGGCGAAGATACCGGTGCGTATCCCAGTGAACTCACGCTTGTTGTCCAGCGCGGTGTTCAGAAACAGCTTCAAGCTGTCATTGAAAGGTTATTCGAGCAGTGTTTCCGCGAGAAAAGATACCGCCAAGTCGTTGGAATTGCCGTTGAAGCAAAGAATCTTGACGTCCTTCGTGCTGCTATCTTGCGCGCAAGTGAGGATGAGAAGAAAACCGAGGAGTCATCTCGAAGTGGCGAAGAGCTCATGGAATATGTTTTGGACATATGTATGAGCGTTGTACAGGAAAGGGCCTTCCGAAATGAAGTACGTTGGCACGCTATGGAAAAAGGTCGAGAAAACATCTCCACTAACGCAAAAATTTTCCCAGATCCTCAAATTGATTCTTGAGCTGTTAAACGGAATACCTTCTCCGGATTACTTTTCTATCGCGAAATGCGTTGTCTATCTTAATGAGCATTCAATGGCATCAGAGATACTGCGTCAACTCGTTGAGAAAGGAGATCCGCGTTCTCTTTCAGTGGCCTATCAGATTTCCTTCGACCTGTACGACAACAGCACTCAAGAATTCTTGAGAAAAGTCCGACAAGAAATCAGCCAACTCATTCCTGCTTCAAATGAGAGTGAATCTCAAGATACGGAAGACGACGGCAGCGCAGCCAAGGAGACCGATTCTCTACTTCAGAACCAGGAGGGTACAGTCAATTCATCAAATAGTCGGAGATTAGGCAGCAGAGAGGGAAAGTATAAGCTGTCTGAGGATGCGCAGGCGGCGTTGAAATCTATCGGCGATATCATCGATGGGGTCAATTCCATCCAACTGAATTTGGAATTCCTGTACCGAAATAACAAAGCTGACATTGCTGTGCTCAACAAGATAAAAGACAGTTTGGAGGCCCGCAACTCGATATTCCACAATGCCGTCACACTATGCAATGCATTCATGCATGCAGGAACGACACACGATAAGTTCTTCCGTGATAACCTTGAATGGCTCGGAAAGGCCGTTAACTGGTCTAAGTTCACGGCCACAGCGGCTCTGGGTGTGATCCATCGCGGAAACCTCACCCAGGGACAGAAACTCTTGGCACCATACCTCCCCAAAGACAATATTGCTGGAGTTGGAGGTTCTGGATCAGTCTACAGCCAAGGTGGTTCATTGTACGCCTTTGGCTTAATATATGCTAATCACGAAGGCTGGGCCGTTGACTTGATTCGGGAACATTTTACTAAGGCAACGGAAGAAGTAGTCCAGCATGGGGGTGCACTGGGTCTTGGCGTTGCGGGAATGGCTACCGGCGATGAGGGCATATATAATGATCTTAAAGCTGTCTTGGAAACCGACTCTGCTCTTAACGGGGAAGCTGTGGGTCTTGCGATGGGACTGGTTATGCTTGGAACTGGCAATATGAAGGCGCTAGAGGACATGATCCGTTATGCCCACGATACTCAACATGAAAAGATTATCCGCGGGGTTGCCATGGGAATGGCTCTTATCATGTATGGGCGACAAGAGGCTGCTGATGAATTGATCAACGGTCTCTTGGGTGATCCCGATCCTACATTACGATATGGTGGTATTATGGCTATTGCCCTTGCCTATTGCGGGACAGGTAGCAATAAGGCGGTCAGACGACTCCTACATGTTGCTGTCAGTGATGTTAGCGATGACGTACGGAGAGTAGCTGTGTTGAGTCTCGGATTCATTCTCTTCCGCAAGCACCAGAGTGTCCCCCGCATGGTGGAACTTCTTTCTGAATCTTACAACCCACACGTCCGTTACGGTGCGACTATGGCACTTGGAATATCTTGCGCTGGAACTGGATTGGACGAAGCAGTGGATCTCCTGGAGCCAATGTTAAAAGATCCAACAGACTTTGTGCGACAAGGCGCACTAATTGCTTTGGCGATGGTCCTTGTTCAACAAAACGAGACAATGAACCCTAAAGTCGGCATCATCCGCAAGACAATGCAGAAGATGATCACGGACAGACACGAGGATGCTATGGCCAAATTCGGCTGTGCACTTGCCCTCGGAATCATCGATGCAGGTGGGCGCAATTGCACTATCAGTCTACAAACACAGACCGGCAACCTTAATATGCCTGGAATTATTGGAATGGCCGTTTTCATACAATACTGGTACTGGTTCCCGCTTTCGCATTTCCTTTCTTTGAGTTTCACTCCTACCGCTGTCATTGGAGTCGACCAGAGGCTGGAGGTTCCTATCTTTAAGTTCCATAGCAATACTCGACCAAGCCTTTTTGATTACCCCCCCGAACAGCAGGTTAAGGCGGACGAAGCGCCCGAGAAAGTCAAAACCGCCGTTCTTTCAACCACCGCTCAAGCCATACGACGTGCGCAGCGGAGGGAAAAGCAGCAACGTCGGGAAAGCATGGATATCGACCAAACCCCTGCGACTCCCAAGGTATCGACACAACATCTCGATAAGATGGATGTCGATGAGACCGAAGTCAAGACCGAAGAGGAAGGGAACGATCGTGTGAAGGAGGAAACCCCAACGGAAGCGCCAAAGCGGAAAGCGGAGAAGGAGAAAGTGGGCTACGAGCTGGAGAATATGTCTCGAGTCCTCCCAGCACAACTGAAATTCTTGACCTTCCCTGACCCACGATATGAGCCCGTCAAGCGCGTAAGTTTTTCAAAATATGGCCCATAGCTTATTTTATTTGTTTGGTTTTGTTTCAATTAACAGATCTACTGACGCTCTGTGCCAATAACCTAGCCTACCGGTGGAGTCGTTGTCGTTCTGGATAAGACGCCGTCGGAACCACGTGAGATCATCGAGCTCCGGGCCAGCAGGGAGACAAAGCTGGCAGCAGCCGGAGAAACGATTCAAGATCGAATCAATGCTGCTATGAGCGCCTTGGAGCAGCCTGCTGTTGCCGGTACATTTGGTGGAGCGGCAGCGGCGGCTGGGGTTCTTACCGCAGTTGATGAGGATGAGGAGGGAGCCGAAGAAGCTCCGGTACCAAACGAGTTCGATTATTATTCTGATACTGTGGAGGATTAATTGGATTGCGTACGGTGAGAGTGGACCTCACCTCGCTCCTATGTAATAATAATCGTCTGTCTTGTTCTCGGAGTGGCTAGAACGGTCGAAGGGGAAAGAGCAAGAAGAGGTTGGGAGTCTCTTATCTCCCCCACATCCCCCCTGGATATTCTGATACAAACTTTACCTTAGTTTCCCCGCCTCTTTTTTGCTCCTTCTCTTGTCCCATTTCGTCGGTTTTCATTGGGGTTTGGAAGGTTTTTGATAGCCAATCAATCCCCCTTTGGACGTAGCATATCACATGTATTTCTATCTCGAGTTATTTTCAATACCTATCCATTTCTGCCCTCGTATCACATGTGGAATGCATTGAAATATATATTTACATATATATTTCTGCTGTAATAGAGTATCCACATACAGAATATAGAGTAGAGCTTTGTTATTTTTCAAGTTCATGAATTTGATTAGAACCCCTCACGCCTCCCCCACCAAAATAGGGGCGGAAACTCGTGAACGAAATCCGACGTATTCAACAAGCCCTTTCTCATATCCACTTCATACCCGGATCTAAATTTTCCTTGGCTATCGATGCTCCATACGAAACTTCATATTCTCGTCTTGTCTAATATTACACATGGGCACCTTTTCCTGAGCCAGCACCTCGGCCTCCTTTAAACAATCCTTGAATGCTGTAAACGATGTCATGGGAGCTATGCGCGCCACGCTTGGGCAGGCCAGAAGAGTTTTTGGAGTGGCGCTTAAGTCCTAGTAAATGTTGCTAGCTAACTAACGCAGTAACTAGATGATTAAGATTGCGCATCCAACGAACATTACTGAACATTGCTGCGTCTCCTGCAGGTGGTGGGCACCTGGACGACGCATGTGACGCAGGACGGGGTACATGGCCTTTGCGGGGAAATGCGCTGACTAGGAGGTATCTGCCCGGACGCAGCTCCGATTGACATGTGAAACCCGGCGTTATGCATTATGGGGCCCGTCAGCAAGGAAAGGGAGAGAAACAGCCCTGGAGAGGATCAACGATTCGAAAACGGCACAGGCGAAGGAGAAAATGGCATGCGGCAGCCGACCAGTGCTATTATGGTTCCGAGCTAGAAAGGGCCAACCGGGCTTTTTTGTCTTTACGGATTGCATTATATAAGATTTCGCCTGCATTTTTTGTCTTCAGGACGAGTCACCTCGTGCCTATCATTCTCTAAGGGATTCATTTCTCTTAATGTTTCTGGGCCTTTCTCTATCGTTATACTTCATAATTTTCATGTACTATACTGCCATTTCAAATACGACATAGAGCATTGAGAATATGTCTGGAGTTTTCTCGGCGGACGCTGTGTCGTCTCACAACACGCCGGACAACCTCTGGATCATCATTGATGAGGATGTCTACGATCTTACCAAGTTCCAAGATGAACACCCCGGTGGGAAGAAGAGTATGTCATGATTTGCATTTGTCTTCATCTTTTCCCACCCGTGCCTTAGTTTAAATATGTATTGGTAGTTCTAGATTGTGCTGACGGGAATCATCTATTACATAGTCTTGCAGCGAGTCGCTGGGAAGAATGCCTCGAAACAGTTCTGGAAATATCACAACGCTGGTGTTTTGAAACAGTACGGTCCTCAACTTAAAGTTGGTTCCTTGGACTCGAAGAAAGCTGCACTTGCACCACCGCCACCTCCCCCATCACCGCCTGCCACACCTCCAGCAGGCATTCCTTCCAAATCTGAAACGGCCGTCGCACCCCGAGGCACTGCAGCCCCTACTGCTCTAGAGCCGTATGGCGATTTGGTGCCCTTTGGGGATCCCGCGTGGTACCAGGGTGTATGTATTTGCCTTTCTGGTTTTCAAAATTCTAACCCTTTCAATTGAAAAGACTTGACCTGCGAAGAGGCAACATTTTTTGGCTGATAATACTGTCCTTCCACCGACTTCTTTTCTCTTGAACAGTACAATTCCATGTACTATAATGCGACCCATGCGGCTCTCCGTAACGAGGTTCGAGAATGGGTGGAGGCCGAGATCGAGCCATATGTCCATGAATGGGACGAGGCGAAGGTCGTCCCCGAACATCTCTACAAGCAAATGGGGGAAAGGGGATATCTGGCGGGGTTGATGGGTGTGGCATATGACCCGGCACTGTCCAGGAATCATGTAAAATGTGTACCCCCAGAGAGCTGGGATTTCTTCCATGAATTGATCGTCACCGATGAGCTCTCCCGAGCCGCCAGCGGTGGTCTCGTCTGGAACCTGATTGGTGGTTTTGGCATCGGGTGCCCACCTGTTATCAAATACGGGAAGAAAGAATTGGTCAACCGCATCCTTCCTGGTATTTTAGCCGGCGACAAGCGTATCTGTCTAGCCATTACCGAACCGGATTGTGGAAGCGATGTTTCCAATATTTCTTGTGAAGCTAAGCTGACGCCGGATGGAAAGCATTATATCGTCAACGGTGAGAAGAAATGGATTACCAATGGCATTTGGTCGGATTACTTCACCACCGCTGTGCGGACTGGCGAACCTGGAATGAATGGTATTAGCGTTCTACTCATCGAGCGGTCCGCTGGTGGAGTTGGCACCCGCAAGATGGATTGCCAGGGCATGGCGACAAGCGGTACTACTTATGTCACTTTCGAAGATGTCAAGGTGCCTGTTGAGAACCTGATCGGCAAGGAAAACCAGGGCTTCAAAGGTAAGAGGAACCGAAAACCGCACCCCGCACAGAAGAATTTTCAATTTTTTATTCCAATTCTTCTGAACGTAATTCTAATCTGCCTCTACGCCTTTAGTAATAATGATGAACTTCAACCACGAACGCATGGGCATAATAATTCAATGCGTCCGCTTCTCGCGCGTCTGCTATGAAGAATCTGTCAAATATGCCCACAAGCGACAAACCTTCGGCAAGCGCTTGATCGACCACCCAGTGATCCGCATGAAGCTCGCGCACATGGCGCGACAGATCGAAGCATCGCATAACTGGCTTGAAAATCTCGTTTTCCAATGCCAGTCCATGGACGATACAGAGGCCGCCTTCCGCCTAGGGGGTGCGATTGCGGGCCTAAAGGCGCAATCAACCACTACCTTTGAGTTCTGCGCTCGCGAGGCCAGCCAGATTTTTGGTGGTTTGAGTTATACCCGTGGGGGTCAAGGGGGTAAAATTGAGCGGCTGTATCGGGATGTGCGCGCATATGCGATCCCTGGCGGGAGTGAGGAGATTATGTTGGACCTTAGTATGAGGCAGAGTTTGAAGGTTCATCAGTTCTTTGGCATGAGTCTTTAGGTTGTTCGATGTAATATATTTTTTTTCTGATTTTATTTTTCATTTTGCCTTATTTTTGGGTATTTCGTTATCCGATTTCTGTCTCACGTACAGACATGCCAATCATATACGTTATTTCTTCTTCTTTTTAGAGATGAACGCATTTTTTGGCTGCCTTTGTCCCCTGTAACTTTTTGAATTTTGGCTATTGTTCTCGTTGTTCTGCGGGCGAGTTTTTCTGGTGGAATGCATAATCTTCAGCCTTGCTGTTTTTCTTGGATTACGCATGTATTTTAGCGTCAGTATCTCGTGTACAATACATGTAGCTGCTGGTTAATACTATCGTTTTTCTCTGCGAAGTTGTTCGGCCTCCTGAGAACGAACTAGATATCACGTGAAGTATAAAATGTGCTAGTCCATATTTGGCACCTCATACGGCTGCCAGTAAACGCCGCAAGCGCATTCATCAAACTTCCCGAACTTCTTCTCACCTCTATCCGTATGTCTTTCACTATTCCCATTCACGCCAGACGCTTGTGAAGCAGGACGTTCCCTAGCCACTCGATTTTGGATTTCTCTATTCTCATCTGCAGAAGGCTACTAAAAACCCCTACCATAGTGGGGATTACGGTTTTTGCTCCCCTGGTCCTGCTAGACCTAAGCGGAGGAGGTGCTACAGCTTTGGGGGTTTATATCTCCCATGTGGACGGAAGTACTGAGGTCAGAAATACGGACACGTACGCAATCGCATACGCTCATTTCTCGTCTCCACTACTCGTAGCGGAGTCAGCCTCAAAACCAACGGCGAGAGGAAGAACACGCGCGGCAAAATTTCATCGAAAGTTCTATCGGGGTTGCACCACACAACAACTACACAATGTCTAACGGTCCCAGCAATTTCCTGAATGGTGACTTCGGTTCCGAAGAGGAGGATGATGACTTTAACCCCGCCCCCGTCCAGGATTCGGACGATGAGCGACCGAAGAAGCGTGAGACAATGTCCTTCGATGATGCGGCGAGGGATGATAGGTCTGCCGTAGGTGGATCAGGCGATGAGGAAGATCAGGAAGAAGATGAACCTTCACGGAGAAAGGAGAAGACCGTCGGGAGTGATAATGTAGAGGAAGACGATTATGGGGATGCAGATGAGCATAGTGTCGGCGAGGACGCAGATGGTTCGGAAGAAGAGGAGGATGAAGAAGATGACGAGGATGAGGATGAGCAGGCTGTTTCGGTACGTTCAATTAGAGCCTTCTCTGATCTTACCAAACAGGTTATAATGAAGAAGGGAATACAAGTAAATGACGTTGAATCGGGGGTTACTGATGCGTTATCATAATTATTACTATTGTAGGGGCGGCCACGGAAACGAAGACGGCGAGGAATCAATGCTTTCGTTGAGGTTGAGGCTGAGGTCGATGAAGAGGATGATGCTGAAGAAGATGAGGAGGAAATGGGTGATGGATTTGTCGCAGAGCACCCTGACGATCTCGACGCTTTGCCCGTGGGCGCGGAGACTGATGATCGGCGACATCGCGAGCTTGATAGAAAACGGGATTTAGAGGCCACAATGGATGCTGAGAAACAGGCACAGGCCCTTAAAGAGCGGTATGGCCGGAACCGAGCGACGGCGGCAGACCTGGTTGTTGTGCCAAAGCGATTACTCCTGCCCAGCGTTGACGATCCGAGTATATGGGCTGTAAAATGCCGCCCCGGCAAGGAGCGGGAGGTTGTTTTTAATATTATGAAGCGAATCGAGGACCGTCCACCGGGTTCCAGGAGGCCAATTCGAATCATGTCTGCGTTTGAACGGGGCGGAACGATGAGTGGGTATATCTATGTAGAAGCTCGCAAGCAGGCGGATGTCGTCGATGCCTTGAACGATATGTCGAATGTATATACTAAGTCGAAGATGATATTGATCTCCGTGAAGGAAATGCCCGATCTTCTCCGAGTTACCAAATCGGAAGAGTTAATTCCTGGTGGCTGGGTACGAATCAAACGGGGCAAGTATCAAGGCGACTTGGCACAGCTCGAGGACGTGGAGACGAACGGTCTGGATGTCACTGTCAGGCTTGTCCCTCGTCTGGACTACGGCTTGAACGAGGACATGGGCGCTCCAAATGGTGATGTGAAACGGAAGAGACCAGGTGTCGGCAGCACCATTGCTCGTCCTCCCCAACGGCCCTTTAGCGAAGCAGAGGCCAAAAAGAAGCATGCTAAGTATCTGAGTGCCACCTCTGGGCTTGGAGGGAAAACTTGGAATTACTTGGGGGATAATTACGTTGACGGGTTCCTTATCAAAGATATGAAAGTGCAGCATCTGATTACAAAAAATGTCAACCCACAGCTCGATGAGGTCACAAAGTTCGCCCGAGGCGCCGATGACGGCACTGCGAATCTTGATCTTGCTGCTTTGGCTGCGAGTCTTAAAAATACGACCACTGAAGACTCATATCTTCCTGGGGATACCGTTGAAGTTTTCCAAGGAGAGCAGCAGGGTGTCGTTGGCAAGACGGTATCCACCCGCGGGGATATTGTTTCCGTTAAGGTCACGCAAGGCGAACTTGAAGGACAGCAGATAGACGTGCCGATCAAGGGCCTTAGGAAGCGCTTTCAAGAAGGTGATCATGTTAAGGTCATTGGCGGCAGTCGATTCCGTGACGAGCTAGGCATGGTGGTTCGCATTAAGGATGACAGGGTTACGCTGCTCAGTGACATGAGTATGCAGGAAATTACAGTGTTCAGCAAGGATATTCGAGAGGCTGCGGATGCTGGTGTTGACGGGAAACTTGGCATGTATGATGTTCACGATCTCGTGCAGCTTGAGTAAGTCCCCGCCCCAAAAGATCGATTCCGCTGCTCCCCTTTGAAGTCTGCTTTACTAATTGTCATTGTAGTCAAGCTACTGTTGGCTGTATCATCAAGCTAGATCGAGAATCCATGCGAGTTCTTGATCAGAATGGATCTGTTAGAAACGTACTGCCGTCACAAGTCATGAATAAGATCCCCCAGCGTCGCAATGCTGTCTCAACCGATCGTAATGGCTCAGGGATGGGGTGCGGCGATACAGTCCGTGAAGTTACCGGAGAACAACGAACAGGCGCCATTCTTCACATCCACCGCTCATTCCTTTTCCTGAAAAACAAAGATGCTAGCGACAACGCGGGCATTATCGTTACGAGAGCTTCGAATGTGACCACGGTAGCGACCAGTGGCGGGAGACTGGCCAGCCGGTCGGCTCCCGATTTTTCGAGAATGAACCCAGCAATCCAGAAAAATGGAATGAATGGTAGCGGAATGCCACCTCCCAAGTCATTTGGTAGGGATCGAACTATTGGCAAAACTGTAACGATTCGAAAAGGCCCATTCAAGGGTCTGTTGGGTATCGTCAAAGATACAACTGATACTCAGGCACGGGTTGAGTTGCATTCGAAAAACAAGGTGATTACTGTGGACAAGGATATGCTCTCCATAAAAGAGTATGTAACTACTTCCCCTCCAACTAAACTCGGGTGCAACGCTGACCATCCACGTAGTCCTATCACTGGTGCCTCGATCGATCTCTCCCGGTACGGTGGGAGAGGTGGTGGTGGCGTTGGCCGGGGCCGAACCCCTCACAGTAGCTCTGCAGCTCCCCCCGACTGGTCAGGTAGTCGAACACCTCTAGCTGCAAATGACTCCTCGCGCACTCCAGCCTGGCGTTCTTCTTCCTCACGTAGTGAGTATTCATTTCCATTCCACTGTAAATAACTTGACAATCCCTAACACATCCAACAGCACCAGCTTGGGGTTCTGCAACAGCAAGCGGTTCCCGCACTCCAGCATGGAAAGCAGATGGTTCCCGTACTTCAAACCCATACGACGCCAGCAGAACTGCATATGGCGGGGGCCGCACGCCCGCCTGGACTTCTGGAACAAAGACTCCCTACGACTCCAGCTCCGGCTTTGGCAGCTCCTCAACTTCGGGCTTCGATGCATTTGCTGCTGGCTCCCGAACACCAGCATATCCTGGCGCTGGCTCGCGTACACCTGCCTGGGCACCGGGCTCCGCAGCTCCTCCTCCCATCGGACATAGTAGTGGAAGCAAGGGCGGGTACGATGCCCCTACTCCTGGTGCGGATTATTCCGCACCAACGCCTGGTCCTTATGGAAGCGCCCCGACACCCGGCGCCACGGCTGCAACACCACGAGGTTGGGCAGATAATGCACCCACGCCTGGCGCCATTCATGCGCCGACGCCGGATGCTTCTGGATACTCTGCCAAGCGCCCTGGTGAGCTGTACGATGCTCCAACCCCAGCTGCAATGTCTTCTATGGGCGGTGGGAGGCCGTACGATGCTCCCACTCCGGCAATGGGAATGGGTATTCCAGCTACACCCGGTGCGGGCGATGATGGCGGACCTAGATATGAAGAAGGCACGCCGAGCCCTTGATCTAGTAATGCTAGGAAAGCTTTGCTCAGGGCTAGTTGTTTCATAAACTCTCTTTTTTTTCGGGGGATGAGTGTGTGATTAGGTGGGGTTTTCTTTTGCGTTTTCTTGGGATGTACCTTCGTTCTCCTTTACGCTTTTATGGCGTGTTGTCGGGTAAATCTTCTTTCCCTTTTCTTTTTTTTTTTTTTTTCACTTCGTGTTTTTCTCCTTGACATGGCATGGGATTGAGGTAAATAAGGTTTTTAGCTTTCCTCTTTTCGATATTTCCCTTCTTCCTTTTAGCGTTCTGTGTGTATTATTTTCAACAACTCCGTGATGCCGATAAAAAGGGTAGCTGCTTGGGTTAATTTAGTTTCAGCAAAGCGAGAGATATAAAGGGAAAATTTGATTAAATTTAGCTTGATTTAAGGGTTTTCTTTTATTGCCCTTGCATGTTTATACGCTGGGGATGGTTTTTCGCAGCGTTAGTTGATGCTGCTGATCGCCATGTTTGGTCTGTTTGTTTGTTCAATCTGATAAGCTAGCTGTTCCCCACCAACCAGCCGAGGAAACTCTCTCGTAGCGACGCTGCTGAAACACAACTTTTTTTATTTTTTATTTTTTGGTAACAGGCATACTCGATTCTTATCACTCCTCCTGAGCAGCACAAGGAAATCTTCAAGCCGCCCCACCGAGGCACAGCATTAGGAGTTGTAGTAAACACCCAGTGAGCGGCATTTGTACAGTGCATACACCTCAATCAAATCAACAAGTGCGAAACCAATAGTATATATATCTCTTACCACAGACATTATTACCCTTCAACACCAACCGGAAGCAATGTCGGACGCCGAGACAGGTCCAAGCAAGGAAGCCATCGCCGCACGCGAGCGTGAAGAGCGCGAGCGCAAGGCAAAAGAAGACGCAGAACAAGCCAAACTGCCGTACAAGTGGACGCAAACAATTAAAGACGCTGATGTAACCATTCCAGTAGCGACAACTATCAGAGGACGGGATTTGCGGGTTGAGTTGAATAAGACGAAGATATTCGTGGGCATTAAAGGCGGGGAAACGTTTATTGATGTATGTATGGACATGGAGTACAGTGTTCATGTTATATAATAATGTGAATATCTTCACGCCTTTTCCTATTATATCCTTCTGACTTTAGCGTGGTGCAGGGAACGTTCCCACACCCCATCCACGTCGACGAATCGACATGGACTCTCGAGTCCACCTCTCAACCGCCCGGCAAAGAAATTTCTATCCACCTTGATAAAGTCAACCAAATGGAGTGGTGGCCGCACATCGTCACATCTGCGCCACCCATCGACGTATCGAAGATCACACCGGAGAATTCAAAGCTTGGAGATTTGGACGGGGCGACGAGGAGTATGGTGGAGAAAATGATGTATGATCAACGACAAAAGGAAATGGGGAAGCCGACCAGCGATGAGCAGAAGAAGATGGAGCTATTGAAAAAGTTCCAGAAGGAGCATCCAGGTGAGTTTCTTTTAAATTTATACCTATTTTTTTTTTTTTTTTTTTTTTTTTTCAAAATAATATATTTTTCCCCTTTTGATCAAGGAGAATTCTACATTGCTGATTACTCACATTGGTGCTACTGTAGAAATGGACTTTTCCAATGCGAAGATTGGCTAAATGGAATCATACCATTCACTGGTATAAGATACTAAATCCGCAAGCGGACGTCAGAAAGGCAAAGTAGGTGAGGCGAGGGAAACGAGCTTAGCCTAATTTTCAATCAATTAGTTGATAGGCTGCGAGTTGAGATGACAACCCGGGGTGGGATGCTATGTAAATAAATGTGTAACGAAAGGCAAGGGGCATTAGGCATCCGTTTCGTTGTCATTTTGGTTGTGGGATATTTTTCCTCTTCTTCAAGGTATTGGAGATACGGATACATAATTATTTACAAACAATAAAAGTCAATACTGTGACGATTATACTATAATGATGCATGGACTAATTAAATCGGATTGCTAACTTGCTCCGTATGGTAGCAGCTGATACGCTCACTGATGCACACATGCCTACTTATGATGTTGGAATAATATACAAAGGGAAGTAGTCCATATAAGGGCTGGTATCTAAACTATTAATACATTTATCCCCAGAGGCTGCCGAAATAAAGAAATTGGCACGAAAAACTCTATTCAATGATGCAACGAAACGCATCGAACCCGTGCGAGGAAGAACAGGACGAAAATGTCAAGTATATCACAAGGCAACCCCCGGAGCAGAAGGACCGGATCGTAATTAACTCCCCCTAATCTCATTCAACCTTCTTCTCCGCTCAAACAACGTCATCCCTCAGCTGAAGATGGTAGGTCCTCAATGACTCCTCGGTCATTTCACTCGGACACTTCACCAGCAAATCCTCTCCCTTGCCAGACTTCGGGAACGCAATTACATCCCGCAAACTTTCCTTGCCCAGCATGACTGCCACTAGCCTATCGAAACCAAGCGCGATACCCGCATGTGGGGGGCATCCGGCTCTCAGCGCCTCAAGCAAGTGCGAGAAGTCCGCAAGTCTGTCTGCGGGCATTTTAAGTATGTCGCGAAGTATGAATTCCTGGACAGCTGCAGAGTGAATACGGCGGCTTCCACCGCCGAGTTCGACGCCATTGACGACCAGGTCATAGTGGTCTGCGATTACTTTCGTTGGGTCTGTGAGAAGAAGGGATACATCTGACTTGCGGAGCGGTGCAGTAAAAGGGTGGTGCGTAGATGCGATTCCGGCAGCGCCTCCTTGGCCTGGTTCCGAGTCGGTGATGGGGGAAAACAGGGGAAAGTCTCTGACCCAGAGGAAGTGGAAGCCTGTAGGGGAGGATATGAGGGTGGCTCCCACGGCTGCTTTGTGGATTTCCCGGCGAAGATCGCCTAGCGGAGTCGAACCTCCGGAGAAAGGGGCGTTTTTGCGAGCTTGGATAATGAGTAGATCACCATCCTTCAGATCCAGTTCTTGCTCGAGAACCCATGTTGCTTCAAACCCAAACGGCTGAAGTCCAGAGAGGGGTTTTCGAGAGTCGTAAACGAAGGCGCCAGGTCCACCTTCTGGATTTTTATGAAAGTTACTCGCTTCAGGGGAGTCCATGAATGAATTAAGGAATTTACGCATTTCCTCTGGGTTCTCGTTTCCTTCGAGTTTGATGGCTTCAACGATGGGATTATGCAGGGGGCTTATTTTACTGACGAGGTCAACCGGAATCATGTGTTCAATCCGCTTGATCTCCATCCCGATTCGTACATCTGGCTTGTCTGATCCATATTTGGCCATGGCATCTCCATAGGACAGTCTCGGGAAGCTCCCCGAGGGTAATGGTTCTGACATCAATGAAGACCATAGCCTTTTCACAGCAGCTTCGATTATCGCCATCACATCTTCTCCGGTTGCAAATGACATTTCTAGATCGAGCTGCTCAAATGAGTTAGAGACACTGCTATCCAGTAGCCTGAAATGGGTCGAGCTTGAGTACCTGCGTAAATTCTGGCTGTCTATCTGCTCGTAGGTCCTCATCCCTGAAGCAACGCGCAAATTGGTAATACCTCGGGATGCCGCTAGCCATGAGTATTTGTTTGTATTGTTGCGGGCTTTGTGGGAGTGCGTATGCCATCCCACGCCTTCGTGTGGGAACTAAAAATTCTCTTGCTCCTTCAGGGGTAGATTTGAAAAGCAGAGGTGTTTCGATTTCTACAAATGGTAGTTGGCACTCCTCTAATACCTCTCGCAGGACATTCCTGGCTCGTGCACGGAATAGTAGTGCATCACGAAGCTTGCTATCAGTTCGGATCTGCAAATGCCTCTTCTCCGCGGGGAAAACTGTATCAGAGGTCATGATTATATCCTTGGGAAACTCATTAAGAGGATGTATATCCTCCAGAGATATCTCTACACAGTCAGTCTTGGCTTCATCTTGCTCTGCGGCTGTCTTCTCCTTGGAACTAGCTTGTTTTTGCTGGACTACCCCTTGAACGACCACCGGGCTATTTGCTTCAATTGACTTCAGCTTCTCAAACGAGTCATTTTTTGCAAAAGCTATTATTTGAACATTTTGCGACAGGGTTGGATCTGTTAGGCGAACAAAAGCCATCCTCTTCCCCATATCAACTCGCTTTCCAAGGTATCCATGGAGAACAACTTGCTTGCCCGGAACCGGACGCTCTATAAGAGATTTGAGATTGGTTGTGGCGGCAGGGAAGTTTACTACACAGATAAAGCATCAAATTAGTCGGAAGAATGAAGATATAATCATAGAGCAGGATGTTTCGTTTTCGTACTGGATTGTTTGTATACATCCAGATAAGAGCGATGTGGAAAACAAGAAGAACTCCGCTGGTACAGCCAACTTCCTCCATGAAATCCTCGGACGCATTGAGAGTTGCGATTTGCTCGAATTCCTCGAATATAATTTGATATTTCAAGGTAGCTTTGATAACGTATGGCCGCTAGCTGGAGGCGCCGTGGAGAAAGCTGGACAGGAAGCATCACGATGTCGGGCATGGTAAATTGAAATCCAAGAATGATTACACGGATAAATGGATAAGCAAAATTGCACCGATTGACCTCGACGATGCGTAGATGTTCAAAAGCTAGCGGAGTAGTTAACCAGTGCAATTGATATTTTGCTGCTTTGTGTTTGACAAGTGGGCAAACATTCTGCCAAGCCTTCACACCACATAAAAATCTCAACATACTTCCAAACTTCGTCTTCTCCTTCTTTTCCTCTTCTTTCTCCATCCTTCCAAGTTTTGAACAAGTGAGTTCCCTCTAGATCTCTCGAATCCAATGCCAGGCATATAGATACTAACGTCTCTCGCTTGCCACAGATGATGAAAGCCTAGCGTGTACCATATGAACAATGTACTCTCCTCCCCTCTGACCGGTGCAGCTCTCCATCCATTCAGGACGGCTTAAGTGGCTTGCTGGTCGGAGGTTGGATGGGGGGATGACATCAGCGTTCGGCACATCCACCTTGTTACTTTGCGGACGCAATGAAAAGGCATCTCTGATCAACAATTCTTGGAAGGTGTTGAATTGCTCATGTATTGTGTGTTCTTGGCTTCGGAGTCTCCCGATTAGGGACCTTTGTTCCTCTGTCCATTTTGCAAGTGCGCGTTGACTTTCGCGTAGTATTGGATCCACCGGTGTTTGAATCTCCCTTCGAGGGTATTTATTTTTACATTTTCACTCAACCACTAATGAATGTCCCTGTAGTTTTCTAAGAGTGTTAAGAGACCTTTCTGCAATATTCTATGCCATTGTATATCCAATAATAATACATTGATTTCAACGAAAAGAAATAGAAGTTCTCAGTGAATGGCTCTATCTGCGTTGAGATACAATGGTGAACACTCACCACTTTTTCCACGCAGAGGTACGCGCAATCATATACTCGCGACTCTTAATAGCCTTGTATATGCCCCACAATCCACCCAGAGGGCGCTTGGATTTCACCCAGTGGCTCCAGGATTCCCTGATTTCTTTCCTTCCAGCTTCGACATCAACTGCAACCTTGTCATATACATTCGGCAGTGACCGGGCATGATATTTCTTTCTCAAATCATCATACCATTCCTTATCAAACTGTTGCCAAAATTCTTCTTCCGTGTAGTAGCTGTGGGCATAAAGCCATTTCATCCCTTTGAATTTATGAAGAAGTTGATGCTCTAGTTCTCTGTTTTTGGAGATGAACTCGTCATAGTCGGCGGGCCCAAAGCCCCAAAGGCCAATATTTATCATTTTCTCGGGAGAAGATCCTTCAATTTGGTCCAAATGTGGGTGCATTGTAGGTTGGAGAGATTGCTTTAGTGGGCATAGCCATAACGGGAAAATCCCAAACGCTTCACTGGTGTAGTCAACGAAGGCTTCCGCAGTAGAATAAGGTAAGGCCAAGTCCTGGACGATGTATCGACTCGATTCTGAGCTGGCATGGAGTGCCCGGTATAACATACGTGTATTTACGAAGTCATCAAGGAACCAGCGAGTGAACTTGTTGAAGGGGAATTTGAAATAATCAAATGCGGAGGCGCCAACCCAGAACCCACCGCGGTCATACCGGAAAAGATATTCGGCCAGCGGGATGTATTCAGTTACTGGAGAAGTCACATCCTGGGTTTTGTCCTTCACATGTAGATAATACCACGGGTCTCTTGGGCGGCTGAAGGTCTGAACTTGGGTTTCTGACGGCTTTTCATCCGTCATTGTACCGGTGACGACCACGCCATGATCCTTGGAGAATATAATGCCATCCACATAATCGTTAGTGGGGTTGTTTGTTTCCTCTTCCACGAGCCTGATTGTGTCCGCAACGCATCGTTTAGGATGATATGTCGCTTTGACGTACATTTTCGCAGGGATTAGTCGGAGCTCCAAAAGGGTGGTAATTCCAAGAGTCCCAACAGCACCGGCCGCGCCACGGAACAGATCTGAGTTTTGTGTCTCTGATGCCGTTGTGATATCTCCATTTGCTAGGACCATCTCGACAGAATTTGTTGTGCGGTCGAAAAATCCATGTTTAAACGAGCTGCTTTCCCCAGCTGTGCCAGCATATCCTCCACCAGCAGTAATCCCAGGAAATTCCATGACTACTGGTGGCACCATTCCTAATGGCAAAGTGGCTTCAACCAGGCGATCCATGGGCACGTTGGGCTCAACCAGCGCAATTCGCTTTTCCACATCAACCTTCAAAACATTGGATAGATCACTTATATCTACAACATGATTATGGCGCCGGGGCCGCGTACTGTTTGTTGAGCCATGTTGAACACGGAAAGGCTCGCCATTTTTATAGAACCGGCGGACAGAGTCCGCTATTCTCTCAACCGAACGGTTGTGCTGGTCCATTGGAGAGCTGGAATAAGCCCTTACGGGCTGAAAACGTCTCGCCTGGTTGTGCATTACGAACAATGACATAGCGACAAGGCTGCCGCCAGCATTAAAAAATGCAGAGTTGGACCATAACTTAGGGACTCGAGTAAACGCCACTGTGACCGAACATTGGGAAATCATTTGCCTAATTGAAAATAATAAAAGGAATTAGGAATATAAATAAAGAAATGGAAGAAATCAACGCCTCCCGCCTTGAATCCAAACATCCCTACTCCTTGACAAGAAATTTTTTGGAAACAAGAAAAATAGGGCTAGCTAGGTCAGGTGACTCCGCGCCGTTTCGCGAACTGCTTCAACCTCATGCATTCGCACGGTCTACATTCCACACCCATCGACGGCTTCGAGTCTTCTCCATGTCTCTGGAGTTAGGATTTGTGGTGGCAATAAGTTATATATTGTGCAAATATATATCCATGGATGTCATATATTAGTTTATCATCAATTGCTGATTGAAAATTACTAGGCCCGTTTCGGGATTTGCCGTGATGCCTCGGAAACTACGAGTCGGCAAGGGAATGAATATTACGCACCTGATTTCTAAATGTCAATAAGCCGGTGGTTGCTAGATTAGGAGCGGATTGAGACCCACACAATGTGGGAGCGAGATACAGCAGCGATTCTAGCACACATGAGCGATACAACTGCATGCGACCAAAAGGGTCGCTTTACAGCCCCGACTGAAAACCACAGTCTCCCGATGCCGCTATCTTCATGATGATCTGGCAATTGATTGGGAACCCAGCTCCTTAGCAATACGGACCTTAACGGCTTCCCCCGCACTTAACACTGAATGCCCCGCAGTCAGATCGAGTCATGGGAGTGGTCATAAAATGACTAATACGAGAAGGCGTGAAAAGTTGCTGCAAAAATATTTTCCCGAAACACAAGCCTCTGGATAGGAGGTATTTAAATCTGACGTCGTCAGCTGCTCGCTGTGATTGAAGGAGCGGTGGAGGTTAGTTATTAATATCTTAGGGTATCGCCGCAGGATCAGTTTCATTGTTTATCAGAAGTATTTTTCCAGTTTCTTCATTAACCACCTAGTATCAAGACTGTCAAGGTCCTACCTATAACGTTCAATCAACGACCTTTCCAGCACAACTATGGCCGCTGATGACAGGGCTCTCCGGCTCCGCAAACTCCATGTTCCTGGCACTCCTCTCGTCCTTGCAAACATTTATGACCCCTCAACAGCAGAATTTGTTGCCTCGAATCCTTCATGTCCGGCTCTAGCAACGGCAAGCTACGCCATCGCAAAGGTTCATGGCCTCGAAGATGATGCCCTGGATCTGGACACAAACTTGGCTGCCGCGAGGCGTATTATCCCAGTTGCGATTCGGCACAACAAACCTATCACGATCGACCTACAAGATGGTTATGGGGACCAACTTGAGAAGGCCGTTGAAGCCATCGTTGAGGCCGGTGCTTCTGGGTGTAATCTCGAGGATCACGACAACGAGACAGGTCAGCTTTTCCCATTTGACGTAGCCCTGGATCGTGTGCGTCGAGTGTTGGCTGCAGCATCGAAAGCGGGCATTCCAAATTTCGCGCTGAATGCCCGCACTGATGCCATTCTGTTGAACAACGATGTCGACGAAGCAATTCGGCGGGGAAAAGCGTTCTTGGATGCTGGCGCTACGACAGTGTTCGTCTGGGGAGGCCAGAAACGTGGTGGATTGACTCGGGATGAGGTAGTCAGGATTTCGAAAGACCTGGGCGGGCGTATTAATGTAATTGCTTGGCCGAATGGATTGAGTGTTCAGGAGTTGGCAGATATTGGTGTGGCAAGGATTAGTGTTGGGCCGCGGTTATGGAGAAGTGCAAATGCTGGGTTTGAAAAAGCTGCGACCGACTTGCTTACTGAATATGAGGCCATGAAGGAGACGCGGAAGTAGGGCAATGAAGTAGCTTTGCCTTGTGAGTTCTACGTATAAGACCTTAAGAGGTGTAGCGATAGTGATGTCTAGAGCATATTTGGCTAAGTCCTGTAAGCTGTGAATTGAGTTTGCCTAAGTCTTTATTATTGAAGAATATCTTGCCCAAGAGAGGAGCGTATTTTTGCTTTTCCCACGCCACAACCGACCAAATCGCTCTAATCATAATAATTAACCCACCACAGCCTGCAGTTATTGCGGCTGGTATTTACGTGAAAGGTGATATGTGAGAGTTGGGCTACAAGATAGAAGGCAGACAAGTTCAAACATATCGAAAGAACTTCCAAAGAGGTTGAAACCATGGTTAACACATTGACAACGACTGAAGAGTAATCGGGGAATTTTTCAATCACGTTCAACTGCGCTCGATTGACGATTCCGTTTTTTATCCGACGATTCTCGTGAATTGCCGTTGTTCTCCCGGGTCTGAGAGCCTCGTCGTGTCCACTCAGACGGGGCAGCTGAAGACTGCATTCCAGCTTCCTGCGTCCACGGATCACTCCGAATAGTAGTTTCCTGGACAACAGTAATTTCCTTCTGGGTTGCATTTGTCCCAGTGCTAAGAATATACTCGTCGCTACCCCAGGCATTGGTACCAGGAATGGAGAGTGGATGGCGGGCCTTTTTGCGACTCTCTCGTACAGAACTTTGTTTGTTAGTCGAGCCCCCATAGGGGAGTGACTGTCGAGCGGAAGTGAATAGGACACTGAGCTTAGTGCCCCGCAAGAGCCCTAGTATCAAGGGGTGGATTATTGGGACGTAGGAAACGGCAATTGCGACGAATGTTTCGCGGCATGCCCATCTACTGCCTGAGACAGCCCCTTCAGGCCCAGACTAAAAGCGACAAAAGAAGGAAGTTAGATCCTGGATTAGCTTTATGAACGGAGCTGGCACGGAATTTCCCCCTTATCCCCTGTTTTATTTGGTCCATTTTACCCATTTCCCTTCTACGGGGTGGACTTACTGAAAGAATGGTCACGGCGCGGATAATGGCTGCTACCATCACGAACGCGGCTCCGCTAAATAGTGCCATCAACGTAAGCTTTTTGCGCAAGCTGATGTTTACCTTCCATAATAACTGTTACAGAAAATAATCAGACAGGTTGATTCGACCGATTTTCCGATATGAAAGGTGAGTGACAGAAGGAACACATGGGCTTACTGGAAGTGGGATGGAAAGTAGGTAAACATCAGTAAGAACATTCGGAATGACTACAATAAGAACTGAAATTTTGGATATCGTTGGTTGACAAATATCTACCACATAATGAATTAGCAAATAATTGTCTCTATGACTCTTCAAGAAGAGGAAAACTCACTGCCAGGGTCAGGGTTAATCTGCCAATATCTTTTTATTGGCCGGCATGGGAGGACAAGGCATAAAGCGACCATAATGTATGTCAATCCCAGGATTACATACGAGAGGCGCACGCGATTCGGCAGGTCCATCAATCCACTCCTAAAAAGTATTGCATGGTTAGCATTGCCATTGCCATCGTAGTTGAGCCCCTACTGATCGGCTTGGATCCAAGAATGGAAATCACGCACGTCAACCTGGAGTAGAAAATTGCGAGGCAAAATTTCACGAGCCACAGGATGAGAGCATAAAACGACCAGCCTATGACTTGAATTTTGGATCCGGCGACTCGTTTAGAAAATTCAACAGAATTAGGATCCAAGGCTGCCCGTTCCTCAGGCGTCATATAACTGTTCGTAAGGCCATCATACGATGCTACCACGATATGTGCAGCGACTGTTTCAAGAGTAAAAACAATCTAGTGTTGGGAGGCAGATGGTTAGTTGTCAATTACATTCGCCTCTCGAGGTCGGATTTTATGTTCACGCAATCGAAAATATGGTGGTAACTTACCCCAGCCAACGGCATCAGATAATCATCGAGTTGGAAATTCGAAGGCCCAACAATGGACCATCGTGCGTACATCCGCACAAGGATGAATGCAATGCCGAGGGCAAGAAGAGTGAATCCTTCAACATCCGGGCTCATTTTCAATTTCTGCAAATGGTAGCTCCGTGAAATGGGCTTGACGCAAAACTTGAGCGAGAACAGTCTCAGCTGTAGATTTATTGATGGGAGTGATGCTCATGGCGCATGGCATTCGGTCGGTTTTGAAAGAAAGGAAAGCTCGCTGATCTCTCTCCTAGCTTTCGTGAGGGAAGGTTTCGATAACCAAGTATGCTAAATTGGTCTCTTTCCAGAGGCCAAGCCAACCTTGATCTGAATTTCATTCCGGACACTTTCCACAAGAGCTTCTCCATGCCTCCTCATCAACAAGGACTTTAACGCTTTCCAGGACTGATCAGCGTTTGTCATCGCCGAATGGGGGTTTTGAAACAAGTCGGAGGCGCCTTCAAACTAATGTCAATTAGGGAGATTGATGGCTTGGAAAAGACATCAATTTCCACAGGAGGAATATGAAGAAATCGAAGAATCAGCTCCTGAAGTTTGGAGCACCGGGGAGCAACCATTGAGTCGTAAGTTTAGCCAACCACTCCACTGGGAAAAGCTCCGCACTACCTCGTTGGTGGAGGATTAACAAACCATGCCAACGAAAGCTAATATGAAAATCCCTCCTTCCTTACGTCCTCCTCATTGATCAAGCATCGCCCTGCCGCAAACATGTTTGCATGGTTGATTCCTGAGGGCTCTCAAGAGGCTCTGGCATGAGTTTGAGCTTTCCTGTCCTGGTGCCCCGACAAACTTAATCGGAGCTCCCAGGAGTATTCTTTGTAATCGCAATTGTCAGCTAGCCTGAAAACTGCCGAACTTACTAAACAATAAACCGACAATGGAGCTTTGGGGTATGTTAGCTATCGCTTCGTGTTCTCGTAATTGAGATCCCGCTTGGGGAGGAGTGGCGCTTGAAACACGATGTACAACGCAATTTTGCTTGGCCAGCAGATCAAAACGCTGGCTTTGATCCTCGGAGTTGGCCCTCGGAGTTGGCCTTCGGAGGTACAGTGTATCCAGGAGTGTCGTCCATCCTGCATGTTTATATAAGTGAGCGGGCACGGCTGGAAGCTAGCTTGAGGTTCAAAGTTCAACGGGGCTCTAAATTTTCTCGGCAAAAATCTGACCCGTTCAAGCGCGTGCTCACAGATTTCTGTTTTCGTAGTATTCAGTGTCACACATTCACCTGCTTGTTGATGAGTTGGTGTTGCATAATCCATTTGCATTTGCATTTCACTGGAAAGGCTAAACAGTCAACAACAACTAAGAAGATGCTCTGCGGTTGAAGATCAACGTATGCGAGTATCTTGCTATCGCCCACCCCAAGTAGCTTCCAGAAATTGCACAAGTACATCAAGGCCTTCAGGTTGCTTTATCCAGTGCCCTTCATTCTCTGCTCCCAGATACTCCTTCCAATCCACCTTCATTCCCAACTTGTCTAGACATGCCTGTGCCTGTCGACCTAGTTCTACATCAATCCATGCATCATCAGTTCCATGCAATAATAGCAGAGGGGTAGAGAGCATGGTTTCAGCCTCGACTACGCTGGCTTGAGGACCTTCGCATTGGATGATATCCAGAAAAATTTTTGGTATCATCGACCTCGCCGTCTGTGTTGCAGCCTCATCAGATAATTGCAAATCTTGTATCTTGTTCGCGAATGGAAGCCACCCGCACATTCCAAAAAAGGCGCCGATTCTCCCTTTGATTCGTCCGGGTGAACAGAGTAATGCCCAGAGAGCCGTTGCCATGCCTTGACTAATGCCGCCGAGAAAAACTCTTTCAGATTTTCCACCAAGAAGGTCGATTTCTCGATTCACAATCTCAAGGATGTATAGGGTAGATTCTCTTAGGCCATCAACCTGAAGATCCTGCTGCTCGCAAGGATTTGACAGAGAATACACATCAAACCAAGCGGTCAACTCTTCTCTGAAAACCGAACTCCACCGATCTCGAGATGTGGGAAATACCCAGCGACAGCTAGGGAAATGAGCTGCGAGGCTCTTGTTGTCGGAAGTCTGTGAGTCAAAGAGGTCTTCGGCGAATTCGACGCCATCACTAGAACGCCCATGTAACAGGATGACTGTATGTGTATGGGTGCTTTGGGGTTCAACAATATGGAGTGCAGGAAATTCCATTCTAATAGACTTTTTGACAATCAATAGGAGGAGGGCAGATGGGTTTGGGGCGGATAATTGATGTAATAGTAATATCTTGGTAGTTGGTCAAGCGAATTGTTGTTGGTCACTGAGGGTTTCTTGGCGTGGAAGGAATGGCAAGGCCACTGGCCTCGTTCTTGAGGAAATTTAAACGAAAAGCACGCGAATTATAGGGAGAAGAGTAGCGACGTACGACAATACAAAGAGGGTGTGGAGAGACCACTTGGGACATCCATGATTTCACACAAAAATGCTAGTACTCTTAACAAGTGCCACTATGAACTCTGATTGTACCTTATTATCTGCCTGCCTGCCGGCCGTGTTTGAAGCTATACTAATTTCCTAATTCAGGAATTCGACTAAATCATGCCCTCCAAGTGGCGTTGGACTACAAAAGCAACATACGGCAGCCTATAGTGACAAATGTGTCAAATAGGTTTTTTTGATGTTTTTCACTGTAATTACTTAATTCCACTTATAGACATCTATCAATAGAAATTTATATGAAAGTTTGTCTGCAGCAGAAACATATCATTTTTATTTTGATTAACTAAAAAAAAAAAAAAAAAAAATTCAAAATCAAAAAGAAAAAAAAAAATTTAAAAACATCAACATTCATGGATATCATCAAAAAAACAAAAAATGAAAACAAAAAGTGAAAATAAAAAGTGAACTAATTTGAGGTATTTCCATATTCTGACATGTCACTTTCTGTTAGACTGGCCGTGTGACCATGCATGGGACTGGGACCAAATTTTTCCTCAGTCCCATTATTAGATATCTTAGTCCTGGTCCCATATAGTGTTTAGTAAATTAGTCACTTTACACTGTTTATATTATAAATCTAGTCCCAGATCATGTTTTACTAATAAATTAGTGGTCCCAGTCCCATTTGGTCCCATTTTACAAAATGGGACCAAATGGGACCATGATTTACCCTATATAGGTTGGCAGCGATAGATTAGCAGTGATAGATTAGCAGTGGTAGGTAGGTTGGCAGCGGTAGGTAGGTTGGCAGCGGTAGGTAGGTTGGCAGCGATAGATTAGCAGTGATAGATAGATTAGCAGCAATAGATTAGCAGCGATAGATTAGCAGCAATAGATTAGCAGCGATAGATTAGCAGTGATAGATTAGCAGTGGTAGGTAGGTTGGCAGCGGTAGGTAGATTGGCAGTGGTAGATAGGTTGGCAGCGGTAGGTAGGTTGGCAGCGATAGATTAGCAGTGATAGATAGATTAGCAGCGATAGATTAGCAGCGATAGATTAGCAGCGATAGATTAGCAGTGGTAGATAGATTGGCAGCGATAGGTAGGTTGGCAGCGGTAGATAGGTTGGCAGCAGCGATAGATTAGCAGCGATAGATAGGTTGGCAGCGGCATAGATTAGCAGTGGTAGGTAGATTGGCAGTGGTAGATAGGGGATCTAATAGCGAGCCATCAGAGCATTGAGCACTAAGCAAGATAGAGGTAATATCTCCACCAATCATATCATCAGATTGATGTATTATATAATCATCAGAATGGGACCAAACTTGAGTCAAAATCATGATCAGTCCCAGATCATGTTCTGATTTTGATAGTCAGTCACTTTACATGGAATATCAAGATTTTTTAGTCCCATTTCACTCATGTTTTGATAATTCTAGTCACTTTACACTCCCATTCTGGTCCTGGTCCCACTAAAATCATGCCAAGAAATGGACTGGGACCAAACCAAACCAAACCAAATGTGTAATTCATGGTCCCAGCGGCCAGTCTACTTTCTGTCATAATTTGTTGCAGATGTTGCATCAATTTCATATCTTTCTATTGAATTATGATATATTTAGCATGGATGATGTATAGATTGATCACTAACACCTCATCAATTAGTATAATGATTAGTATATTAACTTGTAAAATTCAGTTATTTTTATATTTGTAAATTCATCAACTAAAACTGTCTCTGCAGTCTCTTATAATATCTGAAATACTGTTGCTTGAAATTGAACATCATCAAAAATATTATATATAATTCCACAGATAAGATACTGAAAGAGAACTTTGCAGATAAAAAACTCAACAAATTTTTGATAATATTGAATTTTATATAGAGTATTTGCTAAAATAATTAAGTTAGATATTCAGTTATATATATCAAAAAATCTATAAATATATTTATACTTACTATCACTCTTTCAACAGTAATAGTATTTTGAGCTGATATGAGTGATATACTGTTTTTCTGAAGAGTATTTATTCTTTTCTCTTCTGATTTTACTGACTAAATTCTTTGTAGATCTCTTCTCTGCAACACATCTTCTTACTGTCATTTTTATTCTTGTTATTTTTATAGCTATTTGATGATTCTAGCTGCCAATTTATTGATTAGCATAATAACTAATATAAAAACAAAATATAGCTCACTTATATTGATAGAATAAAAAAAAATTAAAAAATTGTGGAAAAGAAGAAGAGAAAGAGAAGTCAGAAAAGACAGAGAGCACAGAGAGAGACAGTAGAGTAAAAATAATATAAGAAGATAAAAAAATTGACAGAAGAGAAAGAAGAGATATTTGATATTTATATACAATTGATGAATAACACAACAATAAAGTCATTCAAATAGACAATTCAAGAAAATGTGATAATATATCATATAGAATATCATCATTTATTCTTCAATTCTTTTGATTTTTTTTTCATTTATCATCACTACTACTGTTCTCTGCTCTTTGCTCTGAGTTTATTTTTATATCAATTATTATATCAATCAATCACTTCTAACCTCAGTTTCATCTTTTGTCTCAGGTTTTTCAGTCTTCATATTCATCACAGTTGATTCTTACTTTCAAATCTATCAAAATAATATATCACAGATCAAAGTCTAAAGTTATAGTTGATAAAAAATAAAAAATAGAAGTAGAACTCTCAGTTAATTCTTATACTCAAAGAGTAATAAAATAATAAATAAAAATAAATGAAGAAGAAGCTATAATTGAATAGATTAAAAATACAGATCACACAGCTGTCAATTATTATATTCAACAATTGAAAAAAACTGAGATATTCAGAAAAGCAAATACTGAAGAACAATAGAAAATAATTGATAATAAAAAATCAGAAGTTATAAGTAAAAGATAATTAATAAAATTTTGAAATCTTGTTAATATAGATGTTGATAGAATATAGATTTAGTACAGAGATTACAGCATCAATGCTGAAATAGAGATTAAAAGATATCTCTAAATTAAATGAAAAATAAACTTTCTATTCTACTGATTATTATATTAATTATTCTAAATATCAATCACAGACTCACAGCATGAAATCATTTGTTAGATTCTGAGAAAACTATATAAAAAATAAAATGATAAATAAAAGATGAACAATAATTTGATAAAGAAAATATATCAATCAAAAAAAATTCACAGACTGTATATAAGAAAGAAGTGAAGCTGATGAAAAAAGAAGAAAGACTTTCTGTTATTTTATACAATCAATAAATTTGTATGTGGAAAGATATCAGCAGTTGTTTTTTTAAAAAATTACAATATCATTCTTTCAATAATATTGTCAGCTATTATAGTTTTTTGAAAAAAATTTCAAATCAGAAGCTCTCTGTTTTGAAAATACTGTTTTATACAGAATAAATTGAATCAAGATTGATAAAAAAATAATAAAAAGAGCAAATAATTAAGAAATCAAAAAAAATCATTGATACTTATAAACAGACTTATAGAATCTTGAAAGAGAAGATGACTCTGAAGAAATTTATATAAATAATATAAAATTCAGATAAGTATATATTTTTTGTTTCAGAAAACTGATATATTGTTTTATTTTTATAATTATATCAATCATTCTACTAATCAATTTTTTGTGCAAAAAATTTTTTTATAATTAAGAACTCTTAAGCTAGTTTAGTGTATTTTTTGTTTCAATTTCTTCTTTATTTTTTTAGTATATTATTATTTCTCTCTTCTTCTTTTTTTTTTTTAAGATAAATAAATATTTTTTCTTTCACTTTCTTTTACAATATCTTCTGCTGACTATTCTTATCTTCTTTTTTATAAAGATTTTATCATTGATCTTCATCAACAGAACTGAACTCATCAATATATTATTTCTCAATTAAAATAAGTTTATAATCTCAAAATTAGTCAATCTACTCTTAGCTGTTGTTTTTGAAAATGAAATATTAGAAAATACAAAAAATGAAAAGTTAATAATGAAATTCAATATTTTATTAAAAAGTTGTTTTCACAAGACTTGCAGAATGCTGATATTCTATCTATTATTAAATAAAAATATTCTGAATTTCAACTTTGTATATATAAACTTTATTAAATTCAGCAGCAGTTAAAACTTCATTAGTAAAGAAATAATTATAAGAGTAATAAGATACAGAAAGAGCTTATATCTACTGTATAAAAAAAGCTTAACAGTGAATTTATTCAGAGATTTGAAAGAGAATATCTATACATATATTTTAGACAGCAAGAGTATAGCATTTCACAGTATATTTAATTGATTGATATAATGATTAGTATAATACTAATAAATTCAGAGATTATCTATTCAAAACAATTCAGATTCTCAATTCAGATGAAATTAAATATTAACTGAATAATCTTCAACACTGTTAAGAATTCTATATTGTTTCTGAATCAAATTATTTTTAATCTATTGATGATTATTGCAAGCTTCAACACTGAGAAATTGAAATATATACAGCAATTAATATATACTTTCAATATATTATCTGAATATATATTGAAATCATCAATTGAATCACTGTTTCTATTCTTCAACAATTTCTTGATATTCTTTAAATCATCAATATATTTTCTCAGATTATTTGTTTAGATCAAGAAACTGAGACTTCAATAATTACAGCTGCACAACTCAAAGTCTCAAACTACATCAAATAACTAATTCAAATACTTTTTTGAATGATTGCTATTGATTTGAAACAAGTACACTAAATCAGCAAATTGAATCTTGATAAAGACAACTTGCAAAACAGTTGATAAATTACTGAAGAATATGAAATTCTCTATTCTTTCCACTAATTATTATACTAATCTTCATACTAATATTTCTCTCAGCACTATTTTTTAGATTTCAGTGATAGAGGTCTATATCACAGCAATACTATATCTAATTGTATTATCTTTCTTACTATTTATATATCAATTATTCAACAAGAGATGACAAACTATATTGAAATCTGAAATAATCATCAAATTTGTATTCAATATAAACAATCTGATGAAGTATATGAACAGCTCTGAATACTGTATTATTATTCTAATAATACATCACAGTTTGATTTAAAATCAGACTCACAAGTGCTTTCAAAACTTTATATATATTTTGAAAACTGAGATATATAATATCTCTATCACTAATATTTCTATTTATTTAATATTATATGAGTACTAATACTTAACAGATATTAATGAGTATCTGCTGCTGAAGATAAAGAATTGATATTAGAATTATATTTCAAAGTTAAGATTTTCTTCTGAAAGAATCACTGCTGCAGCTGTTAATAAAACTGATGAGTATATATATAAAATAGTATATTTTCAGCTGCAATAACTTGTATATAATTATATACAATCTCAATAATCTTCTATTCTATAAGAATCTGAAAAGTTATCTGATACTTGAAACTGACTAATAGAACAATTACAGAAGTATAAAATAAATTTTAATAATATAATAAAAATGAAAATCTATAATAAAAATAGTGAGAATGACAAGTCTGATATATCAGAGTTGTAACTTGTAATTAGTTCAGATACAAATAAATATTATAATAATCACTTTTTAATATTCTTAAGAATGTATCTTTTAACATTATTACTTTATTAATTGTGCTGTAAATGTTAAATTTAATACTTTGTAAATTTTGAAATCTACTAATATAGAATAACTATATATATATATATTTGCAATGTATATACATCACAGTATATATATATACATCAAATATTCTATATCTTGTAATATCATTATCATCTATATTTATATATTCAAATCTAGAGTTATTAATACTATTAAAAGATATTTCAATTATGAATTTGCTTATTTAATTAATATAACTGTATTTTATTGATTATATATAGACAGTGTATATATTGAGCACTAGTTGCTCAGATGATTCTTCATTATATATAATTATCTCTATATAGTTAACTAGTGATTACACAATGAGAAGATCAATCATTTCACAGTATATATTGATTTGATATATTATTACTCATCATATCTAGATATATTATATGCTAATCTGTAATAGATAGTCTAGAGTCAATAAAAGCAGTTAGTTATTATACTAATTAATATACTAATCAAGTTGCTGAAATTCATACACATACATACACACATACACACACACACACACACACACATATTCACACACATTCATACACACACACACAAAATTTCCTCAGTTTTGTTTTGTTGTTTATTATTATCTTGATTTTCTTCATTATATGAATATCATTCTGTCTCAATTATTCTGAATTTTCTTATGAAATATACTGTATTAGTGAAGCTGTCTGCTCTTATTATGATAAAATCAATTCATTCACACTGAAATTCTTCATTATCACTTCAATAAATGATAAAATCATTGTCATTGAAGATAGTCTCAGTTCTTCAGCTCTGATATCATTACTCTCTATAATAATTTTTAATTTTAAATCTTCTCAGCAAGTATATTAACTGATTATTTAAAAAACACAGAAAGTTCAACAAATAATTCTCAATGTCAGTATATTAATTCAATATATATTACTTATAAAGAAATCTATTGTCAAATCTGAACTGAATCAGCTCTTCTTATTACAAAAATCCTACAAATTACTTATTTATATTTGAAAATGTGAATATAATAATGCAAAACTACAAACATACTACAACTAAGAGTTAATTTATAAATATAAAATCTTCAATTAAAGAGTAACTCTAATCAGTTTTATATAGATAAAATTCAGAATAAAATCTACTCAGATTGTGAGTTTTTCACTATAAAAGATTTTCTAGAAATCATCACTATCAGATTTGATATATTCTGAAAAAATATTCTTTCTATTATTTCTTCAGTTGATATATTTATTTCTGTTTTAATTATAGAAAAGAATAATGCAGTAATACTCACTTCTGATATTTGAAAGTTAGATTTAAAGAAGTTATTGAGTTTATTTAAGAAAGTGCACTCATCAATCTCAACAACTACAATTATTTATATATATCTTATTATCTATAATAAGTTCAATCATCTCATTGAATAATCACTGAAATCAATAAATGTCAAAGTCAAATTATCAGATATCAAAGTCAAAGAAGAGAATATCTCTATATTAATGATCAAATACAAATATACTTCCTCTGTTGATTTATTCAATCTAAGTTGTATTAAACAAAATCAGCCACTTCAAATCAAAATCAAATTCAAAATCAAAGTTGACAAATCAGAGATAATTAAAATAGAGAAGAATCTATTCAAGTTATTCAAGTTAAAGAAGTTGAAATATAATATAGAATCAGAGACAGAGAAGAAATCTGTAAAGAAGATAGAAGACACTCTGATAAAGATAGATAAGAAAATAAAGAAGAAAATGAAAGATACTGTGATGGAGACAGAGAAGAGTTATTCTAATGAATTTGAAACATAAATAAACTATCTTGGTTTATCTGTAAATGAGATAAGATTTCAGAATCAGTGTTGAGATTGATTAGTAGAATGATTGATAGATTATAGTATACTTTATTATTAATACAAACAATTGTTTGTAAAATCTTCAATCAAAAAATGAATGCTATCTAATCAATTTCTAGATGATTTATAAGCTATCACTTATATCAACTTTTGATCAGATTCTTGTAAACAGAGCTCAGTTACTGTTCTTATAAGAAATCTCACTTCTCACAGATTTTTGACCACTATTTTTACCCCTATTCTTACCTCTATTTTGTTATATACTCAATAGGGTTAGTGAGTTTTGATGACATAAGATAATATAGAGCTAAAATATCTAACCAATAAGCTCTAATTGACTACAAATAAAATGAATATAATTGGAGTGTGTACACTGTAACACTAGTATAAAAAACCTATTTGACACATTTGTCACTATAGGCTGCCGTACAACAGCTGCAGAAACTCCGGCTATCACTATCCCAGCCATTCCTTGCACAATCTGCTGCATATGTCGAGGACACATTCTGCGTATTAATAGCTAGCCATATTAAATCTCACTGGCACCTAGGTTGTCTGGTATAACCGTAGGATTCAACATGCCGGGATAGTAGAACTTCTTTTGTAGATATGTCCATTGACTTTTATTGCCTGGTTCTTGTTCCAGATACTGGGGAATCTCAAGGAAAATAAACCCCATTAAAAACAGGTTCCTTAAGGAGAATCCTCATTTTGATAAGGGACTTCAACACATACAGTGATACAGCCTCAAGTTCTGGGTTAACAAGCCATCAAGCATACATACCAATTGTCATTTCTAGCCCCTCCAACGGCGGCTTATCAATTGGTCGACAGCATACTCCTTGGGCCACACACCAATTGAAACTGGTAGGTAGACCCACCAGCCATCAAAGCCACCTCCCAGGCAAATTGTATGTAGGGCTTTCACATATTCCCAATACTCTGAATAGTAGCCGCACATTTCCCAATCAAGTAAGCCTGTCACCTCAACCCAATCTGCAGGAACATCTGATGGAGATACATTGGGCTTGAGCTCCATGACATTGCGAGGATGAAGGTCGCCGTGCGTCATAACCAACTTATAGTCGGAGATAAGAAACGAACGAATCATCCTCAACCATCCCGTTTCCGTACGCTTTGGATCAGAAGTCAGAAACTGATTGAACTCGGCCACATTTTTAATGGGATGCTCTGCAACCCGTATATCCCTCCTTGCATCCTTGCATCTTCTCGGGATACCACCACCGAGAATGGCGTGGGGTTCATCTGAAGGAGGTGGAGGAAGTGATCTAATGCTGGAAAACATAGATCCTAGTTGTTCCTTGATAGATTCCTTCTGGGCCGGGCTAAGTGTTTTCCAAAGTCGGTCAAGCGGCTCGCCTTCAATTCTGGTCATGAACACAAAACCCCAGCGCCCAGATTGAAGGATTCCGTGTATATCTGGAGACCGAAGTTGGGGAAGTCGCTGCTTGATGTGGTTCATTGTCGGGATGTGGTCGATGTCGATACCGCACCCAGCTTTCATGACACTCTCTGGGCTGATACCGAGTACAACGGTTGACCCAAGTTCCCAGATAATATCACTGTTGACTATTGCTCGATTAAGCCTTTGAATAATTGCGGAGAGACTCTCCGCTGAGAGCTTTTCACCTGGAAGCACATTGTCCGGAGAAAAATTGGTCAAGAGCGGGCTGAGACCATGAATAATTGTGGCATCAGAAGGAATTTGTGAAGTTAAGCGGACATCGTGACTCTCCATCTTCGCCATAAGGATTCCCTACCAATGTCAGCAGGTTTTCTGAACAAAGCACTTCAAACAAAGCATCGAAGTTGCGTGGATCCAAACGAGTATTTCGGCCTCAAACTGACCAGGGATGAATCTTAAGATCTCGATGAAGATTTTGGTGGATCTCGCCAGACCAAAATGCTCGGACAATTGGCTGACCTCGGGCCGTGCCAGTGCTGTGCCAAGCCACCGAGGAGCCGCTCGCCGCACACCAATTATTCTTAAATATAAGATCTTGATAGCTGGCATTCGATTATTAGAATAACTACTGTCTGAATTTTAAACATGATGTCGGCGATGAAAAACGCCAGAAGTGGGAAAACAGCGCTCACCACCGACTATAGAGATAGTGAGTGGGTAGGGAGAGGCAACGAAAAGTTGATGATTCCGGGCGCTATCTTGCGGTCGTAGTCAAACATCTTCTCGCTCCGGGGGGTTGGGAGGGTGACAATTGCTGTGACATGAGTTTTTTCAATTAACTTAACTAATAACAATCTAAATACGGCTGTTCAAAGATTCTGGTAGGAACAAAAGCGCGAGCAAGATCTAGTATCCGACCAACATCGGTGGACCCATCTTCCACAAGGCATCCAATGTATTCGATATCATCCATCACTTTCTCAATATCAGCTCCCATTCCTGAAGCATGAAGTATCTCTGCGACAGCAAAGTGGGCCCGAAGAAGTTCAGCTTCGGGGGGCTGGAGGTCACCCTGGGAGCTATCGTCATTGGTGCCGAATCTCACGATTCGATCTTTTGGAAGATTTTGCCGCATTATTGGATCAAAGCGGGGGTATGTTTTGATGCGGTACGTATTAGTTTCCTCCTATGAGCACCGACAATATCAGTACAGTCACTAGCACGCCAGAGAAATCAACAATGCCTACCATCGGTTCGAAAGCCATTTGGAAGCTTCCAAAGTAGCGGTGTAATGGAAAATAGAGACTCAGGCCATTCGATGTGTCATTTATTTTTTTCACTCCAATTATTTTTTGTAAGGATGGGAAACATCGGTACAAAACTTCCCAGCGTTCACTTATATCTTTGGGAGGACCCTACATAAATGTTTTACATCAACATCCCTGACAAGCCGTGAGAGTTGAACTAGTTGGTGAAAAACTCACCTCCTTGGCTGGAAAATAAGCATATGAAAATGGTATGATGTGTGCGACCTCGATTGGTGCTGTTGGCTGCTCGTTAGGGGATCCCATTGTCTCCCAATGGTTACCATCCATAAGTTTTGTGACAAGACATAAGTGGCCATCTCGCTTCAAACAATCGTCACGAAATCGCTTTTCACGGGCAAGCGGGGAAGGGAGTTGCGCTGCCACTGATTCGCGACTTTCTACACGCTTTAAATGGGGAGAGCTGACAACGGAGGACACACGGCTTGACGATTTCACTGGCAGTAATATCAGTAACCGAATAGTATAGTGACACAACTCTAGCGCACTTGTATATTACTGTAAATTCACTTACTGGGAATGAGAAGTCCAGTGCGTAGACTTTCAAAGACTTCAAACAACTTGTCGGGATCGTTGCCACACCGTAAAATGTCATTTGCGATTCTAGTGGCGCCTTCTTGGGGTAGAATGTCAAGGAATGCATTTAAGCATTTGGCTAGCTTTTCGTCCTGGTGCCCTCTTGAAGGGGTGTATGCCTCGATTATACGCTTCACACTGTCGTGGTCTGAGCTGTCACCAAGATTTTCGGTTGAGATGGTGGTTTGTGAGTCTCTTCGACTGGGATGCTGTGAGGTCTTCGGAAGCATTTCGGCGGTTGGATTGGATGTATATGATATTTTTCAGCGAGTCTGGCTCCATTGTAATAGTGGAATAAGATAGCACTATGGCCACTAGGTTATCCATAGCAAAAAGCCAACATAACCATTTGTCAAATGGTTGCGCTCATAGCGATATATATACCCGTGGGCATGGCCACCCAACCCACCATCTATGTAACAATAGTTGGATAAACGCTTAGAGAATAGTTTTTGTCGGCTCCGTCATAGATCATTAGTGCGTCTTAGTGTTCGGCCGGAAAAACTTTTCACCAACCATCTCATCTAGTGTGGGTAACTATAATTTTTGATGAGGTTACTACGCGGTATGCCCTGTTTTCTGGGGCAGCCTTCCCTTCAATGGCAATCGAGGATGGTACCAGCTTCTGTCTCCTTGTTGGCTTGTAGCACTAATGATACGCCGAATATACGCACGCCGTCGGGTTAGGATCCATGAGGGGGAAATTTTTGGGGCAACTTGCCGTCCAATGCATTGAATTGCTTTGACGATTGCTGTAGAGCAAGGCGGGGAGAATAAGCATATTCTCAATATACAGCGCGGTAAATGAAGTCCGCAGGGAACTTCTCAGAACAGCAGCACCATGATTGGCTGGAGAGGCCCTCTCATGCGCAAAAGGCCAACGGCGCAACGCTGACCCCTCGGGATCCCGTTTCCCCACATGAAAATCCGCTGCTGTGGATGCCAGGTTGCTAAAGACTAGAGAACGCCTCACTTCGTTTAAGAAGAGGAGGTGGCGAGCGACTACAGCTGGTCTTCAATGATCAAACTCCTCAAGCAACAAATCTTGTATACATTCCGAAAAGGAAAGAAAAGATAAAGAAATTTGGGTTTTTCGGGGTGAAGTTATGGCACCCGTTTTTGACTTCATCGTGGTTGGCAGTAAGATTACCAATTCAAGCCTCTGGTAACTAACAGTTTGAGCTGAAATCGGGAAACGTAGGTGGCCCGGCTGGCAGCGCTGTTGCATCTGGGCTTGCTCGTGCTCGTGCGAATCCAACAGTCCTGCTTCTCGAAGCAGGCGATAATCTCGAGGATAGGAACCTACGCGTCGATGGGCAACGATGGTTGACCTTTCAAAACAAGAATATGAACCGGGGTTATAAAACTGTACCCCAGGAGTACTGCAATAACCGCGAACTCGATTACTCTCGTGGACGCGGGGTCGGAGGCTCCAGCGCCATCAACTTTGGTGTCTACAGCCTTGGTGCCCGGGATGACTACGACGAATGGGCGAAGATCGTAGGTGATGATGCCTTTAACTGGGATCACATCCACGCCCGATTTAAGGAGCTTGAGACGTTCCACGGGGAGGTTCCAGCCGGAGTTGATAAAAAATACGCTGCTCCAAAAGCTGCGGACCATGGCACAACGGGTCCCCTCCACGTCGGATATGCTGCAGAATGGGAGAAGGATCTTGTGCCCACGCTTGACATTTTTGAACAGGCTGGATTTCCACTCAACCCAGACCACAACTCTGGTAATCCAATTGGCATGTCTGTGCTGATCAATTCGGCACATAAGGGTCTGAGATCCACTGCAAAAGATTTATTAAAACGCCAGGCACAGAACCTGACAATAATCGCTAATTCACCTGTCCAGCGTCTCCTTTTAGAGGACAAAAAGGCAGTAGGAGTAGTAGCGAATGGCACCCGATGTAAGAACCTGCTCTGTGGAATGCTTGGTTCCCAAATAAACACAGCTATGGACCAGCTCATGAGCTAACGTTATAGACCTGGCCTCTAAAGAGGTCATCCTCTCAGCAGGCGCACTGGACACGCCGAAGATTCTGATGCACTCAGGTATCGGCCCAAAGGGACAGTTGGAAAAATTCGACATTCCCGTCATGCTTGATGCTCCTGCCGTCGGCCAAGGTCTTCGAGATCACTACTTCATTCCACTCATCAACACGGTGGCTAGCACCAATAATGATCGACGGGCTTTCTACGGCAATAAAAAAGTCATGGACGAAGCCTTGGAACAATGGAAGCGCGATGCCACGGGCCCGTGGTCCAAATTCTCCTGCGAATGCGGCATAGGCTGGTTCAAGATCGACGGACTCACGCAGACGAAGGAGTTCGAAGACCTCCCCTCTGAGGAGCAGGAGTACCTTCAAAAAGAAACCGTCCCGCATTACGAAATCTTCACTCACTTTCCCATCCATTGGTTCGTCCCGGATTTCCCAGACTCGGCTCTCGATTATACCTGTCTGCTTGTTTTCCTATACAACGCCCAGGCCCGTGGCGAGGTTACATTGCAATCTTCGGATCCAAACGAGCCTCTGCGCATGGATCCAAAATTCCTCTCCCACCCCTTTGATCGTCGTGCTGCAATTTATTCACTCCGTGATGCATTCCGCATTGCAAAACATCCTACTTATATCAAGGATAGGTTGGCGGAGTTAGCTGCGCCCAAATCTAACTCTGACGAGGATCTCTTGGAATATTGGAAGCAGAATATCTCGTCCAGCTGGCATATGATATGTACCGCCAAGATGGGCAAGGCTGGAGATGTCGATGCAGTTGTCGATTGTGATTACCGCGTCATGGGTATCGATGGTCTTCGCGTGGCAGATATGAGTGTGATCCCTGTGTTAGTGAGCGGGCATATCCAAGCCGCAGCGTATGTGACTGGTGATACTTGCGCGGAAAAGCTCATCAAAGAATATAATCTTGCATGAGAAGTCAATGGAAATATATTGGCTGAGGCGGGGCTAGCTCCGATTGTTACTTCCATCGGTAATGAGCTGTCTGGTTATTGATCGACACTGAGCTATGAGCTACATCTCTCGGGCTGAGCTCCTGGATACGTTGGATATTCATACTGTCACCATTGTGTATTATCCCTTCGTCTGGCCGCTAGGCACAATTAGCGCATTTTTTTAGTGTGTACATTAGTGTATTAAAAGCACAAAATCTACTGGATTAGATGAGAGATTGGCTGTATTGGCATGTTTTTATATAATTTATGTAATCTATTTGATCTAGCCCTAATTAAGATATAGAATGGAACTCCTGCCAACATCTGCTCTTCAAACAGAGAGAAATATTATTACATACAGCACAATCAGATCTTGTTCTTGGAGTTCTATCTTTATTCTCTTCTGTTCTCTTTCTTTTGTACTGACACCAAGCACAAGTTTGAGTGGATGACAGAGAAATCTGATGATGATTCAGATCTGAATTTAATCAAATAGAAGATAGTGAACTTGAAAACTCAAAGAGTTGATGATAGAGCTGCTGACAAAATTGAATATAAGAAAGAGTAGTAGTGCCAGTGCTAGTGCCAGTGCCAGTGCCAGTGTCAGTGCCAGTGCCAGTAGCTAGTTGATGAAGAATATAAGCATTCACAATAGAATGATCAATAATTCAGTACAGAATTGTCAACCAGATGCAATTGATGAGTATATGAGTCTTATAGAAAGCTCTATACTGATTTGCTAGGTCAATCCCATTTATATTATGATTATAATCATCAATAATAGTAGGAATCTTCACTGCTTTTTGTCAATTATCTCTAAATATTCTCTGAATTTGAGATTCATTAGTAGATGTCTTTTCTGAGCATTTTCTGACACATTCAACAAAGCTGTCTGGCAGATGAATTGTAGACAGTAGTAATACTATATTATTATCTTTCTATTCAAGACAGAGAACTTTATTTTGAGAAATAATACACAGAGTATTGAAGGGAATGTGAGCAGATAATTCAGAGCTTTTCAATTCTTGTAGAAAAGATGATAGATTGACAGAATGAGTAGTTCCACAGACTTCAATTCCTTGCTTTCAAAGATAATGAAATAGAGCAATAGAGGTGAAGTAGTTATTTATATAAATTGAATAGCCAGCAATCTCTTTACTGTTGTTCAACTTTAGATATTGCTTGAAGCTCTGCTGCTCAGAGCTCTGCTGCTGATCAGAATGCTACTGATCAGAGCTCTGCTGCTTGAAGCTCTGCTGCTTGAAGCTCTGCTGCTTGAAGCTCTGCTGCTTGAAGCTCTGCTGCTTGAAGCTCTGCTGCTTGAAGCTCTGCTGCTCAAAGCTCTACTGCTCAAAGCTCTGCTGCTGCTCAGAGCTCTGCTGCTGATCAGAGTACTGCTGATTGAGATGCTGCTGATCAGAGTGCTGCTGATTGAAGTGCTGCTGCTCAAAGCTCTGCTGCTCAGAGCTCTGCTGCTGCTTGAAGCTCTGCTGCTGATCAGAGTGCTGCTGATTGAGATGCTGCTGATTAAGATGCTGCTGATTGAGATGCTGCTGATTGAGATACTGCTGATTGAAATGCTGCTGATTGAGATGCTGCTGATTGAAGTGCTGCTGATTGAGATGCTGCTGATTGAGATGCTGCTGATTGAAGCTCTGCTGCTGATTGAGATGCTGCAAGAATACAGGCAGCTATTCAATCAATTCCATCACAAGAGATTCAGTCTTGGTTAATTCTGGAGTCTGGAACATTGTACTTATGTGGAGATTATCATGAGACATGGAAAAGGTTAGACTGACTGCTGAAACCATGAATTATATATTTGATTTGATTTGATTTGATTTCAGTTCATTTCTTGACATGATTTTAGTGAGATCAGAATCAGAATGAGAGTGTAAAGTGACTAGAATTATCAAAACATGAGTGAAATAAGATTAAAAAATCTTGATATTTCATGTAAAGTGACTGACTATCAAAAGTAAGAATATGATTTGAAATTGATTATAATTTTAACTCAAGTTTGATTCCATTCTGATGATTATATAATACATCAATCTGATAATATAATTGATAAAGATATTACCTCTATCTTACTTAGTGCTGCTGCTAATCTATCCACTGCTGCTAATCTATCTATCACTGCTAATCTATTATCACTGTCAATCTATCTATCACTGCTAATCTATCACTGCTAATCTATTGCTGTCAATCTATCACTGCTAATCTATCACTATCAATCTATCTATTATTATTAATCTATCTATTGCTGCTAATCTATCACTGCTAATCTATTGCTGCTAATCTATTACTGCTAATCTATTGCTGTCAATCTATCTACCACTGCTAATCTATATAGAGTAAATTATAATTTCATTTAATTTTATTTTGTAAAAATTTAGACTGACTGTGTAACTGTGTATGAAACTGAGACTAAAATTTTCCTCAGTTTTATTATCAAATATTTTAGTTCTGATCTTATATAGTGTTTTATAAATTAGTCACTTTACACTGTTTATATTATAACTCTAGTTTTATTTCACTGTTTATAAAAAATATTAAGTTCTGAATACTGTTTTTATCTTTATTTCTGAATTACAGTTCCATTTGATCTCATTTTATAATATAATATTAAATGAGACTGTGATTTATTCATAATTACATAATTTATATATTATTACATTGAATGATGTCTAATTATACTGTGAGTGTTATCAAATATCATTATCTTTTTTAAAGTCAACAACAGAAATATCATTATATATCTGTAGATATATTAAAAATTTAAAAAAAAAAACAAAATAAACATCTGAGAATATTAATGAAAAAAAACAAAAATCTTCTGTAAAAAAAAAATAAAAAATAAATAAAAAATACAAAAAAAATGAAAAATATAAACAAATAAAACAAAATTTATTTCATCAGTCTATAGTTGTCAAAAAATTTACTTCTCAATTTTTGAATGATTTCCATAATCAATCTAGTATCTCTCACAGTGAGAGTTATTTACTTATAATGAATCATGATCTTAAAATCATCTGTGAAATAATTAGTGAGATATTGTTATATTTGTTTTTATATAATATTATACACTCAAAAAGTGTGATTAAAATTGTCTCTGCAGTGACTTGAAGAGTATTGAAAACAGAATATTGAAAACAATACTGATCTTCATTAATCTTCTAAATAAAATATATAAATATAACTTTAAAGAAAATGAAATCTTCTGACTTCTGATAGTAACAGATCTCACAGATAGCCTCTAATCTTATATCAGTATCTAGTGTTATCAAAAAGCATTACTTTGATAATTTCATACTCTGCTTATTTATTTTTTTCATATAAGAGTGGGAATTGTGCATCTTCCACACAGCACAGTGAGTATTGAAATACTGCTTATAATGATGAGCTCAGACTGCTTTCTACTTTATCACTTACTGTTTATATACTGTTTTATAGACAGCAGCAGTTGTTGGTATAATCCTCTGATGAGAAATACTCTTATTATAAGTTATTTTTTTACTTGAGAGAGAGGGAGGATGTTGAGTGCAGAGAATGAATGTATAGATTTCAGAGAGAGAAGGATAGAGATTTGTAGTGCTGAATTTGCTAGATAGAATCAAATAATTAATCAATATTCATTAGTAAGAAAACATTGAAATATTTATATTGCTTTTAATAGTTAATATACTGATACAGAATTATGATGAATTGAAGAGAAAAAAGAGAAAGAATCAAGAAAAAAAAAACATCTGTAGATATTAATCTGAGAGATTATATTTACAAATAATCTCTACAGCAATACAGAAGTATTTCATCTATATCAAATCATAATATAATCTGTATAGCAACTGCATGTATGTGATATCAATAAATATCTCATCTATATCAAGCTATAATATAATCTGTATAGCAACTGTATGCATGCAATATCAACAAGTATTTTATCTGTATCAAATTATAATATAATCTGTATGACAACTGTATATATATAATATTAACAAGCAGCACAAAAATATAAACAGTATTGCTATAAGATATATAATTTTCCATAATATATAGCTGTAGATTTTTTTTTCTTCTTGAATTTTTTGATATATCTCTGTTCTTCTCATTATATTTCTGTGCAGATATTGTTTTGTAAAAAGTGTATATTTTTTTCCAAACAAATCTTCATCATCACAATCAGAATATGTTTTTCTTCCTCTCTTCTTCACTGAAAATATGTCTGTCTCTCTTTTTAAGAAACATTTGATGGCTCTGTATATCATCAAGATATATAAACATCATCATCATTTTGAAGAGAAAGAGAAAGAAGTCTTCAAGTGTGAAGAAACTGACTATAAAATATATTATATTATCTTGAAAAAACTCTGCAATGAAGTAGATTAATAATAATCTTGAATAATACTTCTACTGAATTTTGACTAATAGTATAAAAGAATTAATACTGATGATTTGATATGTGAGAAGTTGAAGAAGAAAATAGTGAAGTTACTGATGCAGCAGCACTGAGATCAGAAGTGCTTATGAGAATGATTTGAAATTAAAATGAAAAGAAAGAGAGCTGAAAAAATAGCAGCTGTGAAAAAGCACTATCAGAAGAAGATTGAAGATATATTTATTTATAAAATAAAGAAACTCAAGCTGATAGATTGTATTTTGAATATATTTATTAATAATACTTTTTGATAACAGCTCTGTGATCTAATTGATTAGCAGATTTCTGAAGAGAATCAGAGGATTAAGATTTTATTTAGATTTTATATACACTCAATAATTCAAAATATTAAGAAGATAATATTGCTTTCTGAGTATACTAATCTGCTTGCTGCAGAGATAGAATCTGAAACAGCAGATTAGAAAATATATAACTTTGAAGTATAAATAAATCTGATGAAAAGAGAGAAGAGTTCTTTCTTATCTGAAAAGATAGTAGAGAAGAGTTTTGAGATAATTGTTTTCTCTGATGAGAAGAAGAAGAAGAAGAAAAAGAAGAAAGAGCAGAATTGAATTGTAAAGAATAAAGAGAAGTAGAAAAAGAAGAAGAAGCAGAATAAAAAGAAAGAGAAGAAGAAAGAGAAATGATAAAAGAAAATTTTTTTTTACAGAGTTTTTTAATACTTTTATTAAATTAATTGTATTATTATAATGATCAAAAATTTGAAATTTTATTTGATATTTCACTTTATAAAAATTCTTTATTGTGAGAATATATCATCATAGAGACATTACACTTATGATATATATATATATATATACTTATAATTCTTGTACATTATTTGATGTCATATATATGACTTTATATATAATATCTGTAAACAACAAAAGATGATATATTTATACTATAGAATTATAATAAATAAACTTTTCAGTAGCTATAAAATTTAATAATTTTTTTAATATTTTAGTAATTGTTATTTTATATTTTGTTGCATTGTATTGTATTTGTTGTTAATTATAAATATATTTAACTAGTCTTCTAATCAATTAGAGTAGATTATTGGAAAAAAAGTAGTAAAAATTTCAATAGATTTTCTAATATTATTATTTTAACAATTTATTTTACTTATACTTTTCTATTATTTATATCATTATAATAACTTTATTCATCACTGAATCAAGAAATTCATCATCTTCTTTAATGAAAATTGAAGATCTTATAGAAATAAGAGTGAATCAAAAGATTTATATTATTTATAAATTCTTGTAAGATGATCTCTTTCAAATCTGATGAATATATATATTCTTTTTTCTTCAAGATAATAAACAATACAATCTATAAAAAAGTCAGTATAGACAATGAGAAGATATATGAAAAAACTTTCAATAAATTGCAGTCAAGATTACTGAAGAGCTATTTCTTCACTGTAATTATTACAACTTCATACAGAAACATTTATTATAAAGTGAATATAATTCAGAAGAAATCATACAACATCTGAAATCTATTGATTATCTACAGCTTAGAAAAAAATATCAGAATATTTGAAATGAATTGATAAGTACATCATTTACTCTCACTAATGATAACAATATTTAATAACACTCATGTACTATTTTGCAGAAAAACATGTGAAAATGATAATAAATCAATTCTGATTTTGTAATTTCAACTCTTTTATCTAACAACTTTTGTAAACAACTTCTATATCTATATATATCTCTGAATCTTCTACTGTATACTGTTGAAAACTCAGAATTCTGAACTCTGCTGTAAATACTGAATTCATATATTTAAATTTCTCATTGATCTAATCTCTGCTCCTCTCTTGATATTCATTATAATAATAATATACAACAATTTAAACTTATATTGAAAAAATAACAGAAGATATCACTGACAGTGAATGCATGAATAAATATCAATAATCTCTTCTTTTTAAACACTGTTTGTTATTTCATTGATGAAGATTGAAACTATAAAAAGAAATTAATTAACTTTGAATCATTGAAGAGCAGTTATACAGATGAGTATATGATGAAGATTCTAATAATAATTATTAAAAATGATTTCTGAGATATTTTATCAGTACTTCTTGCAATCACAACAGACAATACAGCAAACAACTTCACTATAATACAGAGTCTGAAGTAAAAACTGATATTGTATAGATGAAATAATAAATATAGATATATTTCATATATTATATATATTATACAGCTTATTGTGCAAGTATTGATCAAAGTATTAAATATTGAATCTAAAAACACAGAACTGATCAGTTGTTTTGATGAAAATGATATTGAAATTGATACTCAAGTCATATTTTCATTGACTCTTAGCAAGATAATGATATTTAATAATACTCTG